GTGAAGTAGGGAAACCACCCTCTATTAAGTGTGATTTGTTGTTTGCATGTATGGAGACAAATCTTTTAAACCCGAATAAATGCCTCGTTCACTGGGATGCCTCAATGTGGAGGAGTATTCTTGCCACAGGTCACTAACTCTCAAGCTGCCCAATACTTTTTTTTTGTGTCCTGCCCCAGTGGCCTAATGGATATGGGTTCGAGTCCCATCTGGTGTGGTTTGGAACTGAGTGGCGCAGCGGAAGCTTGCTGGGCCCATAACCCAGAGGTCGATGGATCGAAACAATCTTCTGCTATGATGGCTTGTTTACCTAATCCCATCTATGAAACAGGAGCTGAGAGTACATGTTCAAACCATGAACATTTCATTTATTTTGCCTATTGAGCAAAAGGTCTTGCAAGTTGCAACTATAAATCCCACATCCCAAAAGTGCTCTTTTGTCTCTCTCTCTCTCTCTCTCTCTTCTCTCTCTCTCTCTCTCTCTCTCTCTCTCTCTCTCTCTCTCTATATATATATATATATATATATATTCATTAGAAATGCTGGTAGATATAATTTTTTACCTATCCCTTTTCAAATATCTACATGTCACTGTGTAAGCTTGCTTGTTAACTTATATAAATTTAAGTTCAAAAGGTCTTAAACACTGATTTTCAGTATACAATTACCATTGTAGCAATCTCTTTTTGAAGTCAATTAAGGCACTAGATGGCAGCACACTTCATTCGCGCATCAAACCCCGCTTCATTCGCGCGTTAGATTCACTTTAGAACAGACGCGGATTCGCGTGATGGGCAGGGCTTCTGTCTGCCCCGTGACTCTAGCTTCTTAGCTAAAGGGCTAACATGGATTTTATAAAGAAAATAACAGTGTTTATGTGCTTTATAAAGGATGATACGTTTAGAGCTGTGTTTGAGTCCACTACATCCTTTCAGAGGTGCATGCAGCTCTTTAAGCTCATATACTCCTCCAGAAACTGAACCTGGCTGATGGAGGTTTTCAGCTGTGCTTCTGACTGAGCCCAGCTTAGTTTGATGAACTTCTTGTCGGTGTCTGCTGGGGGATTTCCCCTGGGACACCGACAACAGGCCATACGCGTCAAACGCGCAAAACGCTCAATTCGCGCCACGCCATTTGCGCCATGCGCACCACGCCATTCTCGTCATTCGCGCTGCGCCATTCACGCATATCGCGCCGCAGGATGTCTATTCACGCGTTTGCATTGACTTAACATGTAAATCACTTGCGCTTGACGCACGTGCCGCATCTGGTGTGAACGCAGCATTAGGATTTAAAGTCACTGAAATTGCAGTGAAGATCTTTCAAAATGCATTTTGATATGGTACAATGTCATTACATTTAACATCAAATTAAGTCCAAGCTTACAACTTAATTAATGTACATATTATGTTTTCCCAGTTATTACATTCCAGCATGCTTGTGTTTTGGTTTCATCCTAAATGATGAGACTTAAATAGCATAAGTGTCATAAAGATAAAGGCTCTTAAATGCTTAAACCCTGCCAATCAGCTTGTGTTTGTAATTATCGAAAAAAATATTATATAATATAAATATATATTAAATATATATACATACAGTTGAAGTCAGAATTATTAGTTAATCTGAGTTATTTGAACAATATACATTTACCAGGCAAAAAATTTGTCAATATCTTCTTAATTTAAATTATTTTAGGCAATAATTTTAGTGACACTGGGATGCAACTAAATCAAGGTTTAAAATAGTACAGAATAAAAATATATAATAATTATAATAATTGTTATAAATAGACAGTAAAATGAAAAAAAAACATATAATTTGTCTAATGACATTAAAGCATTTATATCCATTAGAATGCTGATTTACCCATTACCTTAATGAAACTTGTGATTACGTTAAATTCATTCTTCATTCTTTATTCTAAACACCAGTAGCATAAAGTAGAATTGTCCACCTTTAAGCTAAAAGAGCAGCTTATTTAATGTTAATCAAAAAAATAATTTAATATGTTAATCTAATTGGCCAACGCATTTGACCGGATATAAAAACTTTGACCAATGAAAAACCTTTTGCCACGCCCCTACTGGAAAAACCTAGGATCAATGAAGAACCTTTTACCCCGCCCCTACCTTTTGCCACGCCTTTTGCACTAGAGTCTAGACTGCAGTTACCCATTCTAGGTAAAAACACCAAATACTATGATGTGTGTTGATGGTCACTAGAGGGCACCAGTGTCTCTATATAAGTTCAATGAATTTACCTCAGGCCAAAGTTGCATATTTCCCCGCATTATGAAATGACTATTAAATAAAGGTCTGAGGTAAAATTTAAGGTAAATAACTGGACTTGCACGCATGGTATTTGTTGTATGCAGCTCCTATAAACAAGAACTGACAAACCCCAATAGATCTCATTCAGTCGGAGCTGTGAAGCTTGTTGCAGGGACAGTACAGTCTTGTCTCTACTGGCTCAGAGGGGCTCAGCTAGACTTGTTCTGACACACCACTGAATGAGACAAAAGCCTGGAGAGTTCAAAGGGGCAAAAGCAGACTGGCCCGCTTACACTACAGCTCGCTGGGTCTGATGTGCATTAAATACCCGTGCTGCGCAAGGGGTGGAGATGGAGATAAGTTTTAACGCTGAAACATGAGCGATCGGAGCTCAGGCGAATAAATAAGGCACGCCAGGAGGGATTGTCTTCTTTACGCGTGGAGAGAAGTTTTAAAATCAGTTGCACGGACACAACATTTGGGAAGTGGGATGAAAAAACGGAGCACACGCTGAGCACCGTAGGCTCGTCCTTGCCCTCGTGGATACTTGAGTTTGTCCGAAATAGTACTAAAAAAGAAACAATATCTGTGGGATAAACGTTGAGGGAGACCTCAAAATAAACGAGGGACAACATGAGAGAGTTACATGTGCTGCGCAAATGCTGGAGTCTGTGGACTGTGTTCATGTGCGGCGTTATGAGTGGAGTTCATTCACAGGAAAGACAGTAAGTGTGTTTGCAGCGCTACTTTGAGGATGAGATTTAAGTAGTTTTTCTAGTCATATATCTTTTTCTTTTTTTTTTTCTTTTTTGCCTGAAGGCAGATCTCACATGGGAAAAAAATACTTTTTACAAAACGATGTTTTTGAATCATGCTATAGTAAATTACTTTAATCAATCTGTTGTAGTCATTATATTGCAGTAGTAATACTATTTTTATATATCAACCAGTTCTGCAGTTTTGTGCTATATGGATTTATACAACAATACACCACAGTTTAGAGTGTACAATAGTATCTCTTACAGTTTATCAGTTCACTATATGTAATAGCATGCATCAACAAAGTGTTGTAAATTCCGCATTATATACTGAATAATACATTAGATGGTTCAAAAACACTATAGTTTGTACTATAAAGTACTATAGTATTTTTTTCATGTGGAATGATAGCTGCATACTAATATTTAAAAATGTTTTATGATGCTGAAACAATAAATTAACTAATTTTATCAATTTATATATTATGGAATTTAAATACCTTTGTTGTTATATGCTAAAGCGTACTGTTATTGATCAACTGTACTAAATACTGTACTATACTATAGTTTTTACTATAGCAAACTGTGGTGTATTGAAGTACAACAAACCTCATACAGCATTGGGTAATCTGTTTATTACTATAGTTGTTGTATTACCATGCGCATCTAAAGTCACCACACCAGATTAACACTCTAACACTCAGGAATTTACTATAAATTACTAAAGTATTGCTGTTGATGTGTTTGGGTGCTGCTAACATAACAATAAACCAGTACTGCAGTTTTCTGCTGTGGTGTATTATACTACAATACACCACAGTTTCCATAGTGTAGTAGGTTATCTATTAGAGTTTATTTATTAGTTCACTATATATAATACAACAGTATGGTAAAACATTCAGTAAGAAAGAGTTGTAAGTTCTGCATTATACACTGGATAATACAGTAGTATACTGTATTTACTACAAATTACTATAGTATTTTTTTCAGGTGGAGTAATAACTGAATCCTCACAAATATATGAAAAATACTATACTTTATATATATATTATATTATTTATAACTCTATTATTATATGCTACATCATACTGTAACTGGTAAACTGTACTAAATGCTGTAGTATACCTTAGTTTTTACAGTAGCAAACTGTGATGTATTCAAGTACAACATACCTCATACAGCATTGGGTAATCTGTTTATCATTATAGTTTTTGTATTACCATGACAAATGTAGAGTCATCACAACACATTAAATTAAGTACTGTACTATAGAATGGTTCAAAAACGTACTATAGTATTGCTGTTGATGTGTTTGAGTGTGACTAACATCTAAACCTTAACAACATGTTTGTGGCATTGCATACAGTACCCTAACACCATGGTAATACTGGAAGATCGTGCTTGCCAAGATACTGCTGTTTTGGTAATAACTGTGGTGACTGATAGTTTAACAGATACCAAGGTTACCGTGGTACATTTTTGTTAAGGGTGGTACAGCTGGCATGATGTTATTAACTAACTCTCAAGTGATGTTATTTCAAAATATATTTGTTTCACAAATTACATGCAATCATGTCATTGTTGTAGTCACAGAGTTTTTTTTTTTGTATAATCAGAAAGACTTCTGCTTTAGTTCTGATGTTTTAATTGGATACATTAATATGCTGAAGATCTTTATTACAGCAAGAAGCTTACAGTGAATCTACTGTTCACTTTTCCAAGCATAAACTATTCCTTCAGAGACCTTCAGTGATTTTTACTGTTTTGTACAACACTGCTCATCGTTTTCACTGTAGAGTTCATCTACTTGGTTCTTGGGAGAAGCCTCTTGGAACTACATCAATGATAACTGATTTTGCAATATAGTCCTGAACAGTGTTGTGATAGTTACTATAAAAACAGTAACTAGTTACAGTTACTAGTTCCTTCATTCAAAAAGTAACTCAATTACTTTATTGATTACTTGCACCAAAAAAGTAATGCATTACTTTTAAAAGTCATTTTGAAGTTACTCTTCCAAAGAACATTTTTAATGCTCCCATTAATAACATTACTTAAGTGCTGCATGGAGAATGCACTGTTGATCAACCTCACAGTTTTAATTCATTTGCATTCTCACAACTAAAACACAAGACAAACTTAAATAAAAAGTAACTGTTATACACTGATTTAAGTCAGACCACCAGCAGCACAAAATGAATATTTCACAAGGAGATAAAGCAGCTGAATAATATATTCAGAAACAAAAAAAGCAAAAACTAAAGTTACTTCAGCATCATAAAAGCTTGTATTTAACCCTTAAATATGTTCTTTTACAGCTTGAGTATGAAAATAGCGACAATATACAACAAACACGAAATAAATAAAAGTAATCTGAATTATCAATCAGAATCAATTTAGAGAAAATCAGCACCAAAAAAACTGCTATTATAGACAACCATAAATTGATTCATTGTAAACAAAATAAAAACATAACAGCTGCACAAAAATGAAATCTACGAGCAATTTCCAAACTTTTTTAGAGTGGTTGGTTGGCATCCACCAATCCTACAATGCGTCGCTTCTGTAAACAGGAAGATGTAGACTAGACTGCTGCCAAAATGAATTAATTTACTAAAGTAACAGACAAACCCATCGTATTAACGGAGTTACTATATTTAAAAAGTAGTCAGTTACCGTATTAGTTACTGTCAAAAGTAATGCCATTATAGTAACGCATTACTAGTAACGCATTATTGCCCAAAACTGGTCCTGAAACTGTATTTTAAAATTTGTATTTTACAAGTAACTATCACTAAAAAAATGTAGTAAAGCCCCAATTTATTTACAGCATAAATTAAGAATTAGGTTGCTTCAAAAAGCATCTATATAATAATATGAATTTGTACAGCATGCTTTTCTTTCAGTAACAAAATAAACACACAGCAATAAATGAAAGCAGTGAAAAAAACGCTAGTTAAGAAAGCATCTGATAACCCAGCAAGCATTTTTTTGTTTTTAAAAGATGTCTAATAGAGGTCTAATAGACATCTAAACACAGTTGTCTTGAATAAAACAAGGCTAAATTTGGGCTGTCTAATCTAAAGATGTCTAATAGGAATAGGTCAAAACTAGACTAGTCACTAAATCAACATAAACGAATGACTACACATATAAAGTCTGTCTAATCCGCCTATTTGACATTTTGTTTTTGTAGTTTTGGGCTATTCTTAGATGCTCCTACATTTTCCCTGACAGCCCAAATTTAGCCTTGTTTTAGCCAAGCTGTCTACGTTTGGATGTTTATTAGACGTCTATTAAACACAAAATTGTTTGCTGGGAATAGTAATGCGGATGTTTGCTCTCCAATCAAGTAAAGTTACATGAGGTTTATTTAAATATCTTTTTTATACAGTGGACTGCTTTTTGAGCAAGTAGCATTATAGTATTAATCATAGGAAAAAATGTCATTAGTTTTGTTTCATACCCTTCAAGTGGCACAAGTCATTTTTGCTCAAACTAACATGTTGCAATGTTAAATTTACCATGAAACAGAAGTTAAGATTGCCCTTTTTTCCGCTGTAGTGATGTACATCCACTTCAAACGGTCCTGAAAATGTAGGGCGGTGCATGATTTTGCCCTTCAGAATCTGGTTAGATAATTGGAGGACGGGTGTCGATAACAAAATAGAGGAAGATTGGCGGATGGATAGAAACGAGACACGGCCAGATCGCCCTGGCCTATTGGCAATCCTTGTGACCAGAAGTGAAGAAAAGTAATTTTGAAGGGGCAGGGAAATAATAAAGAAATAATGAAGCGATACATCGTTTATAACAAGCACTACAATCACTCACTCACTATCTTTCAGCTTAGTCCCTGAATTATCAGGAGTCACCACAATGAAATGAACCGCACATTACATTGGCATATGTTTTATGTGGCAGATGTTTTATGTGGTAGATGCGCTTTTAGCCGCCCTGGGAAACACCCATACACTCTCTTATTAACAGGCACACTCATACACTATGGCCAATTTAGTTTTACTCAATTCATAACAAGCGCTACTATATACATATAAAAATACTAAGAGTAAATTGTGGTTTTATTGCAACTTTAGATTCCCGTTTAATTTACACTGCACAAAACTTAATCCTTTTTTTGTGTGTGTGTGTGTAGTGTGCCATAGTGCTTGACAACTGATCCCATGTCGGTGACTTTTCATGACATCATCCCAAAAAGTCTAGCATGTTTAATTTTTTCCCCTGTTGTCCACAATGAGTTTAGTCACATGGGTGATGTTGACCTATAGATGCACACAGTAATTTCCATACACAGCTTTTAAAATGGCAAAATCAAAGTGAAAAGTCTGCTTCCATGAAATATAAGAAGGCTTTATGAAGTTATGGCAAGGGTACATGTGTATGACATGTCATCACTTGACTACCATGATGTTTTAACAAACTCTATGTAAAAAAAAAAGTGTTCTTTCAAAACAGTTCTGTTTCACAAATTACATGCATTAATGTAACTACCATGATGGAATACAAAATAGGGATGCACCAATACAATTTTAATAGAATAATTTTTTTGTCTAATCATTCTTTTTAATTATGCCCCTTTTCGCAGCGTCATAAGACAAAATATTGCAAACTCTAGTGTTACTGCAGCATAACCCTGTACTGAACTAACAAATCAGACAATTACAGAAACCTTTATAATTCATGTAGTTTCTTGATGATAGAATATGTGTCATAGACGTCAAGCACTGATTGATCTAGAAGCAACATGTTGTCTGGCATGTTTGGTACCCATGACCAGGGCCAGGCGGAATCTGTGGACATTTTTTGCAATTTCTGCTGAGAATTTTGGTAAAAATCTGCGGATTTCTGCGGAATTATTTTGGGAGTATCCAGCGGAGTATCATAAAACCTTAATATATGAAATAGAAAGTAATAAATTACTGAATAAAAACTGAATAAACTCAGATTTACACATTTACTCAAGTAAATAAACAGAATTAATGATGGGCTTAAAATCTGCAGAAATCTGCGGAAAATCTGGGGAATTCATCACGCGCAGATTCCGTGTGGGCCTACCCATGACATTGCTGCCTGTTCAAACTACTAATTTAAAATGAGCTCATCAACACAATTCTTGAGTTTTTTGGAGGCAACTTAATTGTTTTGTGTTCAATCCACTTACATTTGTAAAAACAATTTAGGTAACTTACTCGATTTCTGTTGGGACAACATGGTAGGAATTGTGTGGAACCCAGCATCAAGATCTGGAGAAAATCTGACACAGTGACTGTCATAACTGACAATAAAAATCAAGTAGTCCAAACAAGACTTTAGTATGAAGGCATTTATCAACCAAAACAAACTATTCCAGCAAGTTGTTTAGATATCAAAATGAACTTTGTGTTTGCATGTTTTATTCACACCAGTTCCTTTTTTGATATCACTTGAAGTATATCGACCATTACCCTTAAACCTACAACTAAAAACTGATTAACAGGAATTTGGTTGGGTTAACAGATCCAGAAATTCTATGAGCAACTTCATCCTTCATACCAGGGCTGGCCAGAGCCTAGTGCCAGTGTCTGTACCTGTTACATGTGATTGTGCCAAGTATTTAGAGTACCAGAGAAAGAGGTCAACAGCCAACTTAGCCTTTCCAACAAAGAGCTACATTCTCTTGAGTCAGCTAGTGGCTCTTCTTTCCTTTAACAAGACAGTGCGATCATGTAAACACTGAACAGTTCTATGCCCATCGCACACACTATTATAAGATAGGAAGGTGAGGATCAAATGCAGTAATTTCCGCATAAATGCTCTAAAAAGGATTTTCTCATGCCTTGAGACTTAAATTGCTTCTGGCCTCGCTGAACTGTAATGCCAACCACCTGATATCTCAAACTCCGGCATGCCATTATACTCAAGGACACTGAGCTTCCCAGGTTGATTGTGGTATGTAATGGGTCAGAGAGTCACCTTCCAAACGTTTCACATCAATTAAGGTGACCGGAGGCAAATTTGTAACTGGGTTTTTTAGCAGTAGTCTAGACAACTTGGATTCCAAAGAGGCGAAAAATGTCAGAGGAATTAGGATGATGTCTGTTAATTATATAATGACATTGCCCTAACCTTTGTCAAGGCATTGGTCTTTGAGAAGGCCATATTAGTTTTAATGATAATGACCCTATAAAATTGCATGCCTCTGACTTTTTCTTGAAAAGTCTTTATGCACCAAAACATGGTATTTAAAGACTAAAAAAAGAATAAATTTATGAAATTTTCCTCTTTAATTTTTTATTTTAATTATTTTAAGTTTTATGATCACACAACCGCATGAAAAAAAATCTGTTTAATCAAATCTGCGAAAGGGACTAAAACATATTCATGTCAAGTAAGTAGTTGGTGATGCCATTTTTTTGTGGTTCACCATTGTTTTTTTGTTTTTTTTTGTCACCAAATACTGATGCATGCCTTTAAACTAAACATGTAATACACACCCGGCAGGCACACAACATCATTAGACGTTAATATAAGATTTAGATTGCTATGTCAGGAGACCAAAATTCAATGTCTAGCCAGTGTTTTAGGACAATGTTATTTTGATGTCCAATAACGACGTCAAATGACATGGATATCTAAACATCTAAAACAATTGTCATATTAACATCAGTTACTGACATTTATTTGTCAGGTATGGCAATCAAAATCCAACGTCTGATCAAAGGCATAGTGGGAACGTCTACACAACGTCAGGCTGTAACATCATTAGACATTGTTATTTGGTTGTTTTTAGGTTGCACCCTCAACATCTGTCCTATGTCTTATGTCAACATGATTTTTAATTCCACCCAGAATGCAATGTCCCCACAACATTGGGGAACAGACTCAATTTGACGTTATGTTAAGGTCCTGTGCTTGCTGGGCATGTGCATGACATAACCATTCTTACAATATTAAATTTTTTTGTAATTTATACACTATATTTATATACAATATTTTTAAACGTAAAACTTAAAAATGTATTTAAAAAGTTTGTTTTCATTCCACCAAAAATGTTGCCATGTGTCAGTTTGAAAACTTTTCTAGCTATTCAATCTGTATTGTTGGTACAGTGCATTGTGTAATTGAATGAGCGGTCCTAATAATAGTTTCATCTATATAGCTTAAGTCTTATTTACACTACAAGTAACTTGCAGTAGTAAAGTGACAAGCGACCATTTACTTCAATGGAGAGTGAGTGACTTGGTCCGTCTATTCGAGAAACATCGACCATTGGCGACCAGGTGGGCGTGTTAAACAATGCAACAAAGTTGGGAATCTTTCAACTTTATGCAAATGAAGAGTGACTTTCTTGATGCACAGCCAATAGTAACACCAGTAGAGCTCACGTGATCCTCTCTCAGCTCTCTCAGAGGCCGGATGTATTCGTGCTGTATATATGTACACACCCCTGCATTTGGCGCAGGTCACCAGCTAGAATGACTGGCAGCTACAAAGTCGCTGCTAGTCTGAATGAGGCATTATGGGGCAATTTTGGTCCCATCCAAGTGGGCAACTTGATGTCAAATTGACATTAAAAAGCAAATTGATTTGATTTTAATTGACTACTTTAATGTCAAAGCTACATCAGACTGATATCTATCATTGTTGTCTAAAAAACACATCAAAAAATTTTTCCCCCTTTTTTACACTAATGCTAGTAGCAAAATCCAGTGTAAATTGTGTTGGCTAAATTGAGTAGTAAGTGAGCCTAAATGATCGGTTCTGGTGGGAAATATTTACTTCACAGCCTAATTTAGAAAACCAGATTTTTGATCTGGACAGATTATTGATTGACTGGAGGTCAATCAATAAAAGACTCGGAAAACACTTGCCAGTTTGCATTTGAAGATATATACATCTAATATTTGTTTACTGAAACATTTTTTTTCAAGGTTTATCACTCTTCTTTGTTGGATTTGCATGCCCTATGATGTTAGATTCAGATGTGTGCTGTAGACAAAACAAGGTGTTAGTGTAATTGGTACCTGGAGTCTTGTGATGTAAACAAAAACAGTTGCTCTGTGCTCCCGTCCTTTGATTCACAGGGGTTACCTGATTGCTGCACCATCTGTGTTTCGTGCTGGCGTGGAAGAAGCCGTGAGCGTCACCCTCTTCAATATGGTGGAGGACACACGAGTACAACTACAGCTCAGCGTCAAGGGCGAGATTGTGGCACACAGCCATGGCACAGTAAGAGGTGAATATTACAAAATCAAGAAAACTGATTATCCCCCTCAGTTATCAACACTTAAACCTAATCTTCAGAAATACGACATCATAAACTTTTAGTATTCGTAAAAATTTATTTCAGTAAAGCTCTTTATTTCACTATAAAATCGCATGCTGATGAAGAATTCCGGGTGCTTGTGCAGTTTTTACTTGACATGTTTATTTTCCATTTCAGATAAGGGCACCATTAAAATAAAGGTGAGCCAATCATGTCATCAGCCCATTTTGTCTCTTGCCAAAATATACCCATGCAACATACGACTGGTTTTGTGGTCTAGGGTCATAAAAATCAGCTTAATGGGACTTCCATGCCTAATAACCACAATGTTTCCAGGTGCCATCAGATCTAAGAGGCCAGGCACATCTGAAAGTTTGGGGGAACTGCCAGCTCAACGAGGGCGGCTACATCTTCCAAAACCACACCACTGTGACGATAGACAGCAAAGGCACAACAGTTTTCATTCAGACTGACAAACCAGTCTATAAGCCCCAACAAAAAGGTCTCTCTCTTTTCTCCAAACAGGAATAGCTTACGGATGACAATAACAGTTTTTAATGCTAATGATGTCTCTGTTTTTTTTTTTTTTGTGGCTTTAGATTGTTGGCTTACTGTATATTTTTGAACTTTCTAATGTACTTGAAAAATAATTTACGTGTATATTAATCAGCACTAAACATGCTGAACAGTTCACTACATATTACAACTTTGAAATTTGCATAAAGTTAATTAGGATTTTTTAAAAGGGTCACGAAACACCAAAACACATTTTTTGAGATGTTGACAGTCATATATGTGTCCCATGTTGCTAAAGACACTAATAGGACACATATATTTCACAAAAAAGTGAAAATTGTCTGTTTTTGCGTTGTTTAGAGCAAATTCGTCAAAGCAATGTCACATATAGCGATGAGATCCTTCTGTAAATTCCAGCTTGGAGACTGATTGTCTGTATTGGCGGGAACAATGTGACGTCATTGAGTTGTCATCATTTATTAATGAGAAAGACTGGGTTCAAACCAATCAGCATGCTCTATTGCGAATGAGATGCAACTTCATTAATATGCATGATATAGGTTCAAAGTTTTTACCTGTTACATTGTTCAGACGGAGAGATGTCACGTTGTGTTGCCAACCATAATTAAAACAAATGGAAACTAACTAACTAACTAACTAACTAACTTTGCCATCTGAATAAACATAAACAAAGAAGATTGATCGTACACTTACCAAATCCACAGAGACAGAACAATTAACGCCAACTGGATCTGGAGCAAATCTGGATTTTACCATTCACAAAGCTCTCGGGTAAAAAATTGTCCGTACAAACATATTTTTGTCGCATGTTAGCAGATCACTGTAATCCCCATGCGAGTCCAGCAGCGTACTCATAGCATGTCTCCAAACAATTCTTCTTCTTCTACTTCTTTTAATTATGGTTGGCAACACAACATGACGTCTCTCTGCTGTCTGAATATAGTAACAGGTAAAAACAAAGTTATCAGCATAATAATAAAGTTGCATCTCATTCACAATAGAGCGTGCTGATTAGTTTGAACCAAGTCTTTGTCATGTTTTAATGATAAAAACTCAATGACGTCAAGTTGTACTGGCCGGTACAGACATCCAGTTTCCACGCTGGAATTTACACAATGATCTCATCGCTGTGACAAAATTATTTTTCAAACCGGAAGAACGTATTTGCTCTAAACAACGCAAAACAACCAATTTTCCCTTTTTAGTGAAATATACAGTATGTGTCCTCACAGTGTTTTTAGCAGCAAGGCATACATATATGACTGTCAACATCTCAAAGAATGTGTATTGTTGTTTCGTGACCCTTTAAATATTGTGACAAAATTGTAACCATTCACAAACTTGTCTGATTACTTCTAATTCATATTCATATATCTTCATGTTATTTCAAACTTAAATATATTACAGAAAATAATAAGTAGCATGTGAAGTCATTACTGCTTTTTCTTCTTCTTCTCTTTTTTTAGTACTTATAAATGTGTATGCTGTCACGCCAGACCTAAAGCCCACCAGTGAAAAGGTAAAGTCCTAAAATGATGTAAAATGCTAATTGTTATGTAGTATAGGGGCATTTTCCTAACAGTAGAATTTTTTTATAACTAATCTTAAAAATAGGTAGCTTATTATTATGGCATTCATACAAAAACACATAAGTTCCATAAACACTTTCGCAAGAGAGTAAAGGCTGATTTATACTTCTGCATCAAGCGCACACATATGCATCAGCGCAGCCTCCTCGCGGTCGCATAGCCCTCACCATGACTGATGCCGACGCTAACGTGCACCACTCAAAAAATTTAACCTCACGTCGCAATGAGGCATAACACAAGCTCTGTGATTGTTCGGCTTGGTACCGGTGACAAGAGTCCGCTGGTTCCCGCCTCTGAATGTGCAAGTTTTAGCTTCTTGTTGGGTTCAGAAAAAACAAAACTCGACACAGAGGAACAACCTACTGCCATTTAGCATTTCAGAAGTGATATTGCATAGCTTCACAAACAGCATGCACAAGTATAAATGCAGGACTACGCACAAGGCAGGCACCATGGGTCACCCCGTTCACTCAACGGAGAAGTATAAATCAGCCTTAAAGCTTTTTTCTAAAAGCAGCTTCAGCTAGAGTATGTTGTGTGGACACCCATATGAAAAAAGAAGTAATTTATAGTAAATACCAGAGATGGGGGACTCGAGTCACATGACTTGACTCGAGTCAGACTTTAGTCATAACATTTAGGACTTAAGACTTGCTTGACAAATATCCAGAAAAACTGGACTTGACTTGGACTTGGCTGTCATGACTTGAGACTTGACTTGGACTTGAGTTAAATGACTCGAAAAAAACTTGTTTTTGTTAAATACACAACCGTTTGTTATATATTATGCATTTAAAAACAAAATAAAACCGAAAGTTCTAAGTCACACATGCGCAGTAATAACTGGATCTAGACTGGATCATTTGGTTCAGAAGAACCGCTTGTAATGATTCATTTGAAGGATTCATTAGCTATTCGGCCATCAGAATGCGGTGATGAAAAATGGAAGGCTTTATTTATATGACAGTTTATATACTGCATATACTCTGTGTGTGTGTGTGTGTGTGTGTGTGTGTGTGTGTGTGTGTATATATGTATGTATATATATATATATATATATATATATATATATATATATATATATATATAAATAAATAATTAGACTGACTTGAAAGTGACTTGCTAGACCAAGCTCCCACTTGACTTGACATGACTTGAAATAAGCAGTGACTTAACTTGAGTCTGACAAAAATTGACTTGACTTGCTTGGGACTTTAAGGTTATGACTCGAGACTTGCTTTTGACTTGCACATTTGTGACTTACTCCCACCTCTGGTAAATACTATAGTGTTTTTACCATACTATCATAAAAAATTTAATTCATTACTTGTTGAACTTCTATAGTTGCTATGATAACAGAAACTATACTAATATAAACAATTTACCCAACAAGGCAGTTTTTCTACAATACACCAGTTAACTCTAGTAAAAACCAAAGTATACTACAGTATTTATTACAGTTTATCTGTGCTAACAGTGTTGTGAATACTATAACATATACACTATAAAACATTTTACTGTAGTATGGTCCAAAAACACTATAGAATTGCAGTAAGTTACTATTTTTTTCATGTGGGCATTATCTATACAAAACCTGGGCTTCTAAGGGTTGGCTGCTAGCAAAGTTGTTGCTGTGCAATTATGTGTCGTCTGCATCCCTCTAAACTGTTTTTTGTTTTGTTTTACAGCTTGAAGCATACATTGTGGTAAGTGGAGGCCACGGGGTGGACACTGCACTGATTGGGAAGCATGGCTGAAGTGTTCCTTTCTCAGCAGGGTCCATGTTGCACAGCTATAGAGCTTGACAACTGGCTGCTGGTGTTGGGTTCGACCCTGGAGCAGACACTAGCGGGTGACTGGGGAGATTAAAGAAAGAGAGAGAGAGTCTTCCTGGGGCGTTGCCCCCTACTGCTCTGTGCTTAGCTTCCATCTCTTTCCCACATGGTGCTTGGTCTTTGAAGGCAAATACTATTGCTCAGTTCCAGAAAATCCTTCTGAAAGTTGTGCAGATGGCCAAAGGGGACCAGAAAAAAATGTTTGCTATGTCGATGTTTCATGTTTATGTTAGTTTGGCACTGTCGGCCTCTGGCTCTCGCTGGAGGAAGTGTCAGTCGGGGTGTGTGTAGTTTTGGCTTGATTGACGGGCTCCTGGAGTGTTAGCCCTTTGAGTCAGGGCAAGGTCAGTTTGTTTGAAAAAGCATCACTGGATTTGAAATGTGTTTGCTTAAGCTTGATTCTTTGCTGCCTTTTAACGAGTGTAAAGTGGCCTTCAGATTTAAGCAAAACAAATAAGCAAGAATGTGACTATTTGTACCACAAACTGTTTAAGATTACCACGTTGTTTACCCAGGACCCCAGAGGATCCCACATAGTCCATTGGAAAGATCTGAAGTCAATTTGTTGTGGTAAGGACTGTTACTATTATGTTCCTATGGATGTAGTCAGGATTTCAATTTTGTAATCTTTTTTCAATCATTGCATCATACTGTAAAACTTTTATGACAGTATTTATGATTTATAATATATTTTAACATTATGATGTGTGTACAGTGTGTATACATATAGTGTTAATATAAAAAATTATTATTGTCTCTATTAGGAATTGTCAATATGAGCTTTCCACTATCAGACCAACCAGTTTTTGGTGAATGGTTAGTCTTTGTCGAGATGCAAGGCCACACGTACAACAAATCGTTTGAAGTGCAGAAGTACGGTAAGCATTTATGTATTAATATATACTGTAAAATGTAAATAGAAGTAGAAATGCTTAGTTTTTCAGAAGTTCAGGTTTTTCCGAACAAGAAAGTTACAAGAGTTTTGTATGTGTTGTACGTTGTTTTCACAGTACATACAAAGTTTGTTTTTGAATAGACTGTTTTCATATTATCAAGTCAAATTTTAATGTTGATTTAAGAGCCCATATTATGCATTAAAATGGTTATATTTTGGTATAAGCCAACAACAGGCTTATATGCGTGCAAGGTCAAAACGTCAACAAAACGAACAACAAACGGCAGTGGATTGTGAGCTTACAAACGCATTTAAATTTATAAACAATGCGGCATGTGTCGCGTTTTCAACATGGCTTTAGATGCGAAATGAGAATATAAAGAGTTACCCAGAATCCAGATACAGTACAAGCAGTTACAAGTAACAAAACACTATTAAATACATAATTTGCAAGCTAGAGAAAACAACGAGGCAACCATTTTAATCGTACTTAAGTTACTTACACTTGTGAAATGGAGGAAGAAACTCATCCATGTACTATGTACTGTAAAGTTCCTGTCAAGCTCTGACAGAGTCCCACACATCAATAGTCTTTTCTGATCCTTCCTTTAACAAAAGGCCGATTAATTCCCCCAGCATGTAGATTGTTGAAGCACTTATCAGAAAAATGATGGGAACACAGCACAAGGCAGGGGCTATAATGCTGAGGTATATTTGCAAAAATAAACTCCAACCACTGACTCTTCACAGCCTCATCTTTGGGTAGGGAAAATAAGAGTCTATACGACTTGATTCAACCAGGATCTGCTACAGTGTTTGTCTTCCTCTCTTTCTTTTTACAGAGTTTGTGGGCAGGGCCTGGGGTTTAAATTTTCCTGGGTCTGTGCGCGTAACAAATAGGTGGCGCTTGAGTTCCTTTTCGACGTCACGCTGACATGGCTAAAGACTCGTTACAGCAGCGATTCATTAGAACCACTATGAGTCGACTCTTTAATTGATGGATCAATAGATTTAAATACAGCGCACTTTTAGATTTAAGCCTTAGCTGGATATTTCACTGCACTTAGAGCTGTGTTACACACTGCATGGAAGGTCATTTTCAAACATTTTCTTTAAAACATTTCAATTAGAGTAATATGGAAAGAAACTAATAGATTTCAGTTTGGTCTTTTTTCCAGTTATGCCCAGGTTTGAGCTCATCATTGTACCACCTCCATATATTCGAGATCTCAATTCTTGTGAACAGGTCACAGTCAAAGCAAGGTATGAGACAGAATTGTTTTTTTTACATCTTAAGCAAGTAATTTTATACTCAAACTTTACCCTGCATTTTTCCAGGTACACCTTTGGAAAACCAGTGTCAGGCAAATTAACGGTTAATATGACTGTTAATGGAGTAGGCTACTACAGACATGAAGTAGGCCACCCAGTGGTGAAATCAATGGAGGTGAGTGCATTATACAATATGTTCCTGCTGAAAAAACATATATTCTGCTTTACATGCCGTTCCCTCTGTTTTACTGTTAATTGGCTTTTCAAGCAAGCATTGTTTATTAGATCTCTATTTCAAAATACCCAAAGCCCACACTTGTTACAGATTATAGGTTGTCGAGTAGTTAGTCCACCGTAAAATGTAGACAAGCATGAGGCCACACTGTTGTCATGTTGCTGTTGCAAATGTCACTCTATTCTGAACTTAGGACAGCTTCAGTTTCCAGGCCTTCATTGAGAAGACAGTAAGTTCATACAAGAATTGATTTCTTGAATGTTTTTCACCACAGCTCTAGTCATCTGAGACAAGGGCAAGGTAGTCCAGTATCTGTGCAGCATTAAAGGCCCAAGTTTTTTTTTTTTTCGCAGGGTCTGTCACACTGTGCTCTTCTAAAGACAAAGTAAGAAGTTATTCTTTGAAACGACTTTCTTTTCTTCTTCATAGATCAAAGGCTCCGCTTCTTTCAGCCTCTGTGTGAAGGACATGATGCCAATAGAAGTTACAGATCATTTCCGAGGTGCAGTGAACATGTGGGTCACAGTAAACAGTGTGGATGGGGGGCAACAGACCATGTTTGATGATTCAACACCTGTCCACAAGCAGCTCATTGACATCAAGTACTCCAAAGATACTCGCAAACAGTTCAAACCTGGTCTTCCCTACAAGGGCATGGTGAGAGGAGGATCAGTCTTCTGTTGGAAAACAGATAATGCTTCTGTTTATTCGTTTTACTAGTCAATGTTAACTTGGAATGATTGCTTTTCACCACTGACCCCAGATTGAGGTCACCTATCCAGATGGGAGCCCAGCGGAAGGAGTGCATGTGCGGGTTAAGGCAGAACTTACTCCAAAAGACAACGTGTACACCAGCGAACTGGTCTCAAAAAATGGGAAGGCCACTTTCGAGATTCCCTCCATTCCCACGGCTGCCCAGTACGTCTGGCTGGAGGTCAGTGGGAGGGATATGGAAATCTAGCTAAAGATTCTTGTGAGGGTAGTTTAAATTAATGAAGGGGTAGCCAACCATACATCATGCAGACTTTAGTACCGACCCTGCAGCAACACACATGACTCTAACTGTCAAGTAATCTTCATTGTCTTTGTTACCTGCTGAAGACGTGTTGCAGCAGGGTTGGAACTGACTCTTCAGCTTGAAGTTCTCCAGAAGCAGGGTAAACTACCTTGGATTTAGTTGTTAAGGGGATAATTTAATTGAGTCAAACTTTAAAAAATGTAGTTTCAAAGCCTGTAAAGGGTAATACATGAGAGCAGTACCAATGTTCATATAAGGTACTTGTCTGTAATGTTGCTCTAATGGATACACTAAATTTTTGGTCTGTGGCAGTAAACCTGTCAATGGATGCACAAACTAGGACTAATCCTAAAACGTAAAGTAAGACTTCTAATTGTTCAGATTAGTTCTTGAGACAGTTTAACATTTAAGCAACTGGTTTTATTGACCTTATAATTAGATTAATATGATGAGAAAAGACTGTCTTGAGAGAAACTAAGGATCCACACTTGGGTCTTTGTAGATCTGTGGGGTCTGGAGCCTGTCTACCACAGTATTGTTTGTGATTGGTTGTGATAAGAGAGCTATAAATGATTGTTAATATTAGTATAGCTGTTCACCAACAGGATTTTAGCAGCACCAAATACAAATCAAATGGCGACCCTCCAGTGCCCTTCATTTCTAATATTCAGATTTATTTCCACCTACAGTCAAAAGTGACTGCCATTGATGGCAAGCCTGCAGGAGACCAGTATCTCCCCAACTACCTGTCCATCACTAGCTGGTATTCTCCCAGCAAATGCCACATCCAGCTCCTAAGTCCCAGTGCTCCTCTAATGGTAAGATACATTGCCTACATCATTAGTGGTGCTTCCATATACATTTATGGCATACATATTTATTGAACCACATATTTGTCTAGATTGGGCAAGAAGCAGAAATCTTCCTGAAGTCCACCTGTCCTTGTAACTTCACCTTGCACTATGAGATTGCTTCCCGTGGGAATATCGTGCAGTCAGGTCAGAGGCATGCGAACAGCACAACTCATCGCGAAAAGAGAGCTACCATAACCTTTGACACGAACATTCACACAACTGCCAAACCCCAACAAGACTCAGGTCAGTTTTATCGCATTAACTGCAGTACACCTTTGTTTATGGAATGCATGTTTCAATTGTGGGGTTTGTGCCTATAGATAAACTGAGGTTATTTATAGCACATATAACAAAATCTCAGAAACTTCTGAATTGCGATTGTTTACTTTCAGCTCATGAAGACACTATTCTTCCTTTTTTATCCCCATTTTTTTCTGTCCATCTCTATGTCCTCTGTCTGCCCAGACTCTTCTCAGGCTGAAATGGACAGCTGCGTTTCAGTTCTGCATTTCAATGTGACTCCCCCCATGGCCCCTCTCAGTCGCCTACTAGTCTACTATGTTCGGGAAAATGGAGAGGGAGTGACTGACAGTCTGCAACTTCCAGTGCAGTCCCGCTTCGAAAATGAGGTTGATTAATTTCAGTTCACCAATTGTCAATTCAGAAAATTCACCATAAAAAGAAAGTTCTGTCTTCTATTTGTTTAACAAACCTTCTTGTCTTCAGATCTCTGTGTCTTTGTCCACAAATGAGTCGATGCCAGGAAGCCCGATCAGTCTGAAGGTTAAAGCAGAAAGTGGCTCATGTGTATGTGTAGCTTCTGTGGACAAAAGCATGTACCTTCTCAAACCAGGCTTCCAGCTCACACCTGAAAAGGTTAGTCCTCGTTTGAACCTTCATATATCCTGTAAATAGCTGTAAAGTTGTTTAAACAGTTTGAGGGTTTCCAGGTGTTCAAGGATCTGGCCGAGTTTGATGTATCTGATGCCTTTGGGGTACCCAAAGATGAGGGACATTTTTGGTGGCCCGGATTGTCTTCACGAAGGCGACGTTCCTCCGTGTTTCCATGGCACTGGGACATCACTAAAGATGCCCGTTTTGCTTTTACGGTGAGGACATGACTTTCTCCACTTCCCCGTATTGTTTTAAGCTCAGGCAGCATAGTAGCTAAGTGGTTAGCACTCACAGTAAAGCTGCGGTCACAGTGCACTTTTCACCCCATAGACTTTCCTTCATAGGAACGAGAAACACCAGAAATGCAAGCTTGTGCAACAAGTTTCACAGTTTGCTAGTTGCGAAGTTCAAACTTGGTGAATTCTGACCTGCGAAATCGCTTCATGTGACTGCATGAGACCAAGAGAAGATCAGATGACCTCTCTGTACAGAAATGTAAAATATGGACCAACTGCATGCTTTTTCTAATCATCTTGTTTAATACCGCCCCTTTTCACAGCACCATACAACAGAATTTTGCATGCTAAAACTCTTGTGTGACCACGGTACTAAAAGTTTGCTGATTTGAGTCCCAGCTGGACCAGGACGTCATTCTGTGTGGAGTTTGCATGTTCTCCCTGTTTTTGAGTTGGTTTCCTCTGGGTGCTCCAATTGCCTTCTACATTCCAAAGACAGGCAGTATAGGTGAATTGAATAAACTGAATTGGCCATAGTGAATGAGTGTGTATGGATGATTTCCAGTAAAGGGTTGCAGCTGGAAGGGCATCCTCTGTGGCAACTCTTGATGGATAAAAGGACTGAATAAATGAAATTGACCACAGTGTGTGAATAGAAGAGTGTGGGGGTGTTTCTCAACACTGAGAGTTTTACTCAATGCTGGGTTGCGGTTGGAAAGGCATCTGTTGTTAAAACATATGATTGAGTAGTAGGTGGTGGTTTATTCCTCTTTGAAGACCACCAAATGAAGGGGGAAGCCGAAGTTAAGTAAATGAGTTCAAATTATAATATGCTTGTGTACCCGTGTTGTAGGAGACAGGGCTGGTGGTGATGACAGACATGGTGAGTCTCAATCACAGACAGAGTGGAGGGATGTACACAGACGAGGCCGTACCTGCGTTTCAACCACACACCTCTACCCTGGTGGCAGCTATGCACTCCCGATCTGGGACACGGTACACATGCTCACAGTGTCTGAAATTTTAAGGTTAATTTTACAGGCGATTATGGCTAACTTCAGTAAGGGACTTGTTTCTTATGTCAGTGTGTATTTTTCAGGGCAGAGAACCGTAGGCGTACATTCTTTCCAGAAACATGGATATGGCATTGCTTTAATGTCAGGTACTAAACTATTTCTATTATTCAATCAAATAGATAAATGATAATAAAAACATAGTAACCACAAACTTTTGAAGGGTAGTGTGTGTTTATATAGAGCAAGGATCACCAACCCTTCTCCTGAAGATTTCAGCTCCAACCCCAATTAAACACACCTTAAATAGATAATGAAGGGTTGCATGATAATTGTAGGCAGGTGTTCTGGAGCAGGGTTGGGACTGAAATCCGTAGGATAGTTGAACCTAAAGGCGGGCCTACACGATGCAAATTCTGATGGCTTAAAGATCATGAAAGATCAAGATCAGAAATCGCATACTTCCATACTATATAGTACGCTAAAAACAGTATGCGAGCCGAGTAGTATGTCCAAATTCATAGAATTCGAAAATCAGTTTCTGAGAAGTAACCGGATGACCTACTACTTCCGGAGAGATTTTGAAGTCTGCATCGTATGGATGCTATGCTATTCTATGATCCCCCACAAGAGAATTCAGGAATTGGAGTGAAACGACACTCATGCGGGTTGGTCACATGATCATGACAAAATGGAAGAGGTAGTATGAGTTCGAGTCCGAGTTTCATCAAAGTCCCTTTAAGGCAAGTCATTTCACTCAGCGGCAATCTTTAAAACACCTCTCGGGCAATATGCTCAAGCATAATATGCGCAAACAACAAATTCTCCAAAACTGGTTGCCAAGCGTACAATTAAATTTCTTATTGGGAATCACTAATTAAGTTAAACAACAACTGTGTCTTTAGTTTCATTTGTAAACATCCAAATCACACAAAATCTGCAGAAACTCACGTCTGGTTCGAGCCCCTCCCTCTGAGTATCAACAGTCCTTGGGGATCGATTATTGGCTACTGTACTAGAAGGCAGGCTTTATTCGCCATATGTCGATCGATGATTGGCTCCTGTAATAGTAGGCTTCATTCCACTTTTTCCCATTTAAAATGATACGAGTGATATGTCTAATGTATTCTATAGTCTTTGGTTCCATTCATACTGCTCACATTCATACTGTATTGAACATACTTTTCTAACAGCCAAATAGTAGGTTTAAATTCAAATGCAGTACCTACTGAGTAGTAGTCGGTTTCGGATAGAGCCCATATGTCCGAGCACAGTCATGAATGTTTGCTATAATAACAGGTTCTTTTTCAGCACTGGGAAATAAGGATGCTTGCTCACACAATTGTGTGAATTACAAAGCTCAATCCATTGTAAACTGTTCGTTCAACCTAATACACCTCTTGAAATGAAACTGACAGCTCCTGACAGCACTGAGAAACAATGACCATACCAACATCAAGGTTTTCTGCACAACTAATCACAATGGGAAAAAAATAGCATATGACAGCAAAAATCACACTGTGTATGCCCGCCTTAAAGGAGCAGGTTTGCTGATCCTTTATATGGAAAGTACAGAAATAAAATTGTAAATTCTTCTCACCAACAGCAGTCTTAATGGAGAAGCTGAATTACACTTGGACATCCCAGATTCCATCACCACATGGGTGACAGAGGCTATTGGTTTGTCTGCAGAAAAGGGTTTGGGCTTGGCTCGGACTGCAGAACTGCGTACATTTAAGCCCTTCTTCATCGACTTCACTCTGCCATACAGCATTGTTCGTGGTGAACAAACTAAAGTCCCGCTCACAGTATACAACTACTTGCCTACATGTTCAGAGGTTTGTGTGCACAAGATTTCAAAAATTCAAAAGATAACACCATTATAATAAAGAATTGGAGCTAATAAACAACCACCCAAAAAACCCTAGAAACAACCTCTCAGCAACAGATTATCACCACTTTAGCAGAGTGACAGCAGGTTTTACTTTGACAAGCACCTATTACAAAAATTATACACTGCAATTGTTACTGTGGAAAGCAGTTTGCCATTATATCATGTGTGGTATGAAACTTTATTTCATATTTTGAATTGTGGTATGTGCAGAGACTAGATCTGCAGCATTTTTGATGCTAAGCGGTTTAAAGTTGAATCCTTAAGCAAGGGAGACCACGAGTTAGGCAGCATGGAAAATGTGCAATGCACCTCAGAAATTCCCCAGAATCTTTTGAGAACCCTTGGGAGTTCATGCTGTATAAGTTTGATAATGTGGAGAGCATGTGTTTGTGCATATGGAGAAGCTTCATGAATTATTTTTATGCTCGCTCTCTACAGGTCCATGTGAAAGTGTCAGTGCCCAAAGGGATCAAGTTTGTGGGTCACCCAGGGAAGCACCATCTTACCCGGAAAAAGTGTGTGGCACCTGGGGAGGCCACGCCCACTTTTATAGTTCTGCTGTTTTCTGAACTAGTGTCTGCCAACATCACAGGTTAGTGCATTAAATATTAAGGCCCTGTTTACACTAAAACGTTTAAGTTTTGAAACACATAAGTTTTGCTATGGTTATGCCATCCATCCACACTATGCCAGAGTTTTCGAATGTCAAAAACAAAGCTTTTTGAAGAGACCGTTTTCCTTTTAAAACGCTGCTGCTCCATGTGTTTGGTGAAAAACAAACAGTGTGAATGGGGGAAAACGGAGGCAGGGCTGCAGACATTCGCCTATCTGATTGGGGCTTTTCCTCAATATTAAGTACCCTAAACAAAGTTCAGTCTTGTATCCTCTTCTTGTAAGATTAGACTTTACAAGATTGATATGGAAAACAAACTCCCGAGGACTCGTCGGGTAAATCTTCAAAGGAAACAGTGTACTTTAAAACCTCATTCACATCACCCTGGCTACGTTGTTTCACTTTCTTAACAATAAAATTAAAACATGATATAAGTAACTGCCTATTTTCATTTTGATATTAGCAACTTAACAGACACCAAAAATGTTGAGGCGTCATGTAGCTACATATATATGATGGCCATCTTCACTGTATGCATTTAAAACAAAATGGAGCCTATAACATTATTGCTTTCTTTCATTTTCATAAAAAATACGAAACATCTGTTTTACTGTGTATCAGTCTTAATAATCAATAATGTCCATTATAAAAGTATGGGAAAACCAACAACTTTAAAGAAATAGCATACTAAATAAAATAAAAAAAACTGAGGTGCATCTTGGGATGTTTTTTTTTTTAACTATTAAAAGAAATGTACTAAACGCTGAATGCTTATTTAAACACTCTGACCATGTTTTTGGATCAAGATCAAATTCAGTCAGACTTGTCTGGAACTCTATAAATCTTGTGTTTGCTAGATGTTTCACTAGAATCTTGTATTTATTCTCACTGTTGTTTACTGACGTATTTTTATTTGAAGATTTTGCAAGCATTCTTGGGAATTGTTGCCACTTATTTTGACTTTGTCTCAGCCTGCACTTCCTTAGATGAAGTGCCATTTCAGCAAAGTTTCCAAATAAAACCCTTGTCACTGACCTTTATGTATTGACTCATGCAGGACAAAATAAATGTTCTTTTTTGGGCTATCAGACAAGGAAAAGCACATACAGTCTTAGTGGATAGGGGTCTTTTCCATGCATGTCAAAGAAATTTGCAGGTCAGTGCTGGCCAGTGGGCCCCCCATGGCTCTGTCCTAGTCCCCCTGGCTCCAAGTCCTTCCTTCTCACTACACACATACAAAAGGGCTTTGCTGGCAAGCAGCCATTCTGCTGCAAAAACATGTGTGCATCCTATTATCCCAAGGCCATCATGATCTCTGAAGACATTACATTGTTTGATAAAAAAAGGAGGAACACATGCTGCCAGAAGTCTCCCATCAGAGCACCCACAATGCAAATAAAGCATTTTCAGCATCATTGAGTTGTGATCTTTGTCATCTTCCATATTTGCTTCTATGGCAGCTCGCGCTGTGGCCTACAGTGAGCCAAGTTGCTGCTCTGATGGGCTGCAGTCCAGCAAAGCAAGCAAAGCGGGTGAGGAACAGGAAGACAGAAGCCCTGTGGGCATGGATTATGTGCGCAGGAGTGTGCTGGTAGAGGTGGGAATCTTGAATCTTATCGTCATCATATACAGTCCATCCGGGAAGGAATCATATCGCTTTACTTTTTCCACATTTCTTTATGATACAGCCTTATTCCAATATGGATTAAATCAATTTATTTCCTCAAAATTCTACACATAATACCCCATAATGACAATGTGAAAAAAAATTGAAAGAAAATAAAAATAAAAACACAAGTAAATAAGTATCTACAGCCTTTGCCATGAAGCTCAATTATATTCTGTTACCAATGATCATTCTTGAGATTTTTAAGCAGCTTCACTGGAGTTCACCTGTGGTAAGTTCAGTTGATTGCACATGATTTGAAAAGGCATACACCTGCCTGTATAAGGTCCCAGGGTTGACAGTGCATGCCAAAGCACAAACCAAGCGTGAAGACAAAGGAATTGTCTGTAGACCTCAGAGACAGGATTGTCTCGAGGCACAAGGCTTGGGAAGGTTACAGAAAAAAATTCTGCTGCTCTGAAAGTTTCAATGAACACAGTTGCCTCTATCATCCGTGAGTGGAAGATGTTTGTAACCACCAGGACTCTTCCTAGAGCTGGCTGGCCATCTAAGCTGAGTGATCGGGGGTAAAGCGAGGTGATCAATAACCCGATGATCACTCTGTCTGAGCTTTCACCTGGTATTTGCCAAAAGGCATCTGAAGGAATCTCAGACCATAAGAAACAAAATTTTCTGGTCTGATGAGACTAAAATTAAACTCTTTGGAGTGAATGCCAGGCCTTACTTTAGGAGAAAACTAGGCACCGCTCATCACCAGGCTAATACGATTCCTACAGTGAAGCATGGTGGTGGCAGCATCATGCTGTGGGGATGTTTTTCAGCAGCAATAACTGGAAGAGTAGTCAGCATAAAGGGAAAGATGAATACAGCAATGGACAGAGACATCCTGAATGAAAACCTGCTTCAGAGTGCTCTCAACCTCAGACTGGGGCAACAGTTCATCTTCCAACAGGAATGACCCAAAGCACACTGCAAAAATATCAATGGAGTGGCTTCACAACAACTCGGTAAATGTCTTTGAGTGGCCCAGCCAGAGCCCAGACATAAATCCTATTGAACATCTCTAGTGAGATCTGAAAATGGCTGTATACCATCGCGTCCCATCAAACCTGATAGAGCTTGAGAGGTACTGCATAGAGGAATGGGGAAAAATTCCCAAAGACAGGTGTGCCAAGCTTGCTGCTGCTAAAAGTGCATCAACAAAGTATTGAGCAAAGGCTGTGAATACTTCTGTAGATGTGGTTTTTCAAGTTTTTTTAATAAATTTGCAACAGTTTCAAAAACTCCTTTTCACATTGTCATTATGGGGTATTGTGTGTAGAATGTTAAGGAAATAAACTAATTTAATCCATTTTGAAATAAGGCTGTAACAAAAAACTGGAAAAAGTCAAGCGCTATGAATACTTTCCGGATGCACTGGATTTAAATAGGTGTATTAATAAATATAAAATAACCATTCTGACACATTTTGAATGTACATATTGATTTACTGAGCCTTTATGATCTGGCATGCATGATAAAGCTTTTTAATAATAATTATTATTATTGCTTTTTTCATTTTTAAACAGGGTTTTTGTGTTCTTTTCTGTGTGTAAGCCTTTTCAAGGGCAAAGAAAAATGTTCTCATTTTTTAGTAAATTATTGCAGAGTAAACATTCCATTAGTTTGTTTAGTTAGTTTGGGTTGCATGTTTGCTTAAACATCCCTCTCTTCCTGCTTTTCCATAGCCTGAAGGTTTGCCCAGAGAGTACACGTACAGCGTCTTTTTCTGTCCAAATGGTAATCAAGTTTTTTTCTCTGTTCTTTATTTTCTACTATGTTCAGACTGAGCCAAGCCATAATAAATTTCTCCCTTCACATTTTGCAGAACGAATCCACATTTCCACACCCAACAAATACGAGTATCAATATGTGAAGAAGCCAGCCAAAGTCACGCATGTCCAAGTGGCCATCAAAAGTCACAATGATGCCCATATTGCCCTCTCTCCCAGCGCACATGACAGCACTGAAATGGTGGAGATTGTGCTGGGTGGGCGGCAAAACTCGCGCTCCTGGATCTCACGGGGAAAGATGGGAGAGCCTGTAGTTAGCACCCCAACACCGGGAATCCTGTCCTGGGATGAGTTCCGCAGCTTTTGGATCAGCTGGAGAGGAGGGGGAGTGCAGGTAATTTAGACCTTTTGTAAACATTAGGGGATATAGTTTTTGCTACAATATGCTGTAGATGGCAGTTAAGGGTGTGACATGTGAATTTACTCATAGTTATAGGTTGATTTTTATAGCCGGTGTCACTGTTATAGCTGGGGAGGATTATGTTCAGATCTTGTTGGCAGTGATGCTTAAACACTTAGTTTGTTCAAACATAAAAAATGAATCTCCTGAGACCTTCGTTCTTCAGAACACAAATTAAGTTTATTTCTTTTTTTTTGGCTTAGTCCCTTTATTAATCTGTGGTCGCCACAGCGGAATGAACCACTAACTTACCCAGCACATGTTTTACGCAGTAGATGCCCTTCCAGCTGCAATCCAACACTGGGAAACACCCATACACTCTTGCACACACTATTGCACACACTATATACATTATGGCCAGTGTAGCGTATCAAACTCACCTGTGAAACCGCATGTCTTTGGACTGTGGGGAAAACCAGAGAACCCAGAGAAAACCCACGCAAACACGGGGAGAACATGCAAACTCCACACAGAAATGCCAACTGACCCAGCAACCTTCTTGCTGTAAAACGATTGTGCTACCCATTGTGCCACCGTGATTTCATCTAAAAGTAAGTTATTTTAAATCCAAGAGCTCTCTCATCCCCCATTAACAGCAATATTTCAGAAACACTCAAGGCTTTTGTGCTGCACTACTGACTATAATTGCAGTACATTGTACTGCCCTGCGTATAGTAAATGTGCACACTGATGTCCTGACTTGGGAGAGAAGATATAGGTAAACCAATTAATATTTTCAGGGCTTACTCCGTAACACTGCTTAAAATAAAGGACCTTATTGTACTAGTTAATATGATTGCAATAATATGATTTATGAGTTATCTTGCTTTCTCTAGAACAGAAATATTTACATTTAAATCTGAAGCTACTGCTTCCTTTCAAATAGTAGTGATGTGCGATACCACTAGTTTCCTATCCGATCCGATACCAAGTAAAAATAAAAGAGAGTATCGGCGATACCGATCTGAATCCGATACTTTGTCCAAAAATTACTGTTTGAAAAATAAAGTAAAGTTAAGTAGTGTACTTAAAAGTGTCACTTTATACTGAATACGAGACATAATACGGGTTATTCTTGTTTATTGATGAAGAATTATCATACAAAAAAGAGCCAACTTACGTATTTATTGACAGCATCTGAGCACGTATATCTTAAAATGCCTGCCTGAACATCTTAACATAAAACAATAAACATTCACTCCTTTTAGTTTAGTGACATGTTAATCTGGTCCTCTTAAGGATTTTGAACCTTTTTCTTTTGTTTTATCATTGTCACAAAAACCCAAGCCCCCAAAATACAGCCACATCGCCACATTTTCTCCCTCTGTACCTGGATAGTGCCTCTCTTTTCCTCCTCTTCTGACCGCCTAGTCATGACGTAGTCATATTCTGTCTTAAGATTCATTTGTAGGTGTTTGATTAGGTTTGTGGTTTTACCACAGAACCTAACTGTTTTGTTACACGTGTCGAAAACCGCATTATTTGAGTTTATGGAAGTGAAGTAGCACCACGCAAAATATCACCCAAGTAGTCCCGCCTAAGTTGGCATTATTAAGATAAACTAGAGTAATTGTGGTTAGTTTCCTTAGTTAGGCTACATATTTGCTCCAAATTACTGAAATATCGATATTTTGATAATTTGATCGATTCTAAAACATACAAAGCTGGTATTGAAGATATAAATATTTTAGTATAGATCCGCACATCACTATCAAATAGCAGGAACAGCATTTTATTTTACTTTTGATAGTGACCTATTTTCATTAAAGCATAGTGAGTCATGTTCCATTTTAGATTGTCATATTTAAAGTACATTATAGAATATTTAATGACAAATTATTGTCAATAAGGAGCCAGTCTGTTTATGGGAGATTCCAAACTCAGTCTATGTAGGCTTAAGGTGATGTGGGTAGCTTTTGCCAAGACTTGGCAATTGTTTTTATGAGCCTCCTGTGCTTGTTAAATGCAGCATTCATCAAACTGCTTTTTAAGTAGAACTTAATTGGTTTCCATGTTGTTACTATTAAATTAAAGTGTACTCATGCTTGTTTGGGTTCTTCTGGATGAGCACATACATTTCTCCATCATGTCATGCACAAATCAGTTCATCACTTTGAAAGGGTCTTTCAAAAAAGTCAAATCTTGGCTTTGATTTTCACAGGCTGCACACACAAACACAAAACACCAGTGCTTCTCTGTTTGGATTCTGTGTTTAGCTGGTCTCCCAGTACTCAAAGCACCCATAACCTCCCTCACTAAAAAAGATTGACAACCAACAAGATTGTTTTTTTTTCATTGTGACAGGTGGGACATGGCCTAGAGCCATCCAGTGAGACCACGATTCTGCAATTGGCCGGACCACTTACTAGTCAGGTGCGTCATATCGGTTTTTCCACTGGTTGGGGTTCCATAGGTGAGTTCAGGATCTGGCGCAAAGAAGATGCTGATGAGAACCACAATGAGGCCTTCACTCTGGGAGTCCCACACAATGTGGTGCCAGGCTCAGAGAGAGCCACCGCTGCCATGATTGGTGAGGATAAATCCATTGTGTTGTCTGACAGAATGTTGTAGCACTTCACAAGTTGATTATCTTCTGTGTCCCAGGTGATGTTATGGGGCCCACCCTCAATAACCTTGACAAGCTTCTAAGACTCCCCTTTGGTTGTGGGGAGCAGAACATGATCCACTTTGCTCCCAATGTCTTTGTGCTGAAGTACCTTCAGAAAACCCATCAGCTTAGCCTAGAGGTGGAGGCAGAGGCTACAGACTACCTACTTCAAGGTACAAGACAGAACATGTTATTGACTTTAAATGTGTCTTCTTGATTAATAATCTTCTGAGGAATTATTTTAAAGTGGTGTGAACGCAGTGCAAACAATGCCTTTGGGTCTTCCAATGTACCTGGCAGGTTATCAGAGGCAACTGACATACAAGAGGCAGGATGGTTCCTACAGTGCCTTTGGGGAAAGAGATTCCTCCGGAAGCATGTGGTAAGCTTCTAATGTGTGAAGTCTGTACACGCTATGTCTGCTTAGAGGTTAGCTTTAATTACAATAGTGTAAGCCATATTTTTGGTTCAAGTATGTCCTTTGTTTAACCCCCATCTCCAGTCAGAGAAAGGTGAGCTTTATAAACAGTCCCTATAAGATATTTTTATTTTCAAAAACATCATCATATATCGACACACCAATTTACTCTGATTTATTATAAGCTAGTGCTCAGGTTGTATATATGCTCAAGTTGTAAATGTGCTGAACACAAAAATTGAAGTGATTCATTTAAGCATGGTTGCCTGACTTTTAATAGAGCAGTGGATTGTTAAATGTCAAACTGACTGTACCCTTGAGCCTTATTAACAAACTACTAATAAGCTCCTTGACTCCAGTCACCGGAGTACAGATTTATTGGTTGTTTTGGGGATTTCTTCCCGTGGTCCAGAACAGACATCATTAAGTATGCCCTCTGTGAGGTCAACAGCCCCTACCCCCCACTACATTGCCCGCCATGCTATTGGACACAGGAGCCCAAGTTACCGAAAAATTAAGTTAGCCTTGGCTAAATGGAGTCTCAAAAATTAGGACACATATATGATGCCTGTCACCCCTAACTCCTGTATAAACTTGCACAGCTACTGATTTTAATTGGACAACTAGTCATCCAGAAAATTATTTTACTAGTCAGAAGGGTAATGTTTGTCTTATGTAAATTACTCAGAATACACCCTTTACCTTATGCCATGATGTTCCTGGCAACATTGATGCTTCATTGACACATGAGTGGAGAAAATACTTGAATGATAAATTGATGAAAGTTAAAAATGGATCTGTAAACTTTGGGCCCCACTGAGAATACTACATGAAGCAGCGTACTTAGTGGGGACTTCTATTTTAAAGCTGGTGGGACATTGCCAGTAAGGATGTCAAAGATTGTATATTTGTCGGAGAATGTTTATAAGTCCAAAACAACTCTACTTTGTTTCTGGTCTAGTTTCAGTTATTAGCACAGATCATTTATTGCCAGGCGAACAGCAGCTCCAGAGTTGAGCTAATATGTCCCAGCTTGGGCTGAATGATAGGACAGGAAATTGTGGTTCCTAATGAAAAGATTGGCTATAATGGTGCAGCAAGTATTTAATGTTCCCATCAGCACCTTGGTGCCTGAGTAATGCCAAGGCTTTCAAATCTAATCTGCTTCAGTGGAAAGAGCAGCTAACGTCCTGGAACACAGTGGAAACTTTTATTTGTAAATGCCTGGAAGGAAGGTGCAGCTTTAGCAGACTTTTGTAATCTGCGAGGATGTTTTTAAAAGCGGAGATGTTTAGGCTTTCACCCAGAACTGGCAACCCATCTTCTGGCATCACTCACTGGCATCAGCATGTCTGGATCCAATGTGAGCCACATGCGGCAGTAATCTACCCTGCATCTCTCAGTAACCCCCAGCAATCTTCCAAACTCCTGTTAGGTTGCTGCAAAATTTAAGGAGATAAAATAGTAGTTCTCCTAAAAATGTTTTTTTTTTCAAATAAATTCTGAAGGAAGACTTATAAATAAGTATACTGGCTACTCTTTTCGATATACTGAGAGTGATATGCTGATAGGGTCAACAGTTATTGCTATTAGAGAGGAAGGAGCCCAGTTTAATGCAATCCAAGTAAATTTCTGATGTCAACAATTTCTGGTGCCTTAAAACCACATGCAAACTGATATACTTAAGGTTAGTTTTAGTTTGTTTTTGCATGCTTGGAGTGGTTCACCACAGATGTTTCAGGATCATTTAGGAACCCTATTTGCCTTGAGAATCCTGGCAGAGATTTCCAAGCATTCCACAGCATTAGGTAAGGCGACTTCTTACAAGTGATATATTGTAAGAAATGCACCTTGCAAACTTCTTACTTAATGTCTAAATGCAAGCACAACTAGTAGAACCATGTGGTGTACCCTTCACTTCGTTTCCTCTTTATGTCATTCAAACATTTTCTAGAAACCTTACTCTTGGGTCAGGCAGTTAAAGTGTTGACAGTATTACCTAACAATACAACAATTCTTGCAGGCTTAATGCTCCAATCTTATGGCATCTCTTGAGGAATATAACATTCAAGGCTAGGCCTGCAAGGACTCTCTGGTTTTGGTGTTTGTTTTGACATCCATACAACTTGTGTCGCTGAAAAACTCCCTTATAGTTTATTTATTGGCCTTTATTTTAAGTCACTTGTATCATCATCTGGCCGCTTTCAGGAATGCCGTCATGACATGCCATGTTGCAGTTAAAACAAATCAGCACATGGTTTGCATGTTTGTAGAGCACTGGTTCAGTTGACTCACAGAGGTGAAAACATTTACAAGGCAAAGTCACTCAGCATTTCCATTAGCTGTTTCCAAAATCTGTCAAGGTTCACCCTTGCTGTGATGTTTCAGTTTATCTATGCAGTTCCATACTTTGAATACTCTTGCATGCAGGAACATACATGATTTCACATTCTCCAAGAAAATCTCCTTTGTTCGCCATATGTTTCTACATTGACTTGCAGAGCAAAAGTTTCAGTTTGTTTGACCGTGTCAATTGCTATATCTTCTGAAAAACATTTCAAGATTCTTTTCAAATTGCCTACAATCTACTCAAGTGGTCAGTGTTGATACATGTCACCTCTTGGACTTCTAGGTTGACAGCATTCGTACTGAAATCATTTGCCCAGTCACGGGGTTTCATCTTTATTGATCCAGAGGAACTGCGTGCTGCCAAATCCTGGCTGATATCCAATCAAAAGGATGAAGGATCATTCCCAGCAATGGGCCGAATACTCAACAAAGACCTTCAGGTACAGTACATAAATGGATTATCTTTCTAGATCTTATGCAGTATATCTAAGATATACTGCATGACTGACCTAGGAATTCTATATGTTAGCAGTTTATCCAAGACACGAAAGGAATAGCTTAGTCAAAGAAATGTTTACGCTTGTTTCAAATGCTTCCAATAAATCATGAAAGAACCATTTCAAAAACAGTTCAGAACATCGCTTATTTAAGCCAAGAGCTTTTGAGGTTTACAAGCTCTCATCAAACTGAGGAAGCTGGGATAGAGGTGTTATTTGTCATCACTCTGGTGAAGGTTGCTCTGTCCAATTCCTTTTAAGGGTGGGATTCATGGAAAGATCTCCTTGACTGCATATGTGGTGGTGGCTCTTATGGAAACTGGAATTACAACAGAGGTGAGAGATCTCCCACATTTTGTTCATGCTGTGTCCCATTAAACTGCCTCTCAGTGAGGTCTCATAGACAACTTTTTTTCGTGCAAATTTCCGGCATTTGTGTTGAGAGGGTATTGCTGCTTCTTAAGATGATGGATGTCCTGGCAGGGAATCAACAGTATTTCTTTCAGCTTTTTGATAGGTAATCTAATATGGAAGCTTGCTGTCTAATTGTAAAGATTTACGATAAGAACATGCAGAGACAATGGAACTCTTTAGAAATTTTCTCTCTGCATACATTCCTTTCTTCAAAATTAAACAAGATTTGACAATTCCATTAAAATGCTGTATATATATTAAGGTTGTAAAAGTTTATGTTAGCATGCAAGTTTAAGTTTTATTCAAACTGACCTTACCTGATGAGATCGGCAGGATGAAATTAATAGTATAATTGTTTGACAGCTCTGATTTGAATCGCTTCAGTCATTTGTACAATCTAATGTCTCATTACCAAAAAAGTTCTCCCTCAAGTTAGCCTGGTTGGTTTTTCCCACCTGCTCTCTGATGTGTCACTTTGGTATTGTGCAGCATTGTAGCCTTCGAACTACAGATAAAATGAGACATTTCAAAGATCTGTTTCTCTCAAATCAACTTGATGAAAAGAATACCGGGAAGATTAGCGTGCATGGCTGCTCAGGGCTAGCGTCCAGGTTTCATGAGAAAAAGGACATATGGTACAGATAAAAGTCAGTCCCCTGATGCTCAACAGATGAAAGATCATTAGCACATAAGTTGTATGTTTCTTAGGGAGAAAAAGCTGAAGGATTGGAATGATTTGTACTGAGGGTATTTGTAAGTTCAGCTCAAGAAACACCTGTTAAATATGCCAAATCTTAAGGTCATTTCATACACCTTTACAAGTATGCTAAGATCTTTCTTCTCAGCTAATGGATTATTCTAAATGGTGCTTTTATTCAGGAGGAAAATGTTGCTGTGGCTAAAGCGAAGGCATTTTTGGAGAGCAACACTTACTCTGCTGACGACCCATATACAACCGCTCTATCAGCATATGCACTCACTTTACTTCGCAGTCCTTATGCTCCACTGGCTTTACGGAGACTTAATCACATGGCCATTACCCAAGGTACTTCATCAACTTTTATCAAAAGATAGTTGATGGTTAAGCTTAGCATGCTGTTGACTAAATATTCTCGCATCCTTTCAGATGGTTTCACTCATTGGAGTCTTACTGGCAGGACAGAAACTGATGAGGACACGTTCATGGGATTTAGCGATGGCCTCTCCCAGTCAGGTATCTGTCAATCAATCAGTCAGTCGATTACCCAGTGGTCCCCAACCTTTTTATCACTGAAGACCAATTAACGCATGATGATTTTATCGAGGAGGGCAGGAGGGGGAAGTGGGGGTAGTTTGCTAGGTGACCAGTAACCATTTTCTCATGACAAGCTGACAAAACATTGCTGTCACTCTGATACAAGTTTCATTTATGGAGAAAATTACAAAGCACTGCAGTATTTGGGTGTGTATATTCCATACAAGCTGAAGCTGATTGGTCAGTTTTTGACACGTGATTTGTGGTGCACTCCCGGTATTCATTCAACTGTGTGCGTTTGGAAGGTGCGAGCCACTCCATTAGAAATAACGAACCTGCGTGAACTCTACAAAGACGCGATATACGAACGACCCCTAAAAGGGGTCATCATTTGCAATCTCCAGCAGATGATCTTGCACAGACATGGTGGATTTGCCTGATTTGTTGACAAATGGGTAGCGGATCCATTCCTTGGCAGTTTGTGGGTCCTTCATTGGGCTTTTTCCCCTAAGCAAAGAAACTTTCCAAAGATGTCTGTTTCTTACTCGTTTGCTGGCTGTGGGTTAAATTTGGGTGCTCAAGTGACCAATTTAACGAGAGAATATGGTATTTTTTTTAAATAAAAGACTTTTCAAAACAAAAAGATCATTCAGACTCAGATAATAAATAAAACTGAAATAATTAATGATTTCTTGTGAGACCAATTGATCCATGGACCAATACCTATCTGCGGCCCAGGGGTTGAGGACCACTGGATTATCCAACAGTAATTAAGATAGTAATCTATGTTCTGCTTTATTAGTTGTGTCAGCCGAAGTTGAGATGACAGCTTATGGTCTACTCACCTACACACTTCTGGGTGATGTGGCTTCAGCTCTTCCTGTAGTTAAATGGTTGTCACAACAAAGGAACGCCCTGGGTGGTTTTTCCTCAACACAGGTAAGAAAAACAAATATTTTGTTTTTCAGCCCTTGGTTTTCTAGATTTTTGAAGTGTGTGTAGAACGAATTTTATGCAGATGTTTTGTTTGTCTACATATAATCAACTGCATTTGCTAAAATGTGCAACATTTCACAATGCAATGAATTCCTTACAGCTTGTACAATTTTTCCATTATCCATCAAACGCTTACAGTTGAACACGAATCAACTATGTTCAAGGGGTATCACGATACTGGAATTCGATACCAATTGGTACTGTAATTTTAAAAACGTCCATTTACCACAAGCATTTAAGAGCTGAGGAGCACGTTCTTAAACAGCGCTGATTTGCCATTGTGTTCACATGCTCAACAGAAAAGACCGTGATTGGCCGTGAAGGTCATCAGTTCACTGAATCACTGCTGTTTACTGATTGTAACCACAGATACAAGGACACTGGAGCGTTTCAAAGTCAAGTCAATCAGCTGGTTTGTCTATAGGCTGACACACGAGCCACCCGCTAATGAATCGTGGCTTTAAAACGTGCTCCACAGTGCTTAAATGTTCATTTTTAAAATGTCAGTACCAATTGGTATGAAAAGGCTATTGGCCAAAAGACTATAACTGCAAAAAAAAAAAAAAAAACTATAATTTGATTTCTTTTCGGAAACTCAGCCGCGTGCGTGTCAAACTTTTGTTGAATTCCGGCTTCCAAAGATTTGATCACTGCCATTATTGAAGCCCCATCAAACATGCTGGTTTTATCTTTGGCCGACTGCGGGCCCATTAGAGCTCGCCAAATATGTCTTTTTCTGACGCGGAGCTTTCGACTTCGAGGCGTAAAGTTCAGAAATAGTCAACAAAACAAGCTAGCAGCTGCAGCAATAAACTTGAAGTAGGCTATAACTATGTATTTAGTAATTTTAAGAATTAGTTTGCAGAGCTCCCGACTTTGCGACTTCACATGGTGGACGCTAAACCGAAAGTCCTATAATTTGATTTCTAAGATGATAATTAAGCACAATTTGTACTGATCAGATGTCATATTTCAGTGTCTGCTTCCAAATTATTATTTTTTTTTATAAAAATAGAAAATAAAATGCATATTAAAGTAAAATGTCTATTTTAACGTCAGTTTAATGCTTCTGTGAAAATTAAAACGTCAAAATTGTATAATTATAATGTTCCAACACCATTCAGTAATGAGGATGGAAGTAATGCAAGCCTCACTCAATAATGTTCCATCAATGTTCAGTAAAAATTTCATTTTAATGTCTTCTGTGAAAATCAAAATATGTATAAAAATAATGTTCCATCATCATTTAGTGTATAACTACCTAAAACTAAACTGGCATACTTTATCTGGGAGGTACTCCTATTAATCTTAAAAAGGAAGATAGATATCTATTTAAGAAGATTTTGGCAACAAGTAAAAAAGCTATAACCTGGAAATGGTATAACGAAGAGCCACCAACTAAAGATGAATGGTTCAAAATTATAGCAGAAGTTAAGGAAATGGGAAAAATGACACATGCACTTTGATTACAATTAGAAACCTTTGAAAAGAAATGGAGTAAATGGCTGGCTTTCCCCTCAACGAGAATATAATTATTTATAATTAAACATTTACATAATTCTAGAGGTTATGTATCATTGTGAAAATATGTTTGGCAACCTTTTATTATATTTTATTTTATACTTATTTATATATTTATTTTGATGAGGTTAATTTAATATTTTTATGCATGTACGTACAGTATATGGATATACATGTGTGAAATGGATGTATTTGCCTATATAAATATGTATTTTATGTATATTTATGTATATATGTATTATTTTTATTTGCTTGTTTGTTCCCACTGGTTATATGTTCCTAACAAATCAATAAAAACGAAGTTAAAAAAACTGAACTGGCACACTTTATCGGAGTTGTGCTTATTGAAATAGATTAAGAGTCTTTATCTTAAAATGTATTTAAATGTAAAGCATTCAAAAAATTTTGACAAAGAAGTTTAAAGGATTTTTCTGAAATATAAAGATTTAAAATGACAACAAGTGTTTTGTTTTTATGTTTTTTTAATGTCCTCAAATGATTCTTGTTTTAAAAACATTTTTGTATCTTACAGTTTAGTCTTCAGTAAATCATGGTAAAAATGGATTATAGTTATATTTTACTTATTTTTGTCCTGACCCACTTGAAACTTAGTCCAGTTAAAATGACCAATCAAAATGCTGGGTAGTGGTTACACCAAGTAGTATAGGGTTCATACAGTAATGGGAAACCTGGAAAAGTCATGGAATTTTGACATGGCATTTTCCAGGCCTGGAAAAGTTTTGGAAAAACAGAAAAACCTGCAAGGTTTTGGAAAAGTATTGGAAATTTCATTTACATTTAGCAGACATTTTTGCCCAAAGCGACTTAAGCTGTGGTCACACTTGTGCTTAGAAAATTCTGTCGGACGATGCTGCAAAAAGGATCAGGATATTTATAAAAGTAAGCTATTGCTCCATATTTTAGATTTATTATTTTAAATGATCTTCTACTGGTCTCACACAATCACCTGTTGTAATTTCGCAGGAAAGAATTCACCAAGCTTAAGCTTTCGAATGCAGTGAAATGCAAATAATGTGCTTGTGTTTCTGGTCTGCCGCATTTGCTTGCCTAAAATTGGAAGTCTAGAGCGAAAAGTGCAGTGTGATCGCAGCTTTAAAATAGAAGTAGTTTTACTAATATTACTATTACTATAATTATTGTTAACTATTACTACTTTAATAAACTATTACCTTCATCTAAAATTAGTTTGACAAATATCTGTATATTGGAATGGAGTTTAGTTGTTTTTACTTCTTTTCTCAGCCAAAACATGCTCTCACATTATTAGTGCTGTGTAAGAATCAATTATTTTACATAGATATAAAAATAATTTGAACTATTGCATGTTTTATGTTATGCTATAATAAATGTAAACGTTTCTTATAATTGACCACGTATATGTAGGCATTACATTAAACATTAGGTCATGAAAATTGACTTGAAAGTCCTGGAAAAGTCATGGAGTTTTTGTAGTAAAAATGTGCATGAACCCTGATTATAGTATAAGTAAAGTAGAATTGCTCTATTAAACCTGGGCTTCTTTTCTTTTTATTCAACTACAGGACACTTGTGTGGCATTGCAGGCTCTGTCCGAATATGCGATCCTGTCATATGTGGGCGGAGTAAATCTCACTATATCTCTGGCTTCAACTAATCTGGATTTTCAAGAAACTTTTGAACTTCAGTGGGACAACAAGAAGATTCTACAAAAAGCTGTGGTAAAAATCCGCAACAATTGACATCTCAACATTCTGCTGTCGGAGAGGTATTTCCAGTGAAGGCCTGAACTTGATATGCCTCTCTTCTCAGCATCTGCTTGGCACATCACCTCATTTTGTGATTAGCAGTGTCAGTTTAAATGCGTGTAATTTGGATGTTGGACAGGGGCCAGTCGGTTAATGTATTTGCTTATACTTGCGCCGTTAAACTAATTGATAAGTCTTGCATTCTCTCTCTCTTTGTTCAGATACCCAGCATTCCAACAGGACTGTTTGTCAGCGCTAAAGGAGAGGGCTGCTGTCTAATGCAGGTACTGTTGGTTTCTGGCAAACCGAATCCCACATTCTCTCCATGGATAAACGATTGTTCTCTTCGTCCTCCTCATCTAGAAGTGAATCCTTCTTTGGCGACAGCAAGCGCTCTTTCCAGGGGAAATTCTGTACTAATGTTCACATTCCTCCCATCCTTAAAATGGAAGGATCTGGTAAAACTTTAGCAGTTGAATGCCAGGGGTATGTTCTTTCTCCTGTAATCTACCCTTTAGATAGGATGGTACATTCACATTTTTTGGTAAGATTCCCTCAGAAACAATAGACTCATTCTGGGCCACAAAAACAACCAGGACTGCCTTAGCACCTTGACCTAGAATGTTCTGTTCTCAGGTTGTATGGAGGAAAAAATAAAATCTTTTAAGTGTCCACGAAAAAAAAGTCACAGCAAGATTCCTCACACTAAATATTACAAACTTTTGCACTATTTTGGGCAAAAAAATTACAACTGCCATTGTTAAATAAGGTTTGGTTACACTATCTAGCCACATTAACCTGTTCAACAGCTTGTTAACACAAATATCTAATCAGACAAACCAACCGAGATTGGTGACAAAAGTAGCTTTGAATGTGGTTTGGTTGTTGGTGTCAGACAGGCTGGTCTGAGTTAGGGTTGGGCGATGTCGAACAATTTGGCATCGTATGATGTCTAATGTAAAACATTGAGATGGATTCTAATAATTTATTCATAACTAATTAATTATTTGTAGCCTAATGTTTCAACTACCTGACCTGCATGGTCTTTGTTTTACCCATAACCAAATCATAAATAAATAAAGATAAGTTACACACAAATTACCACTGGTCAATCACTTTTTCCGCAGACTCTGGCATGTATAAACAGAGTGATCTGTGTCGTAATAATCGTGTCGACAAACTTGATTGGTAAAAAAGGTGCACAACCAACAGGAACCAACCAACAGTATCTGAGGTTTTCACTAAAATTACTAAGTACAAGCATAAAGCAAAAGATTGAAGCAGTGTACTGACGCTGTATCACGTTACCTAATAGATTCAAAACACAGAGTCGCTAGATAGAGACAAGATTAATTAAATATCACATTTACCAACTATAGTAAGACGCGATCCAGCGGTACATCCTTGACAAACGTATTAGTGTAAACGGGGCCTAAGTTTGTATTTCTTGAGAGCGGGTTGCTGCTGTGACAGGGGCGTGGCGAAGGATTGCAATGCCGGCTCAGCATTGTGATGTCTATTGGCCATCAACGATGGACGATGGCACCATCTATCAACCCAACCCTAGTCTGAATATTTTAGAAATTGCTGATCTACTGAAATTTTTGTGCACGCCCATCTCTTGGGTATGCAAAGAATTGACTGAAAAAGAGAAAACATCCAGAGAGCTGCAGTTTTGTGGACAAAATGCCTTATTGATAGTGGAGGTCAAAGAAGAATGACCAGACAGAACGCTGAATCAAATATTACAACTGAGGTCTGCATTAGATTATCTTTAAATAAAGTATATATCAAACCTTAAAGAAAATTAGCTACAGCAACAGAGGAAGAGCACGCTGAGCGCCATTCAAGCCAGCCAAGAACAGAAAACTGAAGCTGCCTACAATACATATGCGCTCATCAAAGTTAGAGAATTAAAAATTAAAAACAAGGCCTTGCTGAATCTATAGCACTAGCAAGTACTAGCAAATACTAGCAAGTTGTACCTAATGGGGTGCCTAGTGAGTGTGAAAAAAGACTAACGTTTATTTCAAACCAAACTTATTTTGGTTGGTCAGCCTTGTGAATTTGCAAGATAAACCATGGAGTCTAAATCATAGACTGTAAAATATATGGACGTAGTATACGTGACGTCACCCATAGGTTTCTAAAGAGCGCAAAAGAAGCCACAAGTAGGCGCGGCCAACCGTTGCCATTTTGTTCGCTGGTCATCACGCCCACGGCGGGATACCAAACAATGGCAAAGAGGCGGAGAGTGAGCGAAGCTACAGACACCTGCAGACAGTTTGCTTAGACCTGGTTCAGACACACTTTTTTGGGGGAGAACGCTTAATACTTTATCACCTGTGACTCGTTTGTATTCTGAGCACTTGTGCTTGGTTGTATACTATATTAATAAAGTGTTTAGACTTGTAAAAACACTGCTGTAATACATTGAGCCACTAAACATTGTTCTTATGACGTTTTTCAACAGGAGGAAAACGTGAATTACTTCCAAACACTTCAGATATAGTCTGTGTTAGTTAATGTAAGACTATTGATGAAATCCAGCATAACACTGTATGATTTCTTCAGATGACTGTTCTAGAGCCTACAGCTCATCAATTCGTCAGATTCTGGAGTGCATTACAGCTCTAAATATAAATATAAACGATAAATGATCTTAAATAAAACAAATTCATGTATAGAGATGGTATATAAGTATATAACTTTACTCACATGGGAAACAGGCCACGTGAATGGTTTGTGAGCACAATTAAGTGCACTCAACATGCCATGCCATCTAATAATTGTAGGAAACAAGTCCAAAAGGCAGTTGACTGTGTAAAGCCACATAAAACAACACAGAAATACGATAAATATTCCGTAATCAGTGGCTTATCTCTTCAGGATTCAGCTGTGGTGACGTGACGGCGACCAACGAGACCTAGCTGTCACTCAAGTGGCCACTCCCTTAATTATGCAAACTTAATATAACTTAATATAAAGGAAACGGATGAGTTATAAAAACATTCACCCCCCTCACAGTTGTCATGAAGGGTAATATTAGCTGTATGAACCAAAAAAAATTTTTGTACCAGGCTGTAAACACCTTTTTTTCTGCTGTAAAGTTGGCCATTTTAACATTGGGCTCAATTGAAATTTGCTCTATTTTTGAGCCAGGAGTGGCCAGGACTAGCGGAATTTTGAATGAATTGCAGTTTTAGTTACTTCCGTATTGGCTTCCTGAGGGAGAGCGGGAGGTTGCCGCTTGGTCTAAATCTACATAAGGAAGATTTGGTCCTCCCTTCAAGTAACTGAATTTTGTATTTGTAGCAAGTGTAAATGTGACTGCCATGAATTTGACTCTTGTTTTTGTAGTTGACCTGTCAAACAAATCGCTGCCAATTAAACAGATAATATGTCATACCTCAGCACTTAATTTCCATGTAAATTGTGAGACAAAACCATAGTGTTCTGATCTCAGGGTACTGATCCTATTCTTTTCTCCATCCTCCAGATTGATGTATCCTACAATGTGCCTGATCCTGTGGCCAAACCAGCTTTTCAGTTGAAAGTTGACCTTAAGGAGCCAAGGCAGGAGCAACACATCTTGCCATCCTCACGACACATATCTCCTCGCACACGTTCCCGTGCTGACAACCGCTCAGAGCTGACTCGCAAAAGAAGGGCTCCTGTGGATGACGAGGACCCTGCAGGCCACCAAGATCACCTGGACTACCGTGTTACTTTGGAGGTCTGCACCAGGTAAAAACACAGACTGAAGGATTTTGTCGATTCTATTTCACTTTTCTTAATATGGATGAACAGTCTTAGACTGATTTTGGATTCCCCCCCTCAGGTGGCTACATGTTGGTTCATCCAACATGGCTGTCCTAGAAGTCCCTCTGTTATCTGGTTTCCGTGCAGATATTGAGAGTTTGGAGAGGGTAAGATTGCTCTATTTTATTTGTGTGTTCTCTCTTCTAGAACTTCCCATTATTGTAGAAAGCAAGACTGACAATGTGTCTCTGTATTAGGACACTGTGTCTTGCTCTTTCCCTCTTGCTCTCTGCATGTGTCCTACTGGCAGATGGACAGAGTTTACATCTGGAGGCTATTTCAAAGGAAGCAGGCGTGGAATTTATCAGTCTCTTTCATTCTCTCACGAACACAAATATAAACATAAACATAAGCAAAATAATACTCATTCATATTGGCTGTAATATCCATAGCAGCAGCCTGGAACAGGAATTCTTTTAGGGCGGGTCGGGGTCAAAAAGCCCTATTTTTTTTCTCCAGCTGGGGGTATATTATGTGTAAATGGAGGTTGGTTTAGGTCACTTTCATTGTCCCCAGTCAAATGATAGTCCCTCATTAGTCATGTTATAGGTCCCAGGTCTCATGTCCTCCATGCTTGTAAACCAATGCTACCTTGGGGACCATATAACGCGAACTGACTCCGAAGCTCACTGTGGTGGAACGGGTCTCATTAGTGCCATTAGCCAGTAACAAGCTGGCTTTACACGGCCACCTCTGGCTGGCTCCATGTTTATTACACGACCCCGGCTGTTCACATTCCTTGTTTCGCTATGGGAAGTGAGATTGCTTACATCGCCATGTCTCATTGTTTTAATTTATAGTAAGGGGGAGGACATGCTTGGAAGAATGTTTGCTTCTCATATATTCCACAGTGAAAATCAATATTTTTTACAATGAATGGTGAAGTCAGCAGTGTTATTAACGCGTAAGGCTGTAAATGTTGCAATTACGACAACAAACTTTGGTCCCTGAAGCAACGAGTTGCTTTTTTTTAGATTTTTTTTCTTCTTCTGGCATCTCTAACAAGCGAGGCGTTTTCTGCTCTCTGCTGTGGATTTTGGACAAATCAAATCACTATTGGTCATTTATTCAGCTACAGTCATACTGTGCATTTTTGTGTGTGTGTGTGTGTTTATGTTCAAATTTGTCCTTGCGGCGCCAGCTCACACTGGGCCTCTCATAAACCGTGTCCGAGTGCTCGCCACCTTTCTCTTTCTCACTCACACAGGCATAAGATAAACTATGTTACAATGCTAAATGGGCCCAAACTAAATATGATATTTTGAAATGCTTAACGGGAGGAAGGGTAAGAGATACGCAGGCTGTGTTTCATTTCACTTTTAGATACGCACTTGCAAACATCCCTTCCCTTTTCCCCTTAGGGAAATCCCTAACACTATTTTGAAGTCTGTTCCGCTTCATCAAGTGAAGGATGGAAGTTTGCATGGATCTACCCTTGATCCCTCGATTTTGACAGAGGGAGTGAGTCGGCTTCATGTGTCCACTCCAAAACCTACATGTCCCAGAATCCTATGCAATTGTGAGGTCACAACAGCATAGTTGCAAAATGCTCATGGGTTTAGGGCATTCCATTTAAACTCACTTAGGTGTTCTGCAAGTAGTGGACACTTGTGTGATGTAATCAATGAAGTAAATTTGAGGAAATAAGACAGAGGGAAGTTAGAGAGTTAAGGGCATAAAAGATTGCACAGCCTAAATGTAAGAATTAAGATACAAAGATGGTCCCTCTTTGTAGTTCAACTCTACACAAATGTGCAGTGGTAATGTGCATTGGTATTCTATAGTTAACATTACAGCAAGCACTCGCTCTTCTATTAAATAGTCTGACCTGAACCTCAAATGAACCAATCAGATGTTTGGTAGATTTTATTTAAACCACTTTTACATATAGAAAGTGTTTTTGAAGCAGGTTTTCCACTTTTACTGCATTTAACATACCTTGCTATATATTAGCTTATTTAAAAAAATATATTGGTTTATATCTTTAGTTACAGTAGCCTAATTAATTGTCAGGTTTGCTAGAAAATGTATAACAAAGGTATTTTTCATGTAGTAATGATGAACCTTTTGTTTTAATACATGTTAGCTTTTGTATTAAAGTTTGAATTGTTTACAGTACTGCATATTATCATCCTTCTAAATAATTTTATTCCCAGCTCTTGCTGGATAAGCGAGTGGGGCTGAAGAGGTACGAAGTAGATGGACGAAAGGTTCTCTTCTACTTTGATGAGGTGAGTTAATGTTGCATAACAACAGCTTGGTGTAGTGCTAGTGTCAAGATTTACACAATATGACAACTATATGTTGAAATGCTTGAGGTGTTTTGTCAATGGAGCATATTAAGTGAAGTTTATTTATAAACTATTTTCGAGAGGATTGCATGCTTATGACTGACCGCAGCTTGTCCTGCATTAGCTTATGCATAATTCATTAATCAGATGATTCCTAACTCAAAATAAACAACCAGAGCGTCTTACCTTAGTCACCTTTGTCTTGAAGAATCCCCCCTTCCACCCCTATTCCTCCCATTTTCCTTGACAGGGTGGCAGGGTGGCCCAGTGTTTAGCACTGTTGCCTCACAGCAAGAATGTCACTAGTTTAAGTCTTTACCTGCCCAGTTGAAATTTCTGTGTGGAGTTTACATGTTCTTCCTTTGCTTGTGTGGGTTTCCCTTGGGTTCTCCGGTTTCCTCCCACAGTCCAAAGACATGCAACATAGGTAAATTGACCAAAACAAATCGACACCATAGAAGCCCTTAATCTCCAATATATCTCTCCATAGCAATCCCTAATCTGCCATTTGCCATTAACAAGCAGGGGAGTTCTCGAGACCTACCTAAGCTCAAACTCCCCTCTCGCCCTGCAAATGGGAGGGAGCCCCAGGCTCGAGGATCTTATGAGCTCAGGGCTCTCTCCCAGGACAGCATGCCAAACAAGCTTTATAATCAATCATTAGCTAAGTGTGAACTCTTGAAAGAATTGTCATTGTAAAGTGTGCTTAGGTCTTGTCTCATCCACAGATCCCCAGTCAGTGCATGACCTGTGTGGCCTTCAATGCTGTAAGAGAGTATATTGTGGGAAAGACAGCTCCAGTGCCAGTGAAAGTCTATGATTATTATGAACCAGGTGGGTTCCTACACCTCCATACAAAAGCTCATTCTAGATCATAGGTCTCAAACTCAATTCCTGGAGGGCCGCAGCTCTGCACAGTTTTGCTCCAACCTTAATCAAACACAGCTGATCCAACTAATCAAAGTGTTTAAGACTACTCAAGACTATTAAGCAGATGTAAGTTAGAGGTGGTTGGAGCTAAACTATGCAGAGCTGCGGCCCTCAAGGTATTGAGTTTGAGACGATTTTTCTAGATCATAGGTATCAAGATTGATTCCTGGAGGGCCCCAGTTCTGCACAGTTTTGCTCCGACCCTGATCAAACACAGGTGATCCAACTAATGAAGGTGTTCATGACTCTTTTGAACACCTCAATTATTTGGATCAGCTGTGCTTGATAGGGCTGGAGCAAAACTGTGCAGAACTGCGGCCCACCAGGAATTGAATTTGAGACCTATGTTCTAGATCCAAACTAGGTCCTGGAGGGCCAGTGTCCTGCTGAGTTTAGCTCCAATTTGCTTTAACACACCTGCCATGAATTTTCTACTATAACTAGTTAGAGCTTGATTAGCTGGTTCAGGTGTGTTTGATTAGGGTTGGAGCTAAACTCTCCAGGACACCGGCCCTCCTGGGTCGAGTTTGGACACCCCTGTTCTAGATGGTAAAGCTTTTGAACTTTTCATCATAGGCTAGCATTATCTTTTTAAATTCAGTATTTGGCTAATCCTAACAAATACCCGACCCTTAGGGGGTTTCCAAGTGAACATTAAGACAGTATTACTCATGACAAGTTCTTTTGTTTTCAAAGTCATGGACACAACACATTTTCTCTATTGTCCTTGGTGGTTACACACAATAACAAACAGATGGAAGATCAGTTTGGTTTTTGAGCAAATGACTCTAATGAGTGATTCTTTTTGTATGTTTTGGACCTTATTTGCCTTTATTTAGTTAGGAGAGTAGGAGGACGCTATTATAAAAAGTGTAATAATCATGTTTTATAGTATATTGATTTCCAATTTCCTAACCACAGTTTTACTGAAAATACCATGGTTGAACTATGGTTATTGTAAGGAAAACCATAGTTTATTTGTGGTTACCATGGTATAACTACCAAAAAAATACATGTCGTTTTTTTGTAGTAAAGCCATGGTTAATTTTCCTAGGGGCAAACAGGAAATTAAACTAGAGAAGGACTGTGAGCTGGGACTTGATATTGTGTCAACCAAAGTGCAAGTCCTGAAATATTAAGTTTTCACTTTAACTTACATCAAATATTTTTGTGACAGCATTTGAAGCCACTCGTTTCTATAATGTGAGTGAGAGCAGTCCTCTAGCACGAGAACTTTGCGATGGCACCACATGTAATGAAGTGGAAAGTTCCCGCAATCATTGGACAGGTCAGTATATCTTTGTTTTCATTATATCTGCTTAATATTAATAGTGTATCTGCTTTATTATCACATACTTTTATTGCTCTGTCACTCCCAGGCTTTGTGCAAGGCAGCCAGTGCAACAACATTTTTGACTGTCCAGAAGAGGAACACTATGAGCGATGTACCTGTTATCGTGACTGCGGCTATGATGGCGAGCCAGTGTGTGGTTCAGATGGCCAAATCTACCAGAACCAGTGTCAGATGGAAGTGTCTGCTTGCAGAAACAGCACACGGATTGAACAGATGCCTTTCAGCCACTGCCCACAGAGTAAGTTGCCAGAAAATATTTATTGCCTAGAAGTTAGACCCGTAGTGCTCAATGTTCTAGAGTTACAAGAGTCGTGAGCCTTCAAGACCTGAAATGAGTATCTAAGAGACATTCAAAATGGGCATTGTTGATGGAGCTCGAAGAAACTTCTGGCCTAGACCAGGTTGATTAACCAATCCTGCTTCTTGAGAGTGGCATAGCTAGGAGTTGTGAGGTCTACGCACAGAGTTTCACTCTGGGCCACACTGGTAAAGATCAAGTTCCTGAAGACTCACTCACTTTCCTTTGTCTTATTCAGCTTAGCTTTATTAGGGAATATATCCTTCTTGCCACAATCTAGTCCTGAGAGTACAACCCTCAGTGCTGGACTCACAACACTCACACACTACAGACAATTCAGTTTATCCAATTCCCCTATAACACATGTCTTTGAAATGTGGGGGAAACCAGGGCATATGCACACATGGGGAGAACATGCAAACTTCACTCAGAGAGGCCTCCTTGTCCAGTCGAGACTCGAACCAGCAGCCTTTTGCTGTGAGGCAACCATACTAACCACTTAACCACCATTTCGCACAAGTCCCCCTCAATAAAGTTTAAATTCCAGGGATCCCCCTCAATAAAGATTGCATTCTTGGAATGTCTGTCAGCAAATTTTGTGTTTGGTTTTGCATTTTAAAATTTACATTTAGGATTCTTCTGGCATTTCAGACAAACCCAAAACTTCACTGTGGATCCCACCAAGCCTCTGGGCCTTATGTACTATGTCCTCCTTTTCCACTATTTATGATGCCTGAGGCTAATGTCCTGCAAATTTCACCCTTTTTATTAGATCAAACAAACCTCGACCAGCTAATTAAAGGGCCATGAAACCCCCCACTTTCAGATCAAGTCTACCTCAGAATTTTTTTCAAAAAATGTACGAGAATGAGTGTGGAGCTCTGCAATCGGTGGCAAGAGTGGGCGTGTCCAGCAGAGCAGGGGAGAAGGAGGGGAGCGAACAACTGTTGAGGAGACCCATAATTTTATAGTTTACAAAGTTAAAATGCAAAGAAATAAACAGTAATTTAATGCACAGCTACATTTGTTGTTCATATATAAAGATAATTGTGTTTATTTAAACACTATAAATGAGGACTTTCTTCCTCAATCTCCAGGTCTGAATGCAGACTTAGCGCTGCAGTTCTCTTGCCCTGCCTATTTCAACCATTAGCCCTGCTGGTTATCTAGAGGATTTAGGCGATCACAGCAGCATGGCGATGTGTCTAAATGTGAACGAACTGAACTGATAAAAGACAAAGTCAGCCATTCTCCAATTCTCCTACTGCTCTCCCGACAAAAATGCTTGCAGCACACACACAGCTTTGCTGTATCGGCCCTGACATGCAACAAACCCTGTGGATCATGGAAACAAACTAATACAACCCTTCATGAACGGCTAAATACTGTGTGCCGTGGGTCCGTAAACGCGGTCTCACCCAGTCATCAACATAGGGTCACACAGCTTGGCACTGGCAGGTCTGTCTTGCCTTCGAAAAGCACACGCTGTCATGAATAATTGAGAAGCAGGCTCTTCTCATAGGATAAGAATACTCAGCTATGAATACTTGTTGTGCTACGTCATTGATTTTGATTCAGCCCCAAAAATCATTTTAAACCCAGAAGATGAAATTAGCTGACAAAAGCTCAAAATTATCTAGTTTTCCCCACAATTAAAGTTAACAGGTGCTAACATTGTCTTGAGTTATGCTTAACACACACAAATCTGTCAAAATCTCAAAAAAAGTACTCAAGGGTTTCTTGAACCTTTAAGGTTTAACTTGTAAACAACCGGCAGATGTATATCACCTGAAGTCTGCAGGATTGTAGCTTTCCTGAAACAGGATCGGAGATCCCTAACCTAGATGTTTCTCCATAAACAGAAACCCCCACTCTTTCTAACAACTTAAAAGACCTAAGCTTTGCAAACCTGTTTCATTACAAAACTCATTTTCACTAAGATTTATGCCATGTGAACTTGAACCAGGTGCTACCCTCCCCAAACACTCTTGGATGAATTCATCCTTGTTGCATAATTAGAGACATGTATTTTTGCTTCCTTTTAAGAGGCTCATGAGCAGGACTTTCAGATAATCACAGGCATGGGCATGTGAGGAAAAAACTACAGAAGTTTCACCCCAAACAACCTCTGACCTGTGGGCAGAATTTACAAGAAATGTCTAAGAAGTCTTGTTACTACTGTAAGGACAATGATTTAAAATTGCATATATTTTTTTGAGAAGGTTTTTTTTTTTTTTTTTTTTTTGTAAAGAAAAAAATTAAAGATATCATCTAATGTGCAGTGGTTCTTGCTGGAGAGTCAATGTAAATGACCTCACAGTTGTCTTTTTACACTAAATTGCCATTATAATTGCACCTGGGTTTTAAATAGCTATTTTTAAAGACCCTGTCACAAGATGTTGTGGTCTGTTCCATTCATTTGCACTCAACATAGCTGACCTTTGGTGATTCTTTGATCTTTTTTATGAATAGTTTTTAAGTAGTTTATTTAAAATGTTTTGGCTTTGGATCATTCTTAACTCTTTTTCCTACGACTGACCATTTTTTGTCAATCCATATTTTTACCATAATATTGTAGGGGCGCCAACAAATAATCACATGTGGTCTAACATGATCAAACATTCAGTGTTCAAAACTGCATAATGTTGCTGAATTAAAGTGCAGAACACACAAAGTAAATGGCTTTGGAAGTTTAGTTGGACTCAATCTATATTGACTATAATTCTGAATTCAATCAAGGTTTTTTCAATGAATGTGATTTTGCTCAGCTTTTAGTTATCAAAATGTTGCTTTTCATGAACCTTGCTCATATTATCCAGGGTTTAAAAAAAGTGTTGTTGCTCTGTTATTCTTAAATTATAAAATAATAAAAGAGCAGGTTTGACGATCCGGTCCCTGATTTGAACTACTGCATCATTTTGGTGTCTAGTCGAGATTTGCATCTTGCCACTTGACATCCTGTTCCTTTTTTATATCGAAGCTGAGATTAAAGCCTCATTCACTGGAGCATCAAAGAGAATCAAAGTGTTTTCAGTACTTTGCAATTATTCATGTTCAGACAGGCCTGATTTGAGGAATCAAACCCCTGAAAGACTGAGTTGTGAGTACCTGCTTTGGGAAGAACAGCTGTTCAGGTGTCGCAGTTGCAGATAATATAAACATACATACGCTCATGCACCAGTGTATATGGTGTATTACAGGGCTCCCCAAATGACAGAGCGCTTTTGTCCATAGCCCTTTGACAGAGAAAAGCAAGGGGTGGCCAGAGGGTTAGAAAAATCCTGTCACATTCCTTTCCGACGTGCAGACTAACAACAAAAGGGCTTTCTTGTTTTACAGAGGACTGCCATCAAGAGGGGAACACAAAAAGTTACATGGGAATTCTGTGCTAATGTTGTTGAGAATTGAGAACATTGGGAATATTTGTATTATTTGTTGCCTCAAAGGATTGATTTGAGAATTATGAATGCCTCTTGGTGTAATTTAATTTTACAAATCAGTTCAAATTGTCTGTTTCAAAGAATCTATACCAAATTATCATACATTTTCTTCTGTGTATTACAAAAAAAAGTGTCATTAGCCATGTTTTCATCCCACCAACCTGATTTCAATAAGTAGGACATGCTGCTGGATTAACATCTATGTTGATCCTGGAATAACATTCCAATCAGCCAATCAGAATTGAGGGATACGTTTACTGCTTGTTGAGGTTAGGCTTATGGCTAGCTTTATGCACCTCTACATGATTGTTATCAAACTATTGTTCCCCTCTGATATTGGGAGTAATGTACAGGTATGGTTGATTAGGGGTAGAGATTAGGTATGGATTGCATTTTCAAACACAAATGATGTTGCAGGATCAACATAGATGTTAATCCAGGATCGCATCGTACATGGCAAAATCATGACGTGCTTTCCATCCAAAGATATGAATCAAACTTCTGCTCAAAACTGTAACGTTGCAAAAAACCTTTGTGAATAAAGCACCAATTCCATACAATGAGTCAAAGAAAACAAAATTGGCCCTTCCTGATAAACTTGCGGCAAATGTCAGAAAGAAAAATGGAATTTGCTGCAGTAGGAAAATAAATTACTTTCGCCTCTGAAGATGAAGACAAACTGCAATAAGTACAGTTGAGGAACGAGGAACGAGACCACTCTTTTGGAGCAAACCACTAAATACAATTCTTGGAGTTAATAATACGAACCACTTTGATGACAGACTTTGGCTGAGGGATTTTAATATGATCAAAATAACTTTAGAGATATTTTACAATATGGTTTGTCCAGTAATACCTTCCCAACAAAACCACATTACTTTGTTTGATGTGCATCCTATAATATATACTTTTAAAGAATAAATAGTTTTGCATGTGCATTTTTTAAATTTACATGCATCTTAGTATTTCCATTAAGCATTTTTTATGCTACATTCTAACAAAAACATACAGAAAACATACAGGTAGCTACCCAGCAGTCACAGGGCGTCAACATAACGTCAGATTTACCTGGTTTACCCCAACGTCATGGGATGTTGCATTTTGTTTGGAAATGAAAATCAGATTGACACCAGAAGGTCAGGTTGACGTGAATGTCAAACGTCAGACAGACGTTACATTTTCGTTACTTTCTCAAAACAACCTAAAAACAACAAAATATCAACGTCTAATGATGTTACAACTTGATGTTGTGTGGACGTTACAACTATGATGTCTATCAGACGTTGGATTTTGGTTGCCATACTCGACAAATAAATGTCAGCATTTTATGTCAATATTTGACATTATATTTGACATTGGTTTAGGATGTTGGCTCGACGTTAGATTTTGGTCACTTTCCAACACAACCTAAAATCAACCAAATATCAACGTCATTTCACATCGTCATTGGATCTCAAAATAACATTGTCCTTAGATGCTGCCAACCTAAATCTAACCTTAATGTCTTGTTTGTCTAAGTAGTCTCAGATAAAAATATACCAAAAATTGTACTAGACTGAGAAACCAGATATGAAACACTGAGCAATTCATATATTTGTTTCTTCCCTCAGGAATTACGTAGAATTTATTTTTTTGACTTGTTCATGTGTGTATTGAATTGAATTGAATTCAATTGAATTTTATTTGACAGATTTTAGACAAACTGTACAAAAAGTATTCCATACACTTTGTTAAAAAAAAACTTTCGAGGATAAAAACACATTAAAGCCCTGGGCTTATTTCCATTGTGGTCCTCTGTTAAATAAAAACAATGTATGGCTTCAAAATACCAATGATGCATAAAACAAACAGTCGCCACAGTGGTACGAACAGTCAACTTATCCAGCACATTTTCTACACAGCTAATGGCCTTCCAGCCGCATCCCTTTTCACACTCAAGTAACATATAAATTAAAACATCCTCGTCCACCATGCAAACTAATTATCCTCATCAAACCATCAAACATCAACCATCTTTGATAGCTGTTTTAAACAATCTTAAATCTTTTATTTCCTTGATTGATTTTGGTAGTTTGTTCCACATGATTGCACTTGTATATAAAAACATATTTTTCCCCACTAAACTTCTAAATTTAAATAAACAAATATTAAAATCCCAACCCCTAATACTGTATGAATGCTGTTGCCTCACCATTTGAAAATAGTTTATCAAATAACTAGGAACCACATTATTAAACATTTTACGTACCATTCCCAGTTTTAAAAAACACACTCTATTACTAACAGTTAACATACCTAATTTATTAAAAGACTCTTTGTGCAAATGTGCTCTAGGATGCATTTTTAAAATGACTTTTCTATTGTCATCCTACAGCGGGGGTAGTAGCTGTAGAAGAACGAGAGCGTGCGACAGGAGAAGAACCAGAGCAGGAACCTATACTCATTCCTGCAGGTATCATCCTCTCTTTTCCTTTTCTTTAAACACATCTGCATCAGTGCCCTGCAGGCGTGAGCGTGTGCCACACACAGGCAGGTGTTGAAGAGTTCAGCGATCAGGATCAGAAGCTACTTGCAAAGAAGCGTATGCATGCACAGGCCTGCATATTAGCCCAGACTACATTAATGCTCTGATAATTAGCATCCCAGTCTCTTGTCTCTTACCTCGCACCCTCTGAAACACCATTAAATGTGAGGAAAAGTTAGCTTAATTTGGATCTTAAATATTTATATCTGAAATCTTACCTGCTGTGTCCACTGGTTGCGAGATATTACTGTAGTATATTTAGCTAGATATAGATACAGCAAATTTTGTCATTAGCACAATATGCACTAATTGTTTTGTGTGTCTGTGTGTGTGTGTGTGTGTGTGTGTGTGTGTGTGTGTGTGTGTGTGTGTGTGTGTGTGTGTACACTATCAATTAGTGTATACTTTGAAAGGCTATGTTCGGCTGTGCTTATAAAAAAAACAACAACTGAAGTATACCTTAGGCTTTAAGCTCATTACAATGAAGGTAATTTGATAAGGAAAAACATTACAACCCATTAAGTAGCAAAATTAGCACTTAAGGCAAGTTGGAAGTGCTCATAATATCACATGCGCATTCAGCTAGGTGTGTGTGAGTGTATTGTAGGTATGTGCGTATGTGTCCTCTGGAAAACTCCCAGACTGATTAGAGAAGACTCTGTGTTTTGCAGAGTTGTTAAGACTTGTCCTGTGTTGTGTTTGGGCTGAGAAAATGTGCCTATAGGGCTGTGGTTGTTGGGGTTTCTCAAGGTTATGGTTTTGGCCCGCTTTTATTTTCTTTTTTCCTGTGCCTAGGTGCCACCTGTTTAAATGTTTGTGGGAATTCACAGTTCTTTTTATGCTTGAGGTAATTACGAATTTTGTTTGCAGCTCTTAATGGCTGAGGTGCCATTTGCAAATCTGTTTTGGGAAACTCGACTTTTTAAGCCACATTACCCGCATAGCGGAAATTTAGCATTTCCAAGTCACAGGTTTAGCTTTGCTCCTTGATCAACAATGTTTTTTCAAAGCAGAATGTTCTAGCTGAACAAATATTTCAAAATACGCACATAAATTTCAAATAATTGACATTTATTCTACTTAAGGTGACATGGTGGTTCAGTTGTTAGCACTGTCGCCTCACAGCAAAAATATTGCTGGTTCGAGTCCTGGCTGGGCCAGTTGGCATTTCTGTGTGGAGTTTACATGTTCTGTCCGTGTTTGCGTGAGTTTCCTACGGTTGATCTGGTTTTCCCCACAGTCCAAAGACATGTGCTTTAGGTGAATTGGATAAAACTAAATTGAACTTAGTATATAAGTGCGAAAGTGTGTAGGTGTTTCCCAGTAATGGGTTGCGGCTGGAAGAGGATCCACTGTGTAAAACATATGCTGGAATAATTGGCGGTTCATTCCACTGTGGCAATCCCTGATAAATAACGGACTGTCAAAGAAAAATGAATGAATGAATGAATGAACAAATGAATGAATGAATATTCTACTTATCTATTACCTTAATTTGATGTATGATGTATACATGTTGCAGGATAACATGGGAAATAAGAAGCCCCATCAATTCCAGGTATAAACTCAGAGTGGGAATAAGGCATTTATTATCCTTCATGATTAAGTGCTGCTGAGCAGCTGTGTTGACAAAAGCCCATAAGCTGGGATTTGTCTTTTTTTTAAGCATCTCATTTATGGACATTTCTACATTGAAGCCCTGCAAACATTCTCTGTGGAAAGATAAATTAGTTAAAACATCCAAGCTGTGAATTCCTAACGTTTGAGATACATTTAAACACTTGACTAATGGAGTCAGGTAGCGTTGCTGGATTATATAAGCAAGGAACTCCCCCTACAGGCCATTATGCACATAAATATATTTTTTTTTCCTCAAGTAGTTACATTTGCTAACTGTAGTATTTTAAAACTATTTAATACTAGGGCTGCATGATGTTAGAAATTCTAACACTGGAATATTTTTTTATTCTGCGATATATAATCCGATATGAATACAATTTCACTAGATGAGTTGAATAAATATTTGGAAGAAATTTGAATGAACTCAAGAATTAAATGGGATGATTTTGTTGGGGAGTATACATGCATAAAATACAAGAAACAAATCTACAAGCATAGCTACTTAAAGGAAAGGATACCAATTAAATAAACAGCGTTTGATAGTTTTCCCATGAGTCAAACTGTATTCAGGTATAGAGATATTGAATAAACAGTATATAAAACAATACTGGATAGTCTTCGTTGTATAAACAATTCAGCCGTTATTAATTTGTCAAAGTTACAAATGGTACAATTTCTTAGGCCTGAATGCTCTTAAAAACCTCACATGGTCACAAACAAGTCTCCAAAAACACCTGTGAAATGATAAATTATAATCCAGACTCAACATTGCATATGTTCGCGATGTGACTATTGCGAATGATAACAATGCGATATTGATGCTGAAACAATATATTGTGCAGTCCTATTTAATACAATAGCAAAAACGTACAAAAAAGTGGACCAAAAACATACACTTGCAGGACATCATCACCATATTTCAAGTAATTCAATATATAAGTAGGCCACCATAGTCATCATTAAACACTAGCTTTCCTTTAGTACTGATTTATATCTATGTTTATGAAGCGAATCATGCATATGTCTACATTAAAACTGACCTCCAACATGATTGACCCCCTTTTTTTGCAGGAGGAGAGGAGCCAGGCTCTGTGGCTGAGGTTTCTTACTATTCGTATGAGTACGACCCTGACACAGACGGCTTTTCACCAGATAGCGAGGAGAAATTAGTGCCTATAGGAGAAGAACAGGACACACCAGACACCACACAGCCTTTGAGCAGACATATCCTCACAGTGGACACAAAGGACTCACCTGAGCGATGGTGAGATAATACTCATTTACTGCAACTAAAAATTGCATAAAATCATTGTCTCTCCATTATTAAAAAAAATGCTCTCGCCGGCCACCTTATTAGGTACACCTGTCCAACTGCTATTTAACGCAAATTTTTTATCAACCAATCACATGGCAGAACCTCAGTGCATTTTTGCATGTAGACATGGTCAAGACGATCTGCTGCAGTTCAAACTGAGCATCAGAATGGAGAAGAAAGCTGCTTTAAGTGACTTTGAATGTGACATTGTTGTTGGTGCCAGACGGGCTGGTCCGAGTATTTCAGAAACAAATGATCTACTGGGATTTTCACGCACAACTATCTTTAGGATTTACAGAAAATGGTCCAAAAAAGAGAAAATATCCAGTAAGCGGCAGTTCTGTGGGCAAAAATGTCTTGATGCCAGAGGTCAGAGGAGAAGGGCCAGACTGGTTCGAGCTGATAGAAAGGCAATAGTAACTCAAATAACCAATCGTTACAACCGAGGTCTCCAGAAGAGCATCTCTGAACACACAACACGTCAAATCTTGAGGCGGATGGTCTACAGCAGCGGAAGACCACACCAGGTTCCACTTCTGTCAGCTAAAAACAGGGAACTGAGGCTACAATTCGTACACCAAAATTGGACAATAGTATGGAGAAACAAATAGATTGGAAAAACATTGTCTGGTCTGATGAGTCTTGATTTCTGCTGCGACATTCGGATGGTAGAGTCAGAATTTGGCGTCAACAGCATGAAAGCATGGATCCATTCTGCCTTGTATCAACGGTTCATGCTTTTGGTGGTGGTGTAATGGTGTGGTGGATATTTTCTTGGCATATTTTGGTCCTATTAGTACCAATAAAGCATCGTATCAATGCCACAGCCTACTTGAGTATTGTTGCTGACCATGTCCATCCCTTTTTGACCACAGTGTACCCATCTTCTGATGGCTACTTCCAGCAGGATATAAATAGCCATGTCATAAAGCGTTAATTATCTGAGACTGGTATCTTGAACATGACAATGACTGTACTCAAATGGCCTCCACACTCCCCAGTTCTCAATATTATAGAGCACCTTTGGGTTGTGTTGGAATGAGATATTCGCATCATGGACGTGCAGCTGACAAATCTGCAGCAACGGTATGATGCTATCATGTCAACATGGACCAAAATTTCTGAGGAATGTTTCCGGTATTTTTGAATCTATGCCACAAAGGAACAAGGCAGTTATGAAAGCAAAAGTGGGTCCAACCTGGTACTAGTAAGGTGTACCTAATAAAGTGGCCGGTAAGTGTATGTTTGTTAATTAAATGTATAATGAGACTATTTGTCTGTTCACACATCTCCCCATATTCAACAGAAACTCCTGGATCCCAGCAGCAAGTGCGAGAGCTCAACAATGTACATTCTCTGTGAATATGTTTGTGTGAAAGAAGCGCTGGAAGAGACAGGTGAACCCCGTCTGTTGGAACGAAATGACAGCTCTTTTTGTGTGTGCGTGTGTGTTCAAAAAGAGAGGCAATATCAGTACTCCTCTTGTTTTAAATTCATTTCCATAGCTCTTTATGTTTAGTGATATGACGTCTCCCTGTATTCCTCTAGTTTTAACAGTCTAGTATTTATGTCTGTAAGTATGATTTACCTAAAAATCCAATATTTTAATTGTGTTTGTTTACTATCTGTGGTATTTATTTGTGGCTAGTGCTTTTGTCTGATTGGTTCGTTCTCATGTAATTTCCTCAAATTTGCATTGAACACAATCTAAATGTGCTATAAATTGAAATGCACTTCCAGAGCAAAACAAAAAATTGTGCTTTAAGGTGTGTAGCTATTTTTTATTTCTTATTAATGTCCGATTCGTTCACCGGAGAGGAGACTGTAACTGATATATAAGCTTCCTGTCCAGTCAGCCTGTGCTATTCAAGGCTCTGCCAGTGCTCTGCTACATTCTCAGAAATACCTTTTCAAAAGGTAAAAATTTGAACCAACAAGGTCCATATCAATACATCAAGGGTACATATTAATTCATAAAAAAATACAAAAATGTTCCTTTTAAATTTTAAGGTACTAATATATACTTTTGAGGTACCAATATCGACCCTTTAAGTACAAATGAACAGCTTGTACAACTTTTGAAAAGGAACCACCCCAGTGACAGCTTGCGTAACTTTGTTTCTGAGAATGTACACAAACTGGAATATAATTTGTACAGAATATAAGCTATTTTGACGAAAATACCATGCTAAATTGACCCTTTATTGGGCACTCATTGAAATACTACAAAATACCAAAACCATGGAAAGTTATTGAGGGTTAGAAGACTTCTATGATTTTAAAACACTAATTTTAAGTAGGAAATCAAGGTCAATGAAGTTACCATATTTGATTTTTTTTATCCATTAAAAGGGTAAAATTGATAGCACCTAAAAAATCTGCATCATGATCATTAAATTAATAATACATTTTGGTTCATTTCACTGTGTATCCAGGTATAAAAGAGTGATTTTAATATCATTTACTGTATTGAAAGTTCCATTAAATAAATGATAAAAATGCATATTCTGCAAAGTATTCTGCCTATGTAAATTTTGAAAATTAATGTCAAAAGCGAAACATTTAGAAAACAATGAACAGAAATACATTTTAATGCAATCTGTATTGTGTGAAATGTTTGTTTTGCAATGCTTGAATTTCAATTTGCATACAATATGACCTTGTTTCTATTTACCGATGTTATCTAAAACAGGGATTCCCAATCTTTAAAGCCCGCAACCCCTAAAATAAGAAGACTCGCGACACCCAAATTCCTCCTAGGTGGTTATACATATGCAAACGTTGCTCATACAACATTAGGCCTATATAAACATGAGCATATTGACAACTAGAGATGGCTAAAGTACACACACCCTTTACTAAAGTAGAAGCACAGACACTCATGTTTAAAATGTTTCTGGCAAAAGTTGAAGTACCGACTACACATTTGTACTCAAGTATAAGTAAAGCAGTACGGCCTAAAACATGTACTTAAGTAAAAAGTATTCATTACTAGTACCTGTTTTAGTTTCACAGTGCTAACTACGGCACATCAGGTATACATCTACTATTTAGGATGGATACTTTGCGAATTGGAATGCAGCAGAAGTTTCTTTATGGACTAAAAACACTGTTACGTCCAGTGTTGCCACCCTGTGGACAAACTAATTAATGAAAAAAATCAAGATGCTGTATACGGGTTAAAGTAGCAGGCAATCTGTTGACCCCCATTTAGCTTCAAGCTCTTTTAAGCAAGCGTGAAGTTCCTAGCAACACATTGACCCCATGTGTTGCATGTTGGCATTTACCTCTGGTTACCATAGCATCAGGCTTAACAGTTAATGTTTAATGTTTTTTTTCTGGTTAATGCAGTAGGTGGATATATCTACCATACCTACAACTCGCAATTTATATGCACTCAGAATTTTGACACAATGCTTTTCATGTGCATATAAAGAAATATAGTACGCACTCTTCTAGATGTTCATCTCTTCTAAAATATTAAGGGCCCACTTTATACAGCTTTGCAGGAGGGCCCCCAGGTGCTGGTCTCCCTGGTGACCCATGCTTGATGGTCCATCTCTGGCCTGTAAAGGCATGAAAGGGAATTGAGGGGAGGGATTAGCCTACCTGATGGAGATAATGTTACACCACGATGAATTCAAGTGATGACATCTTTGTGCTTCTGTCTCTCATATGCGTGTGTATATTTAATGGGTTTGGTGGCCCCTGACTGAGTCCACCAGCTTGAATGAAGATTACACCAAACTGTTCGTTTTTCTGATTTAAGTGACGGCTGTAATTATGACATCATCAGATGGAGGACCATGGAGAACTTGACTGAACTTGTCCAGTCCAAATGAGGTCAGGACTTTTTTACAGTGGACATCAGATTTTCGCCGGAAGGACGAAAACGACACCTGTTTCAGCTTCTTGGGTTTTTTTAATTGCTTAAAAAAGCTAATGCTGAGGTAAAAGCTAAATCCTTAATAGCTGCTCTTTGAGCTTGGTTTACTCAAATTTTATGAAAGTTGTCATAGGGACTTGATAAGGTCTACGGCTGACTATGCAGCAAACATAGTAAGCAAAGACTTTTACCTTCGGTCTCAAATGTGGTCATGACTATGAGTGAAACAGAGAAGAAGCGTCCAGTCATTGCTGGCAGAGAAAGAGGTAAGCTGTTTATATACTATTTCTACACTATGCAACACTACCTCTGCTGAAAGAATGCATGGAACAACAATCAACATTGAAGCCATGTTCCAACAAAGTTACCATTTGTATGAACAGTCTTACTACAAATACAGTAGTGTAGCAAATCCATAGTTTGGTTTTATTTGTGGTAAAATCTCTGTCAATTTTGATAAAGGTAGCAGCCTATCCATTACATGCAGATTGATAGATTGAACAGTTTATTTATTCGTATTACAATATTTTAGATTTAATAGATGATTTAAACTGCAACAATACAACTGGATATATTCATTGTTTACCTTAAATCTCCATCCTGTCGTCATTTCAGGCAGAAGTGACGCGAACGGTTTACAACTTCGACGCTCGGGCCTGCTGTTTGAAGTGATTATTACTGCCTGTAGGTGGCAATGTGTTGACGTGAAAACTTTAGCCAGCAGTTTCATTCATTCAGATACAACTTTACGACGATGAATTAGGGTTTTATTATGCTATTATTTTGTACTATTTTGTTTATTATATGCCTGTTATTTGAAGGTTAAACTTAAATAAAGAAGGGAAGGGAAAGACAGACAGACGACTTGAAAGGATACAGCTGCGTCTACTGGGCATGCGCACATCAGTAGTACCCTAAATTGACACTAAAAAGTATTTTAAAGGTGCAGTAGGTGATTATCTTCAGAAACATTTTTTGTTGTGCTGTTTGAAAGTCTCTTCACATTCCAATAGTATTGATTTAAGTAAATGATCTAAATGTATCTATGTTTTTTTATATTTTGGGTGAGGCATAAGACTAAAAAAATGTTCATCCAATTAGAATTTGTCAGGCTGACAATTCCCATAATCTGATAATTCTGATAAGTAGCCCAAACTGACTGTCACTCAGCAAATGTAAATTTGTACAACTGCGTAAAGCCGATTGCGTGTGCACACAAGAGAAAGAGCGACAGTGGTAAAAACAAATGCTGAATCAATATTAGAGTTAGTTTTGCATGCTGGAGGAATGCTGGACACCATGGCTGAAGTATTTCTCTTTGACAGGTAATGCTCTGTTTTAAAACTATTTTAGTCACGCAAAGCTGATGTAGATTTTGTTGTTACGAATGGGTTATATGCACAGAAGTGTTGTTCAGCCTCTAAAATCTTCCAGCGAAAGATTGATGTGACTATTTTCAGTTTCATAAAGGACCTTTTACAGCATCGATAATGTAGATTTTTATTTAATTTAATAACTAAACATAAGTAAATAGCGCTATTCCGCCAAGCCTGCTTTTCTGAGGTGAAGTATACTGAGGTTTTATATTCACATTGGTTCATTTTTGAAAAATGACAATCTGTGACGCACTCCCAAATTGTTACCATGCTACTCTAAATATTTGCTCTGAAATAGAATGTAAGTTTGGCTTAGTAATAAGTGTAATTCCTGCACCATGCCGGCCAAACACTAAGCATACAGTAGTTGCCTTAGAACTACTAAAACTACTAGGCTACTAGAGAGTGAGACCAGCGATCCTTGCATGCATGAAATGCATCACAGCATGTGGGCCAGACATGGCCCTGGATTGGTAGAGATGGCACCGTCTTAGGGTGGCACATAATACTTGGCCAAGATGTTAATAATTAATATGTGTGCCTTGTTAGTTTGCCTGTCTTGACCCACATTTAAAATACATTTTTATTATTTTCAAAAAAAAAATTCTACCAATCAGGTCGCTTTGAGAAAAAGAACACCTTAAGCACAATGATTCGTGGGTTTATTAATTTCATTGCAGTCGTGATACACCAATATATCTGGCCCAGTTCAGGCTCAGTTATGGGTTGTAACTTTGGGGTATTTGGCCCAGATATGGTTTATGTTTGGCCCTTGTCTAGAAGACAGACTTGGCTCAGTCATGTGCCGTGATTCATTGTGGCATGATGAGGCCCAAGCAAAAGCTGATTGTGTGGGTCAGAGCTGGGCCAGAGATATTTTGCTATGTGTTACTTTCATTGTTGTGTATTGTGTGTGTGTAGCAGTCTTGAAGCAGGATTAAGTGAAAGGGAAACTGACCTTATTACCAATAAAAGTTTCTGTAAGGCTTGTTTTTTCTAACAAATGCTTCGAATGTCTCCAGTAACATTTTCCTTTAAGTGCAGATTAGTTACTTTTTCCTCCAAAGGTCACACTTTCGAGGGAGGTTACGATAACTCGGTGTCCAGGCCTGTCAAAACATGTTGAAGTAAATGTAAAAGAATGTTCTGTGCTCCCAGTAGCCCTCACAAACATTTGTGGGCTGATGTCATGGCATTCCCCTGGTAGTATCAGAGAAGATAGCCAAAGGCATTGTCTGTCCTCCACTCCAGGAAAAACCATCTAGCCACTGCGATGAGCTCACATTCCTGCTGGGCTGCATCTACAGGGTGTGGATCTTCCGAACAGATTCTGCTGTCACAACTGCTTGCCAAAAATGCATTACTACATATTTCTGATTGCTTGCACAGGCAGGGCTGTGCATATGTTGGGTGGTTGCATGATTATGGTGTTTGTCACGGCTGTGTTTTCTAGGGCCAGGGCCTGGTCGATATATCCTTCCACCGGCGATTGGCTTTGTGGGCCACGATTTTACCAAGTCAACGAGTCCTGCTTATACCTTTCATGGAAGAATGAGTAACAACAGTGAGTTTGTAATGACATTTAGTAGCAAAACTAAAGAGTTATGTTTTTTAGCCCATGTGACATGTTAGCGTTAAGGAAGCTGTATTTTTCTATTGCCACCACTAGAGGGAGACAGACTGCTGTACATTTTCATATTTCATCTTTGTGCTGGTCAAGGGTGCCCAAACTTTTTCTTATGAAGGGCCAAAAATCAAACTGAGGGCTGTGTGCTGGAGGTACATTAAAGTTTCCATAAATAATCTTCTAATTAATTTCCTAATATTTAAAAATAACTAGAAAACATTGCTTAAAATTATATTATTGAACACAGTATATTTTTAAAATGTTTAATGAAGTTATTACAGCAAAAACATAAACAATCCCATTAATACAATGGATATCAATGTTGAATACACTAAGCTGCACCAGCTTTTGCTTTGATTTTCTCGCTGATGTCTTGTGCATTGCCTGATATCTGTCATGTGACAGTATTTACATTTTTTAAATATCTGATGAATTTACAAAACAAAAGAAATTAAAAAACAAACAAACAGAAGGTTACATTACATTTAAAATGATGACATTTTTCAAAGATATTCGCCCAAACCACCAACCCATCATTCTTCTCTTCTCAAATAGATTGGTAGGGCAAATCAAAGGTTAAAATGGGCCAACTTTGTCTCTACAGGCCCAAGTTTGGGCATCTCTTGTGTAGGTGAACTGTGTAAATAAGTAAACTAGTGATAGATTTTTATTTATTAACAATTTTCATTTATTTCTTTATTATTATTATTATTTTATAGTACAAAAATGGTAAATTGTTCAAAATGTTCCCTTTAAATGTTTTACTTTTTCTACACCTAATTTCCTCTGCGTTTTACTCTAGGGTTTTACTGCATGGGTCAAAGACATCTAAAAATTACACAATTATTTTATATACATAGAAAACATAGTAAATATTTGTAGCATATACAGGTATATACAGTTAAGGTCAGAATTATTAGCCCCCTGTATATTTCCCCCCCAATTTCTGTTTAATGGAGAGAAGATTTTTTTTCTACACGTTTCTAAACATAATCGTTTTAATAACTGATTTCTAATAATTGATTTTCCTCATCTTTGCCATGATGAAAATAAATAATATTGTACTAGGTATTTATCAAGACACTTCTATACAGCTTAAAGTCACATTTAAGGCTTAACTAGGTTAATTAGGCAGGTTAGTGTAAATAGGCAAGTTATTGTATAACGATGGTTTGTTCTGTAGACTATTGAAAAAAAAATTGCTTAAAGGGGCTAATAATATTGACCTTAAAATAGTTTTTGAAAAATGTAAAACTGCTTTTATTCTATTTGAAATAAAACAATAAGATTTTCTCCAAAAGCAAAAAAAAAAACATTATCAGACATACTGTGAATTTTTTTTTCTCTGTTAAAGATAATTTGTGAAATATTTAAAAAAGAGAAAAAAATCCAAAAGAGGGCTAATAATTCTGACTTCAACTGTGTGTGTGTATGTATGTGTATATATATATATATATATATATATATATATATATATATATATATATATATATATATATATATATATATATATATATGTATGTATTTATGTATGTATATATATAAATAATAAAAAAACACTGTCATACAACAAGGCACATTTTAAATTTGAATTAATACAATAATAATAAAACATGGAGAAATGCTATTTGTTTTATTTCTGCTAGAATAAAAGCAGTTTTTAATTTTTAAAAACTATTTTATCGTCAAAATTATTAGCCCCTTTAAGCAAAAATTTTTTCCATAGTCCACAGAACAAACCATCGTTATACAATAACTTGCCTAATTACTCCAACCTGTCTAGTTAACCTAATTAACCAAGTTAAGCCTTAAATGTTACTTTAAGCTGTATAGAAGCATCTTGAAAAACATCTAGACAAATATTATTTACTGTCATCATGGCAAAGATAAAATAAATCAGTTGTTAGAGATGAGTTATTAAAACTATTATGTTGAAGAAAATCTTCCTAGCGTTAAACGGAAATTGATAAAAAGAATTAAAAAGTCAGGCTAATACTTTTGACTTCATCTGAATATATATATATATATATATATATATATATATATATATATATATATATATATATATATATATATATATATATATATATATATATAGATCTACATATACACACACACACACACACACACACACACACACACACACACACACACACACACACATAGTAATTCTTGTAGTTAAACAGTTTGCTTAAGCAATAAGTACTATGATGTAAAATCTGACTAGTTCTTTCCTAAGTGATGTAAAGCTGTGTGTATTCTGCAGTGCATAACATTGACTGCAGTCCAGGGCCTAAATATCATATTGATGCCAAGCTGACTCGCTTTGGAAGAGACGGCACTCCTGCTTACTCCTTACATGGCAGGATGGAAAATCGAGGTAATCTGATTATCGTGTTAAAACAGTCACTTAATTACTGCTCCACTTCATGTCAAAACCACAAGGAAACACTTAAGAGTCTGACCGTTTTCAACTATTGTTTGTATTTGAAATTTGCAGGTGGGATACTCTCCACACCAGGCCCAGGAACATACAGTCCTGAAAAAGCTTCACTTTCTAGCACCCATCGCAAGCCGCCATCCTACACCATGGGTTACCGTACTCAGTATCGCTCCATTGATGCTGTGCCGGCCCCAAACAAATACACGCTTCCTTCTCTCATAGGCTCCAATGTCCTGACCAAAACATCCAGTGCCAGTTACACCATCTCTGCAAGATGCAAATCTGGGGGTCTGGCTGAGAACTGGTCCAAAACTCCAGGTCCCAGTAGATATAACCGCACAGATCCCAGTGTCTACCTGCCAAGGCAGCCAGCATTCTCCATGTTGGGTAGACATGCTAATGGAAGGGAGGCCACACAAGTTCCTGGTCCTGGAAGTCATAACCCTGAGAAAGTGACTGCGCACAAGCCCAGGCCTCCTGCTTTCTCTTTAGGCATCAGGCATTCTGAGTTCGTCACTCCTTTAGTAGTAGATTAATATTATTTTGAAGGCATGAGTGCTGCACGATATAAAAAAAACTCACATTACAATAATTCGTTTTTCTGCTCTATAAATACAATTGGACTTGGATGTTAGATTGCGATGTTGATGCTGAAAATGAAATGAAGATTGAAAAAAATGAAATGAAGCTTTTCTGATTTTAGTGCATCTTTTTAATATTTGTCACATAGAAAACTCTTTTTTTAGCATTCGTGTGACCTTCAGTCATGTGGAATTGATAACAAAAAAATATATAGTTGATCAAATATTTTATAGCGGCATGATTCCAGTTACTTTTATTACAGAAATATTTTTTTATCTATAAAGATGTCAAATTTTGGTGTCAACATCAAATTTTATTTACAAAATGCATTTTATAAACTATAGTGATTTTAAAGTAAAGATTTAAAATGTTGCACACTGTCATAAGACGACGTTTATATTAGGCTAGATTTAGGTTGCCAGCATCTAAGGAAAATATTATTTTGACGTCCAATAACGACGTAAAATAACGTTGATATTTTATTGATATTAGGTTGTGTTGGAAAGTCACCAAAATCCAACGTCGAGTCAACATCTTAAACCAATGTCATATTGACATCAATTACTGACATTTATTCTTCAGGCATGGCAACCAAAATCCAATGTCTGATGGACGTCACATTGATAACATCTACACAACGTCAAGCTGTAACATCATTAGACATTGATATTTTGTTGTTTTCAGGTTGGAAAGAAATTAAAATGCAATGTCTATCCGATATTGGATCTTGATGTCGGCCTGACACTGGGTTCTGACATCAACCCGATTTTTATTTCCAAACAAAATGCAAGGTCTCACGATGTTGGGGTACAACGTCAATCTGTCATCATGTGCCTGCTGGGTCTTGCTGAGGGTAAAATCTAGTGGTTTGATGGGCCAATGTAAAACTACAGAAAACGATAATCATTTAGTATTTTGCTGCACTCTGATCCTTAATTTGAGTCTTTTAACGTGTCGTCAAATGTTTCTTGTTGTAAATTTGGATGACTAAATTATTTGGTACATAAACGATTGTTACACAGAATCACATTTTAGTAGGTGTATTTTCTAAACCATGGTAAATAAAATGTATAATAGTTATTATAATTCAGCTCAACAGAAAACATTCTAATGCAGGGGTGCTCAACCCTGTACCTGAAAATATACCTTCCTGCAGAGTTCAGCTCTAACCCTGATCAAACACACCTGAATCAATTAATTAGGACCTGAACAGCACTTGATAATTACCGGCAGGTGTGTTTGATATGGGTTGCAACTAAAATCTGCAGGAAGGTAAATCTCCAGGAACAGGGTTGGTCACCCCTGTTTTAATGTTTAAAAAACATCTAAAGCAGGGGTGTCCAAACTCGGTCCTGGAGGGCTGGTGTCCTGCAGATTTGAGCTCCAACTTGCTTTAACACAGCTGCAAGGATGTTTCTATACTGCCTTGTAAGTGCTTGATTAGCTAGCCCAGGTGTTTCTGATTGGGGTTGGAACTAAACTTTGCAGGACATCGGCCCTCCAGGATTGAGTCTAGACATCCCTGATCTAAAGCAAGTGTGTCAAACTCAGTTCCTAGAGGGCCGTAGCCCGGCAGTTAAGTTCCAACCCTGCTTCAACACACTTACATGTAGGTTTCAAACAAGCCTAAAGGGCTTAATTAGTTTGATCAGGTGTGCTTATATAGAGTTGGAACTAAACTGGGCAGAGCTGCGGCCCTCCAGGAACTGAGTTTGATACCTATATATAATACATACTATAGATTATTATTACAAATTAGGATACAAGCGGGATAATAAAAAATAATATTTATTGATTTGTCAACAACAAATGTAGAACAACACAAAGTCGACTGCTCAAGATACAAGTAGGAGATGTTAAACAACAGCAGTTCAGCAATGGAAAGCATCTTTAGCGTACAACAAAAACTATTCCTTCTATTTATGACAGGGGCGATTACTAGACCTGGAACACCATCCAACTTATTTTACATGACTTCAGTGTAGATCTAAAGAAAACACTTTGGGGAGGTGGAGGCAGCACTCGTTCATTCCCCTCTATAAGCTCCTGCTGCCGTCATCTCCAGACGAAAGGGGGAGGAGAAGTAACATTTCATTACCATAGATCTGCAAATAATAAAACTTATATACAAATCAAAACGTATGGAGAGAAATGCACGCATGGTCACAGCCGACCACGTACTGTAGTTTAACTTCAGATGACAATCTTGAAATCTCATTCCTTGGGAAGCGGCCTTCGGAATAGCAGGATGTGAGGCTCTGTATGGAAAAAGTGGAGGATTTCGGAATATTCATATTTTGGGGGGTATAATTCATTCAGGATTTCTAATAGGTCTCCACTTATAAAGTAATTAAAGTTATAGTCTCCCAAAAGTGGAAATTTACTCACTATTTACTGGTTATAAACCTTTTGAGTTTCTTTTTTTCTGGTAAATACTCAAAAAAATATATATATATTTTGAATAAACCTGAAAGCATTAACATCCATAGTAGGAAAAGCAAATACTATAGAAGTCAATGGTTACAGGTTTTCAGCATTCTTCAAAATATCTACTTCTGTGTCGAACAAAAGAAATAAACAGGTTTGAAACAATAAAAGGTAAGTAAATTATGACAGAATTTTCACTTTTGGACAAACTGTCCCTTTAAGGTGTCAAAGTAGGTTTTAGATAATGTTATTAGATGTCCAAGAATACTAACCTGGTTTATGGATCATGTAATGAATCCAGCCCTGACTTTGCTGGACTCCCAGTCCTCTCCATTCCTCCTCTGACATTAAATGCGAGGAAGGCACCAATTTGGAAAGCTGTTTAGGAAGCATAACATGTCTATTTGGAAGAAGAGGAGCAATGTGTTAGTTTGACAAACTGATGTTATGTAACGTAAAGGTTTCACTGAACAGCTCTTCAAGCTGTCAGACAAAACAACGCTATTATTGAGACATAACTCAGAAAATACGCCGTAAACTGCGTATAAACCGCCGTATTTGCGTACAATTTTAAGACATTTTATTAAAACAGCAAACAGCCAAATGACATAACAAGTTTTACGTTATGTTTAACGTTGCGTTACCCAAAACTTAAAGTGAACAGAAAGGTGAAAGAAAACAAGTGAAAATCCTCACCTGTACTCGTATTCTTCGTCAGAATACTTGTCGGAATAGTAAATCTGCTTTTTCCCTGAAGACATCCTGTGTGATAAATGTTAAATTGAGTCTTAATTTAATGCGAAATACGAAATAAGTCTCGTATGCTCGTTACGGAGTGCCAGTGTTTTTCCTGTAAGGGCGCCGCTTCAGTTTTGAACTCAAACGGTCTCTCGCGCACGTGTGATTGGTCGAGTCACTTGCGGCTCCGCCTCTCTGCGCGCGCCTGCGTTTGACACATTTGACAGAACTGAGTGCACGCGCGAAGCTCTGTTGACCTGGTGAGGTCTGCAAAACACACGCCGTGTGTTTAAAATTATTCATTTTGTCTGTGGGGGATTAATGTTCTTGCCTTTATTTGTCTTAAAGAAAATTTATTTCTTTCCAGCTTCAAGGCATTTTTTGGTTTTAGGTGAGTTTCAACCGTGCTACTGTGACAAAATGTGCGAAATCAAGGATGACATTAAGCTAACGTTACTCCAAGAGTGTTTCTACCCTGTCATTTATATCTTGGCGATTTCATTTATTATAAAACTTTAAATGATAAACAAATTATAAAACGACACGGTAGACGTTTAAATTAGCATTAGAACAATGTTGTGTGAGATATGTCATGTGTAATTTCACATTGTAAATTAATAAATTGGTTAATCTCATTACCAATGTAGACTCAATGTGGCTGTGATTTAGGTTATCACATTTACAGTTTCACATTTACATTTTACAGTAGCTTAACAATTTTTTGTGTACATGATTTGAGCACATCTTCAAAAGTTCAGGACATATAAATGCTGTTTTAGAGTATATGAACAGCCATAAAAGCTTTTACTTTTTGTTGTTGTTGTTGTTGAACAGTCTTGTGTGGGCTACGTGTAGTAATAATATTTTCACAAGCACAAAGTGATTGTGTGACTTAACTATTACAAAGTGCAAAACACCCACTAATGACCCTAGGAACACAACATTTTATCCACCTACAAAATGAGATCAAAAGCTGAGGGGATAGTTCACCCATAAATTAAATTCTGTTCAGTTTTATGTTTATCTTTCAGTTGTTTCAAGTGAACAAAAGAACTGTAACCATTGACTTCCACTGTATTATTTTTCCTACTATAAATGTCAATGGTTGCAGTTTTGTAGCTTTCTTCAAAATGTCTTCTTTTGTGTACAATATAGTTGAAGTCAGAATTATTAGCCCCCCTTTAATAAAAAAAAATGCATTTTTAAATATTTTCTAAATCTTGATTAACAGAGTAAGGATATTTTCACAGTATGTCTGATAACATTTTTTTCTTCTGGAGAAAGTCTTATTTGTTTCATTTTGACTAGAATAAAAACAGTTTTTAACTCTTAAAAAACATTTAAGGTCAAACTTATTAGCCCCTTTGAGCTATATGGGCAACGCGGTGGTGTCGGCTGGGTCAGTTGGCATTGCTGTGTGGAGTTTGCATGTTCTTCCCGTGCTTGAGGTTTCCCCACAAGTTCAAAGACATGCGGTATAGAGACCCAGGTGAGGCTCGAACCAGAGACCTTCTTGCTGTGAGGCGACAGCACTACCTCATGCGCCACCGTGTCCCTCCCTCCCTCTCTCTCTCTCTCTCTCTCTCTCTCTCTCTCTCTATATATATATATATATATATATATATATATATATATATATATATATATATATATATATATTCCACATTTATTTTTTATTTTATTTAAATTTTTTATTTATTTAAGTATAGCTACAAATATAGAGCTTAACATTTTCTTCATGTGGGGCGATTCAGTGGCGCAGTAGGTAAAGCTGTCGCCTCACAGCAAGAAGGTCGCTGGGTCGAACCTGGGGTAGGCTAAATTGTTTGTGTGTGTGTGTGTGTATGTTTCCCAGAGATGGGTTGTGGCTGGAAGGGCATCCGCTGCGTAAAAGCGTGCTGGATAAGTTGGCGGTTCATCTTGCTGTGACGACCCCAAATTAATAAAGGGACTAAGCTGACAAGAAAATGAATTAATTAATTTTCTTCATATAGGCCTGGTTATTTCACAAAATCCTTATTAATGTTTCAAGCTAACCCAAACTCTGTAAAGCTGTGATGGAGCATCTTCGAGCAAATGAAAACGTGCCTTTCAGATCAAATTGTTTGAGTTTTGCTCCATTTTATTCTTTTGTTGTCATCTTTTTTGAATGCTTTACCATTTAATGTCAGGGCTGCTGATTTGACCACAGTGTTCCTGTGACCTTTTTAACAAGCGCATGATGTTGTCAAGCACAGCAATGCGACATCAGAAAGCCTGCTTTATTGTTCATCTCATAAGGTTTCAGTCTTTGTTTTATATGACAATTTAAAGTTTTTGTACACATTGCTTGATTCATGGTGCTTTCTAGGCACCATGTATATCAGTCTGTACTTTATTTTAACACACCGTATGCACGTTTGAATCGTTTTTATGCTGTACCCTGTTCAAAAAAAAAAACAATCAAGTTTGCTAGATCTTTAACTAAAGGTTAACTTCAGTGACTCTTGTTAATGAATTACACCGTTTCCGTTTCACAAGTAAACATTTGGTTCAAGCTACAAATTCAAATGAAGAATGCGTTTGCGCATATGTTAACGCTACAATATCGAGCACGGTTGGTTTGTTAGAATAATAGCACACTGTAGATATACTACGATATGTTTAAAAGTTCAAATAAAGTAATTCTAAGCAGCATCAACCTTATCATCATCATCATTATAATGCATATGAAAGCTTATATATGCATCCATTTAAGCATTTAGCAACTTAAATATTGACACTTATAAGTGCACGAGAGCAGGAAACGGGTAGTCTGAATGGGCATGTCATGGTAGGAGGTGTGTATGTGTGATGGTGTGTGTTTCTGAACAAGGACACATGGTTCTAGCCTGTGGTTTGAGTGGTTTCTCTCCCCCTTCGGGCTCAAACTTCACATCTCATGACTCTAATGTGCTTCTACTTCTTTCTCTGCATTCAAAAACATAACTGTGCATGTATTTTGTAGGGCTGGAGCTGCAACCTAAAGCAGAGGGGAGTAGATTCGGTGAGTTAGCATTGCCTTTTTCTTTAATATCCTAAATCTTTCTGTATTTACAGTAGCATGTTCTCATGTTGCAGTTTGTGATACGTTGCTTCAACCGTTTTAAATGAGGATGTGGTGTATGCCTGACATGTGTTTGTTTTCTTTTTTTACTTTTGGTGTGTGTAGCAAATATTAATACAGCACCTTCACCCACATTGACCACAATTTGATGTTTAATGTCATGATAATATGTTCCAGCCAAAGTCACGGTAAATGTCACCCACTGTCTGGCATTGATCTATTTATTACGTGTATGTGACTTATGCATAGGGCTGTTTGCAATGTTCTTGTTTATCAGATTGAAATGTATTTTCCACTTTTGGCGTGGTGGTTTATTTTTAAATGAATGTGGCTGTTCTTATGTTGTCGCTTGACAAGCAGAAGTATTTATTTTGATATGCTATCAATTTATCTTATGTTGTTGAGATCTTTGTATCAAAAAGTAAATAAATTTGGTATATTGTTAATTTTTTGGCTTTTGTTTGGGTAAAATGACCTTGTTTATTCTCATGCGGTGGTTTAGCATTTTAGCATGCGGTCTTCTTTTATAAACTGCAACGTTATTTTTATTTTTCCTGTTGTACCTATAAAAAATGTGCATAGCATATAATGTCAGGAAAATCAGGAAAGGGCAGTATTTATTATACAAGTTTAAATATTAAGTATAAATATGTATTTGATAGGGTTTATAAAAATGGGTTAATTTTGTACCGAAATACTTCAGTGTCTTGTTTTTGTATTTTAAACCACTGTAAATACTTTGCAAGAAGTCTACATGATGACAACATTAAAATGTGGCCTCAAATTGATGCTTTCTCAGTTGGGCTTGAGATCAGAACAGAAAATTGATTAAGAAGGTGGTTAATGCTTGGAGATCATCTTCAAGACACATTTCTATTTGAAATTTGTTCAAAATTTCACTAAAAAAAGAAAAAAAGTTAAAAAAAAAAAGTTTTTGAATACCTCCACGTGTACGGGAGTGACTTGCTCAGAGAATTGCTGCTGCTGTCAATCATTGTTTACTTGACCAAGTCAGTTAGATGGTGAAGGGATTGATCGAATATGCCCATTAATATTGTTTTACTCCCATGTAAAACTATTTTGCAGTATTTTCAAAATCCAGTAATTTATTTTGATACCTGTTGTGGGTGCTGTATTTTGTAGTTTGATACACGTAAAATTTAGGCATTTGGTGTTTTATTTTAAAGTACATTTCAATGTATTTTTGCTCATCCTTGTGTATAGTTCAAACATGTACTAATGTCACTCCTCAATGCAGTTAAAAAGATTCTATTGAACAAAAGTAGATATTTTGAAAAATGTTGGAAACCTCGCCGTAAAAAATGCTGGGTTTCACACAATTAATTTTTGTTGGGACAACATGAAGGAATAAAATAAAATGATTAGTTTTTACAAATATAAGTGGGTTGAACAAAAATCTCAAGAATTGTGTTGTTTCTGCTCACTTTAAATAAGTAGTTTAAAAAATATCAGAAGAGTGCTGTAATCAATAACTTCCCTAGTATTTGTTTTTCCTTTTGTGTATGTTAATGGTTACAGATCTCCAACATTTTTCAAAATATCTTCTATTGTGTTTAACAAAACAAAAAAACTCAAAATAGATTAAAATAAGTCAAGTTTTTTTTTTTGCTTTCTTCAGAAAGCCATTTATACGATGACAGAGAGAGCTGAACGTGCTGCAATAAAAAAAAAAAAACACATGCAATTACAAAAAACGCCAACATGTACTAAAACGTGACGGACCCAGCTATTTAGGTTATTGTTATTTATGCTAAAAGATACAAAAGACATGGAAATCAGGATGTTAAAATAAACCAACAAAAACTCACCTTTCAAAGATCACCTACAACTTCACTGAGCGCTAGTCATGGCACAGCAGTGTTCGTCACGTTTTTAGGTTGCATTGAAACATTTTCGTTGTGTTCCAATGTTTTTAAAATTGTTGCATCGTGAGAAAATAAAGTGCGTTTTTTTAGTTTGTTTACATTGTGAGAAAATGCAATGCGTTTTATTAATTTGTTTGCGTTGTGAAAAAATGCAGTGCGTATTATTAATTTGTTTATGTTGTAAGAAAATGCAGTGCGTTTTTTCTAATTTGTTTGTGTTGTGAGAAAATGCAGTGCGTTTTATTAATTTTTTTGCAATGTGAGAAAATGCAGTGTGTTTTATTAGTTTGTTTGCAATGTGAGAAAATGCAGTGTGTTTTATAAGTTTGTTTACGTTGTGAGAAAATGCAGTGCGTTTTATTAATTTGTTTGAGTTGTGAGTAAATGCAGTGCGTTTTATAAAATTTTTTTCGTTGTGAGAAAATGCAGTGCGTTTTTCTAATTTGTTTGCGTTGTGAAAATGCAGTGCGTTTTTCTCAGTAGTTTGAGTTATGAGAAAATGCAGTGCGTTTTATTAATTTGAGTTGTGAGAAAATGCAGTGCGTTTTATTAATTTGTTTAAGTTGTGAGAAAATGCAGTGTGTTTTATTAATTTGAGTTATGAGAAAATGCAGTGCGTTTTTCTAATTTGTTTGCGTTGTGAGAAAATGCAGTGCGTTTTTTTAATTTGAGTTGTGAGAAAATGCAGTGCATTTTTCTAATTTGTTTGCGTTGTGAGAAAATGCAGTGCATTTTATTAATTTGAATTATGAGAAAATGCAGTGCGTTTTATTAATTTGAGTTGTGAGAAAATGCAGTGCGTTTTATTAATTTGTTTAAGTTGTGAGAAAATGCAGTGCGTTTTATTAATTTGTTTGCGTTGTGAAAATGCAGTGCGTTTTTCTCAGTAGTTTGAGTTATGAGAAAATGCAGTGCGTTTTATTAATTTGAGTTGTGAGAAAATGCAGTGCGTTTTATTAATTTGTTTAAGTTGTGAGAAAATGCAGTGTGTTTTATTAATTTGAGTTATGAGAAAATGCAGTGCGTTTTTCTAATTTGTTTGCGTTGTGAGAAAATGCAGTGCGTTTTTTTAATTTGAGTTGTGAGAAAATGCAGTGCGCTTTTCTAATTTGTTTGCGTTGTGAGAAAATGCAGTGCATTTTATTAATTTGAATTATGAGAAAATGCAGTGCGTTTTATTAATTTGAGTTGTGAGTAAATGCAGTGCGTTTTATTAATTTGTTTTCGTTGTGAGAAAATGCAGTGCGTTTTTCTAATTTGTTTGCGTTGTGAAAAAAAGCAGTGCGTTTTATTAATTTGTTTGAGTTGTGAGAAAATGCAGTGTGTTTTTCTAATTTGTTTGTGTTGTGAGAAAATTCAGTGCGTTTTATTAATTTGTTTTCGTTGTAAGAATGCTGTGTGTTTTATTCATTTGTTTGCGTTGTGAGAATGCAGTGCCTTTTATTAATTTGTTTGCGTTGTGAAAATGCAGTGCGTTTTTCTCAGTTGTTTGAGTTATGAGAAAATGCAGTGCGTTTTATTAATTTGAGTTGTGAGAAAATGCAGTGTGTTTTATTAATTTGTTTAAGTTGTGAGAATGCAGTGCGTTTTATTAATTTGTTTGCGTTGTGAGAAAATGCAGTGTGTTTTATTAATTTTTTGCATTGTGAGAAAATGCAGTGTGTTTTATTCATTTGTTTGCGTTGTGAGAATGCAGTGCGTTTTATTCATTTGTTTGCGTTGTGAGAAAATGCAGTGTGTTTTATTAATTTGAGTTGTGAGAAAATGCAGTGCGTTTTATTAATTTGTTTAAGTTGTGAGAAAATGCAGTGCGTTTTATTAATTTGTTTGCGTTGTGAGAATGCAGTGCGTTTTATTAATTTGTTTGCGTTGTGAGAAAATGCAGTGTCTTTTATTAATTTTTTGCATTGTGAGAAAATGCAGTGTGTTTTATTCATTTGTTTGCGTTGTGAGAATGCAGTGCGTTTTATTAATTTGTTTGCGTTGTGAGAAAATGCAGTGTGTCTTATTAATTTTTTGCATTGTGAGAAAATGCAGTGTGTTTTATTCATTTGTTTGCGTTGTGATAAAATGCAGCGCGTTTTATTTATTTGATTTGTTTGTACACTTTTCGAAGAGTGGATAAAAGACCTCTGTTGGCTTCAAGTCCGCTATGAAAAGTCTGTGGGATGGAATTTTCAGGTGACTGTTTGCCACATCTAGCATGAGAGCTTCTGTTTAATCCTTTATATAATTGGCAGAGGCTGTCCGCCGTGCAAGAGGCAGCTTTATGTCAAATTTAACACCATGTACACCATCGCAAACGGGCTTGCACTGAGTAAACTAATATCGCTACTCATGAAAAGACGGGTATTCCTATTTACATGACGTATGCATATAATAAGGCACAGTATATGTCAAAAGCATCAGTGCAATATCAGACAGCACCCGTGAGAACAGCACAAGTTATATCGTTAACAGATTCATTAATGTCAAGCAGTGCGTGCAGGGCTGGTGAGCGGTCCGTGTATGCTTTGGTCACTCAGTTATGTTATAAAAATCTATTTTCTTGTGATAACGGGATTTCGTTGAGACATAATTTCTTTACACTTGCATATATATATTTTTTGCTTGTTAGTTTGATTACTGTTGATTTCAAATGTAATAAATATGTTTGTATAAAACTTGTATTAACGGTGCTTATGATTGGTGGGTGCGACAAAATTTTGGCTGATGCGCCTAAATTTTTATAGTTAGGAGCACCGGTGCTACCAAGCAAAAAGGTTAATTTCGAGCCCTGCAGTGGGTTTTTCGAATTTGTTTGCGTTGTGAGAAAATGCAGTGCGATTTTCTAATTTGTTTGCGTTGTGAGAAAATGCAGTGCGTTTTTATAATTTGTTTGCGTTTTGAGAAAATGCAGTGCGTTTTATTAATTTGTTTGCCTTGTGAAAAAATGCAGTGCGTTTTATTCATTTGTTTTCGTTGTGAGAAAATGCAGTGCGTTTTTATAATTTGTTTGCGTTGTGAGAAAATGCAGTGTGTTTTATTAATTTGTTTGCCTTGTGAAAAAATGCAGTGCGTTTTATTAATTTGTTTTCGTTGTGAGTAAATGCAGTGCGTTTTATTAATTTGTTTGCGTTGTGAGAAAATGCAGTGCGTTTTATTAATTTGTTTGCCTTGTGAAAAAATGCAGTGCGTTTTATTAATTTGTTTTCGTTGTGAGAAAATGCAGTGCGTTTTATTAATTTGTTTTCGTTGTGAGAAAATGCAGTTTGTTTTATTAATTTGTTTTCGTTGTGAGAAAATGCAGTGTGTTTTATTAATTTGTTTTCGTTGTGAGAAAATGCAGTGCGTTTTATTAATTTGTTTTCGTTATGGGAAAATGCAGTGCGTTTTATGAATTTGTTTGCATTGTGAGAAAATGCAGTGTGTTTTTCTAATTTGTTTTCATTGTGAGTAAATGCAGTGCGTTTTACTAATTTGTTTGTGTTGTGAGAAAATGCAGTGCGTTTTTGTAATTTGTTTGCGATGTGAGAAAATGCAGTGCGTTTTATTAGTTTGTTTGCAATGTGAGAAAATGCAGTGCATTTTATTGTTTTGTTGACGTTGGGAGAAAATGCAGTGCGTTTTATTAATTTGTTTGCGATGTGAGAAAATTCAGCATGCATTATTCATTTGTTTGCGATGTGAGAAAATTCAGCATGCATTATTCATTTGTTTGCGATGTGAGGATTTGCAGCATGTGTGCTGTCAAACAGATAAATATCTTTTCTTAATTTGCTGGTTTTTTGTAATTTTAGGACGTAAAATCTTTAATTGCAGCACGTTAAGCTCATTAATAGAAACATTTTAAACAAAATTTAAAAGACAGTACAATAAAAAAAGGGAATAACCAAACAAAAAAAAAGCTGTTTAATTTTCAACTTGTATGTAAGTGACGTTTTTATTCTATGAGGAAATAGATGTATATGTAATGCCAATATATGTTACCTACGTACTTAAAATTAAAAATAGATCGAATCATTATCCCATTATACCTCGCTAAACACAACCTTGTTCTACGTAATAGTTGATATTAGAAAAGCATGACAATTCAAGTTTAACTTCCTTAATCTGTTAAATTAAAGATATTAGATTAAATCAGACAGATGCATCCTAAGGGAACTAGTGAAATATGGACAAATGATCTGAACATTTATGGCTCCCACTGGAAAACCAGACAGTGATTGAGTGAAGTTTGCTACTTCTTTCTCTTTTTTTAGCTTTTGTTCCCTTTTGTAGTAGGCTTTTAACAAAGTTATTGATCCAGACCGTGACCCTGCACATGCACTCTCACTAATTGCAAACGGGCACAGCGACCCTATTCTAAAAGCTAAAATTACCACAGCTTATAATGCAATGCATGTGTGACAAATGGAAAATCAACAAAATCTCTGCACAACACCTCAAAGAGGTCACCCAAAGTTGTTGATTTAGGAAAATGTATCAAGAAAAAAACAAGTCATTTGTGAGCTATGAAGCAAGTGTGAGATTTTTTTTCCAACACCGCAGACCTGAGGTTTCCACCAAGATAGTGTATACACATAAGCAACTGAAATGGAATATAGAGTATTTTGGGGCTTCCTGTTTATTTGGCCTCGTGGAGTCTTTGCGTTTACTTTTTTGGGCAGTTGCGAAAAAAATGACGTCAGAGTTAAAGGAAGAGACTGTTTGTCAAACAAGCACAGCGTCTTGCGCAAGCCCTGTGAATGTGACAACTCAGATGTTGTCGACAGCAAGAGAAGACCAGAAAGCGTCTGAAAGAGAACTGTTAGATGATCCAAACTTCAGCAACGCTGCTGTGAGGTATTTAAGAAGTTAATTTCCTCTATATTAACTGCTGTTAATGATGCTTTAAATTCTTAAGCACTCAAATGTGCCCTGTAACAAGCCATTTGACAAGTACTGTAAGTCTTTTTATGCTTTCATTGTTAATTTTAATTAAATTAAAAGGCAGTATTCATAATGACCACAAAGGCATTTTCCTGAATAGTGATTATCTTGATCCGCGGCATGAAAGGTGACACTTTGAAGGGTAACACTTGATTTTAAGTACTAATTCTTACTCTAAACTTGTGGCTTATGCATATTAAGATATTAGCTGTTTTTGACACTTTATTGTATGTATTCTGCATGATCTCATTCTACATCCTTAATCCTAATATTAAAGTGTGACCAAGTAAAATACACATTAATATGTTATATAGCTGTGCACCAATAGATTTGCTCTTTACTGTTATACTTTCAGCGGTGAAAATTAAACCACACTGTACTGATCTAAACTGAACTGAAATCTGAAAACTGGACTGACATTGTTTTAATTTACTATAATCTTCTGTGTTAAGCTGCTTTGACATTTCACATTGTAAAAGTACTATAGAAATAAAGATTAATTGAAAATTGAACTAATTTCAGTTTATTATAAAGGCATCTTTATTTAATCTGTGCAGTATAAAAAAATGTTTGAGTACAAACAACAATTAACAATGTTATTTTTGTATGAGCTTTCACTTTAAGAAGCCTGTAATAAATATTAGTAATGGCTAAACATAAAGAACTTTTTTTTTTCTACCCAGCTAAACCTTAGCATTTATGCTATACCAATGTGTTTCAATGTCTTATTTGAATATTTCCTCCCCACTCTAGTATTTCCATGCTGTGATGCAAAAATACAAACAATTTATATTGCTTTTGTCTTTCCACAAGAATAAGGCTTAACCGCGATAGTGGCATTCAAAACATAAGACCCATCATTCACCTTCATCTATCGCGGCAGGCTTTGTATCTGTAATAAATGCAAGGAGGTGCTCAGGCAGATGTGCATTAGCTAATGTTGCCTGAAAGCAGCTGGGCTGGGCAGAGCTAATAGACAGACCATAACACTATGACATCACCAGGAGAGTGGGGGGAAGATAGGCTGAGAGAGAAAGAGAGAGAGAATGAAGAAGAGAGGGAGGGATCAAGTAAGCCACAGTAAGGGACAGTGTCAGAAAGCAGAGAGGGGACGCAGGGCTAGACTGAGTCCGCAGTGAATCTTGTGGATTTCTCCTTTGCATCTCCACTGCATCTTTCCGTTTCCCTTTCCCTAGCCATCCCCCTTCCCCTCCCTTTTCCCCCCACTGTCCTCTCCGCTCTGGACCGCTCCTCCGGGCATGCTACTTAAGCCCAAGTATGACCGCTTCCGGAACGACTCTGTGACCTCCTCCGACGATCTTATGCAGAGCCTGGCCATGAGCGGGAAGGTGGTGGCCACACCGGTGGCCTCCTCGTCCGCGCCGGGCCTGGAGCTGCCGCCCCTGCAGACCGCTGCTCTACCTCCTCCTTCAGCCCAGGTGTTGGCTGACTCGCCCGGGATGGACAGCGAGCAGGATGGCACCACCACCTTCTGCATGCTCATCCCCAAAATGCCCCAGTGGAAGTTCTCCAACTCTTTGCTCAGCCGTAGCCCATCAAACAGCAGCTCTAGCTCCAATTCCAGCAAGGATTCTGGCAGGGCACCTCCGACCGATAGTTCCCCTGCTGCGGCTTCTGGGGGGACGGCTGCTGCCAGCGGTCCTGTGGCTAGCCTTGCAGCTGTGTTCAACTCCTGTGACCCTGTTTGTGTGGGCCCCTGTTCCCTACAGGCCTCCAGGAGACAGAGGGCCAGTCAGAGAGAGTCCAGCGCAGGGGCCGCCGAGGGGAGTCCAGGGGGCTCTGGGAGCTTCAGGACCGGGATGAACCGGAGGACCAGGGTGGAGGGAATATGGCTCGGGGATAACTTCACCCAGAAGGGCAGCTTCATCAACAAGCCGTCTCAAGGGTGGTTGCACCCAGACAAAAAGATCAGCAGCACAGGGGCTTCCTACATCGTCAGGGTGAGTCCCCTATACTTATCTCCTCATCTCACCATGCTTTCCGTCTAATGTTTGTTTCTGCAATGGTGTCAATATGCTGCTGTCTAGTCTTGTCGATAGGCATTCATTTACATGCATTGCACCATCTTATGCAGCTCTGAAGATGCAGAGACTTGAATAAACAACTGCAGGATCCGTCTCTTTAAAAGCTGAGTTCAACTGCTTATGATAGGAGAACAATGGCGCTCTATTTGCTGCAGTGTATTGGTTATGTCAGGGTTCATCTGCTTGAGGAGAAAGCAGGAATATATAATTTAATCCAGATATATTGCTTTGTGTGGTACTGCGACTGCGTCAGAGCAGGGGCCAGGCGAGGGTAAACAAACCGAAGTAAACAACAAACTAGAGCTGATGGGAGGTGGAGGGTGGCTCATTGTTTATGATGGAGTATGAGTGACGCCTGTTCGCAGAATTTGATCCCAAGATGGACATTTGCGCAATTCCCAGTTGTGCCTTTTGGGATCAATAACGGTCCATACATACATGTGCTTTCTTTAATAAATTAAAAAGAGCTGAAGTTAGCATACATGCTAATATATCACAAAGATTGTTAAGATATTTGTTTATGTAGGTTTGGTAACCAAACAAATTTAAAGAGATAGTTCACCCATAACTGATAATTTACTCTCCCTTCATTTGTCACAAACCTGCTTGGGTTTCTTTCTTCTCCTGAATCTAATGCAAGATATTTGGAAAAAACTAGAGATCTTGATTTTCATAGTATTTAGTTTTCCTAACGTGGATGTCAATGGTCACAGGTTTACCTCTTTTAAAAAATATTTTATTTCAGAAACATAACGAAAAATGTTTGGAACCACATGAGGTTAAACTAACCCTTTAAGTACTATAGTTTTAGTAGATATAGTGGATATAACCCTGTATTTCAGTCTCTGGCTTGCATCTTGGTCAGCCAAGGGTTACTAATGTTGGCAGACTATTTGACGTCAATAACAGCAGCGATCCTCTCTCAACCCAGTTTCTCACCCCATCGTCCCTGCACTCATCCACCCCACCGTGTGCTGTAACCGCACGGCCCTCAAGCCTAGACTGGGCCTGCGCACGCTACTTAATTGCATTACACAGGCACCATTCATTCGTTTATTCAATTAGGTTTAATCACAGTCATTTGTATCACATGTGTAGCAGAGGAAACAGGCATGGAAGGGGGCTGTTAGCCAAACAACACTCTGCCATGTTGGCACACTAAAAATAAGGGATTTTAGATTCTTGCTTTGTTCGACTAACCATAGTAAAGAAAAGTTTTGTTTTCAATGCTCAAATCTGTATGAATCCTAGATGACAAACTATTTAGATAATATTCAGAATTAATGGTCATTTCCTCACATGCATGCATTTCCTTTGACTTGCCAGTCTTTTATTTACATGTTTATATTTCCATCATGGTGACAAACATATACATCATTCAGTGATGTCACTCGTAAGTTGTAGCTTTAGCTGCAGCATCACTGGTGGATGTTGCCATTTTTTGTGCTTGCCATAATTAAATTTTGTGGAAACATCCTTTACGTTTGGATGTTTGGGACTTGCGGATTTTATTTCTGTGAAGAGAGTGTTAATTTAACATGCAACATCTAGTGCCACAATGGGTTCTTTGAGAAATAGAGGAAGCAAAAGAAATGCAGTAGAAGAAAGGGAAGAAGCTTCATCACACTGATTGAACACTTCCCGCTGCTGACTAATCTAGTTAAGATGTCTGCGATGGGTTTCTTGGAAAGAGATGGGCTGGAGTCATGATACATGCTTAAAAAAAGTTTAAGGAGACAGTATTGAACTTATTCTAATGCGGAGGTGCACTCGATTTCACAAACAAAGTCAAAAACGGTTGAAAACTCAAACTACCTGCTCTACAAACAAGTGTGAAAATATCAATTTGCAACATCAAGCAACATAATGAGCTGTTTTTAACATCTGAAAATGAATGGAAGTGAAAGAGAACGGAAGTCTCGAGCCAAAGAGATTTAAGGTTGCGCCCGCTCATCAATACTATAAAAAGAAATCAATATCTAAAAATCCTAGATTACTTTCTTAATTCTGGGGTATTTTTTTAACGTAATAATGAACACGCTGACTAGCATAGTAAATAAAAATACGACAGTACTACAGAAAATGTATCCCACAATAAAAAAATACAGTCTTGTAGTTTTGTCCAACATAGGCTCACTCGAAAATGTAGCCCTATATACGTTTCTGGAGATTGTGATTTATGTAGCCAGAGGTACAAATGGCTGCATTTCGTCTTTAAAACGAACACTTTTCGTCTTTAAAAGGACGCCGGGGCTGGAGTTAGGTAAAGAATGGTTCCAAAAAGTGGACAAAAGACAAAAACGAAAGACAAAAAATAAATAAACATGTAAATCACAGGGTGAGATTGTAGTAAAAATCTGAAAACGTGGTAAAAAATCAGGTTGCTGCGAGGGCTTTTTTTTCTGGATTGCTTTTGAAAACATTGTGGTTTGGTTTAGGGAATAGGGTCAGTGGCGATCAATAGCCACATTTCCACTGTCGGGCCAGTGCGAGCCAGGGCTTTAATCGGGCTAGGCCTGGCCAATCACCCAGGAAGTTGAGGCCGAAATCATGTCGCGTTTCCACTGTCGGGCTAGTAACTTGCAGCGCGTCACGCAAACCCCGCCCCCAGAACATATGGAATCACACAACCCGCTCACTTCTGCGGGAATCAGGCAGATAAAGCACACCATCGCATCATCACGAAACCTTTAAAATGAAGACAACCAAAACAAACAAATGACACGTTACTGTACAGAAGTACATGATATGTCTATACGCACTGGCCTGTGTGTTTCCATTCATTATATTCATTTAATCGCCGACCGACTGTTGGCATTGAATATCGAGTGGTCTCGCCAGCGCAAGGAGCACACTATCCATAATATAACACCACAGAAATTCTCCGTTTATTACTTGGTAGAAAATGTTTTTTATAACATCCTCATTTAGATAAACACCGTCAAACATTCAGCCCAAATGCTCCGGAGAGAGCTGAAATTTATTTTAAATTTATTTTTAATTTTATTTGATATTAATTATTCCTTATAGGCTACATGACACTTAATAATTTTGTGATTTTAAAGAAAGTGTTAAGTGCTTAAGCACATAAGAGCAATTAATAAAATATAGCGGTGGGAGTATCGGTTGGTTGGTCAGTTAGTAACTCAGTCGACAGCAGCCTCTGGCAGATTTACGCGAGAACAGCAGGCATAAATGGTACTCGTGAGAGAAATTTGAGTTTTAAAAAAGCATACACAGCGCCCACTGGTGGAGTCGCAAAAAAACTGCAAAAATTAGCTTCTGGGATGTATTTTGCTCTGTATATATGGGTATGTAATCAGAATGAGCCTGGTTGGTTTTCACAACACAAAAAAAAAAAGGTGTGTTCACATTCAGCAGGTCTGGTTTAATTAAAATTCTAGTGTTGATTGGTTTGTTGTGCAATTCGTTTAAATAAGTGTACTCACTGCCAGTCGAACCTTGATGCACACAAAACAAATGGTCTGAGACTACTGAAAAACAGGTGCAACATGTACCAAAGACATCTAAACAAACCGAAAACAGGATGTGATGTCACAAAAACACAACCTTAAGAAAGACAAAATGCTGACGCATACTTTTGTTCATCATAGCCTCAATGTTGCCCAATACAGATCAATACAGGTTTTACAGATTACAGTTTGTTTGTGTGTGTAATAGATTAATTCCTGGAGCCAATTAGACTCATTTACTCATTTAAATACTATGCCATGTGCGCATCAGATTTAGCCCGACACAGCATTTGATTGTTTTGTATTATAATCACGAAATATATGCTGTAAAATCTTTTTTTTTTGTATACTTTGATGAATGTTCTCAAACTCAATTCCTACAGAGCCACAACTCTTTAGCTCCAATCACCTCCAACTAGCACCTGAATAATAGTTTCTAGTAGCCTTGATCACCTTGATTTGATTGATTTAGGGCTGTAAAAAAAAATCTGTGCAGAGCTGGGGCCATCTAGAAATTTGTGTATCCACAAAGCGGACAAGACCCAAATGTACTGTATTAGCAAACAAACTAAAAGTGAGAACACATCCTGAGAACATTTTCATTGGTACTGTCCCTTTCAGAGAAGTCAGTGTAGAAAACGTGCCTGCTGTGTTAAAGGGATTATTTTATATTCATACCAAACTGTTTCAAGGTCAATTTGTCGGTTCTTCCCCGACACACTCATGTATTTGCTAACGAAGCAAACACAGACAGAACAAAAAAAAAAAAAAAACCCAAGTCATGTTAAAAGATTAAGCCATACTTTATTTTAAGGTGCAATTCTCACTATTAATAAACCATTAACTATGATTTTGCCTCAGTAAACTCATAATTTGCTGCTTATTAATAGTTATTAAGGTAGTAGTTGGGTTATGGTGATGGCTAGGGATGTAGAATCATGCAGAATATGTATTTTATAAGTGCTAATAAACAGCCAGACACTCTCAGTAATGGCACTTAAACTAAAATGTCACCAAAGATTAAGGAATTTAACCTAGAGGTTATGTGTTTGTCCATTATTTTCCCCCAAATTTGGCTTGAAATAACCCATTATTTTAAGTGTACATAAAGTTTCACTTCTATAGAACATAAAAATAGTGGTTCAGTTCATTAATGAAGCCAACAGGCTTAAATGTTTAGTGTGTCTAGTTTCCAACTATACAGATTTAGAAAGACATTAGGGTGAGTAACTTTTGACAGACTTCACGTTTGGACTTCACATGATTTATGCCACTTTAAAGGAACAGTTCTCCCAAAAATGAAAATACTGTAATCATTTACTCTCCACGCTATTTATTCATGCCTTTTTGAGTTTCTCTCATCTGTTTAACTAGACTGATCTCACGAAAAATCTTTATTAACGTTTATTTTATGTTATCTTTTTCCCGTTTTCTCAGTTTAGTGTCTAATTTGTTCGAATTCTATCAGTCGTAGTTTGTCGTACAAAAAAGTATGATTTTTAAAAAGGAGGCATAGAACCAAACCCCACCCCTATACCCAACCATTATTGGGGGAGAGAATCATACTAAATCATACGAATGAGATGATATGAATTCATACAAAGTAGCCACTGAATCAAAAAGTTACAAATTGCCGTAAGATAGCATAGGTTGAACAAAAAAGATGATATTTTGACAATCATTGGAAACCGTTAGCCATTGACTTTCATGGTGTTATTTTTCATACTATGAATGTCAGCTATGTTTCTATTCAACTATTTTTGTGCCCATTTTTGGAACATCGCATGAAAAAAAAAAACTTTAATAGAAATGCATTTACTACATAAATTCTAGCATGAATATCAAAAATGTCATGAGATTTTATTTATGTAATAACAAAAAATAGGCACGATGAGATGGTATTAATGGACAACTAGCAGACTGACCACATTTTAAAACATCAGTAATGTTGTCTTGTTCATTTTAAAATCCCTCAGCCAAAGTCTGTCATCAGAGTGGTCCGATAAATTATTACCTACCTAAACGCCATTGTGTTTTGTTTTTATCTTTTCGGGTGCATGTACTTTTATTATATAAGAAAAATGGCCCACAGTAGCCTCTCCTACAATAGCTAATGGGGTATATGCACACAGACCTTTAATTTTCAGTCAGCCAGCCCAATTGCTCATAGTGAACTATCGTGACATTACAAAATTGGAACGTTTAAGATCTGATTTCACGAGGACTGTTTATTTACTTTATAATGTTTATTTTATGTTATCTTTTTATGTTTTGTCAGTTTAGTGGTTCATTTGTATGAATTCGATCAGTTGTAGCTCAGTCGTACGAAAAAGTATGGTTTTCAAAAGAAGGTGTGGGACCAAACCCCACCCCTAAACCCAACCATCAATGGGGCACAAGATAATCATTATAAATTGTAAAAATGAGATCATACGAATTAGAGACTAAATCAAAAAGTTACGATTTGCCGTGAGATAGCATTGGTTGAACACAAAAGATGATATCTTGACAAATATTGGAAACCGCTAGTCATTGACTTACATAGTGTTAATTTTAAATGAATGTCAGTAGCTATGTTTCCATTCAACTATTTTTATGCGCGTTTATGAAACAAGATGATCCGGTGAAGTCACAATTTCCATTTATGAAGACCGGTGAACTGTCGTGACATTTCAAAATTGCCACGTTTAAGATCTGATTTCTTCATAAATCAGTGATCTTCAATGCCTGACTGATATATGATATGAAGTGGGTCTCAAACCAGACAAGAAGCACTGCATTAAATTTCATTTTCCCACACCAAGCTTTTAAAATTTGGAAAATTACAATGGAATTTCTGCGCTATCCCCCTGCTCCCGACGTTGCTTGCGTTCAAACGGTCTTCCACCCCATTTTACGCTTGAACAACTAAATGAATGCTGAAATTTATTTAACTGATTGTATTTTAATTACATTACAACACCAATGCTGTAAAAGAAACCTTATGAAATTGGAAATAGTCACATAAACCTTTCAACGGAAGTTCATTGTTGGAAGTTCATTGCCTGTTCCATTTTCTTTTTTAATATTTGTAACCAGTTTATCAGGAAGTAACAATTTTGTCCTCTTTGACTCATTGGATGGAGATGGTGCTTTAGTCTCAAACGTTTTATGTGATAGTTCAGATGTGCGCAATATTACTAGTTCACATATTTGGATGGAATTGGTTACCTCCACAATCCAAAGAGATGCGCTATAGGTGAATTAAATAAGCTAAATTGGCCTTAGTGTGTGAATGAGTGTGTATGGATGTTTCCCAGTGCTGGGTTGCAGCTGGAAGGGCATCTGCTGTGTAAAGCATTTGCTGGATAAGTTGGCGGTTCATTCTGCTGTGGCGCCTCCAGATAAATAAAAGGTCTAAGCAGAAGGCGAATGAATGATTGTCATGCCTAACACTACTGCACTACCACACAATCTGTACTTCAATGAAGGTGGGGGTAGACCTCCAAAATATTTTACCCAACCTAAAACACCCCCCCCCCCCAAAAAAAAAAAAACGATCAGGGATTACCCTCTATTAGCATCCCTAACCGCAAACTCTTCTACTCAAGCATATGTCGTGCCGTCGGTGTGGGGGAGGAACTCTTTCTCTAAGTTCCAGTGACCCTTTTGAACGCATTAGTGACTAACTGCCAAATGGATGTTCCTCTACACCTTCGTCAAAGCACTTTCCCTGTCCCAGAAGAGTCCGACTGCCGTAATACCTCTTACCCAGCCCACCCCCACCAGCCGTGATGCGGTTACTACCGTCAATCTCCTCACACTTCGCAGTAATTACCTTCTCCAGCACGGTTATTATGCTGTCTTTTCCAGAACTACCAAGAACAAGCTGTCTTGCTGAAATTATATGTTTAGTATTTATCTGTAATTATGCTAAAGAAGCGTATGTGACTCTGAGTGCCAGTTTTGTGCTGTTAAACCATCCTTTTGTGTTTGCATGTGATTGAAAGAGGGAGAAAAAACAACATACTAAACGATACACTCTGTTGCCAATAAAAATTAGATTCATATTTCCACGAAGTAGCCATGACCTCTGGGAAATGAAGACTGATTGAGTGTACTAATGAGAGTGTCTCTTGTTTTTATTGCAGTACATGGGCTGCATTGAGGTCCTCAAATCCATGAGATCGTTGGACTTCAGCACCAGGACGCAAGTCACAAGGTAAAGTGGGATTTGGGTTGACTTAGATATACACAAATAATAAAAGAGGTTCACAAATCTCATGATTTAATTGTTTTAGTTCGGAGTTTATTGATTTTCCTTCTTTATTTATTTGTTTATTTAAAAAAAAAAAATATATATATATATATATATATATATATATATATATATATATATATATATATATATATATATATATATATATATATATATATATTTTTTTTTTTTTATTTATTTATTTTTTTTTATTGTTGTTTGCCTTTGATTGTGGCCTTTAATATTATTGTATTTAGTTTTGCTTTGCTTTGCTCTGTTAATTTTATTTAATTTCTGAAAATTGTCCATGTTATAAAACAATCTGTATATTAATCTAATTAATCTTCATCTGTGTATAATTTATTTCAAATTTCATTTTAAAAGTCCAAAAATTGAGATCATAAAGTCGCCATCTTTTTTCATAATTTTCTAAAAGTTTTTGAGTTTTAGCGTTAAATATTTAAAAAGATAATGACGCATGGAATCCTCACCCTTTTGATTTTTTTGTTTTTGTTTTGTTTTGCATTGATGCTTATTTTATTTATATTTTAGTTTGTTCTATTTTAGAAAACGTTTTGGTCTCCCATGTATCTGATGATTTATTAATTCTGAGCTTAAATACTTTAGTTTTATTTGTTTGTAATATTCTGTGCCTTTTATTGTTTTGCTTTTCTCAGTGTATTATTTCATTTTTTAATTTCTGCTTGTTTGTTTGTTCTGGAAACTTTTTTGTATCGTTTTCATGTTGTTGTTTTGTTTTTGTTTGTCTGTTTTTCAGATTGTATCTTTGGTTATTAGTTATTTTGTTTTTGTTTTGCTTTTGTGTTGTTTTGGTTTGCTGTGTTGTTCTTTTGTTTTGCTGATGTATTCCCATTATTGAATCCCCAGTGCCTTATAATGTTTTGTTTTGTTGTTTTTTTGTTTTTGTTTTGTTTTGTGTTTTTTGTTTTGTTTTGTTTTTTTGTTTTGTTTTGTGTTTTTTTTGTTTTGTTTTGTTGTTCTGTTTTTTTGTTTAGTTTAGTTTAGTTTTGTTTTGTTTCAATTTAGTTTTTACTGAGCTGAAAACATTTATGCTTTTAGATTTGAATAATTACTTTTTTTTTTTTACTTTGGTCGCAAATTGTCCTTGACAAATGATGGACATGACTTCATTGACGTTCATTACATAATTAAACACACCAAACAGAAGCAACCAATGATCTGCACATTTATATGTCAGCTGGCTTGCATTAACCCCAACAGGCGCATATTTATTTATATACGTTCAAGCATGTGCGTTCTTGTAGATGGAGTGACAGGACGGACACTAGTGGAGTCCCTCTCTCTGCCCTCACTCATCGATCAGCAGTAACCCGAACCCCGCGGCCCACAATGGCCTAAAGTGGCGAGATGGAGCCATGTATTATTAACGACTCCCACTAATGACTATGGAAGTCTTCTGGGGCCTGAGATGATGCAGATTGCATGGGGAGGAGTCCGGCTGATAAACACGGAGGACTGGAGGAGGGAGCGATTGTTTGTTTGTCTGTTATGACATTAAAATGGTTATAATGGGAGTGCTTGGAAGCAGCCTGCATATTTAGCCAGAATCTATTTCGCCGCAGGAACGAACGGCTTGTAAATCAGCTGATTTTTGTGGTGCTGCAGGAGAAGAAGGATTGTGGGTGGGCTTTTGTCGTTTATCATTGTCATATATTGTGGCCTACAGGCAATTTCTATAGAATGCAGAAAAGGAAGAAGTGCACACCACAATGCAAGAGCCAAATATACACTGGATGAGTCAAAATGATAGACTTTTGCTTTAAAGTACGTAAAGATCATGTCCCATGAGGGCATTTTATACATTTTCTTCTGCAAATCTATAACAACTTAATTTTTGATTAGTCATATACTCTGCTAGGAACTTAATTAGTTCAATTTTATAGGCAATTTTCTCAACATTTAGATTTGTTTTCTCCAATAATATATTAATGTTAAAATATAATAATGTAATATAATAAATTTTTTCTCTTGTTTTCCAATAATTGTCATATAATAATAATCTCAAACAACTATTGTCCCATCCTAACTAACCATACATTAATGTAAATCATATTTCTGTAGCTTTAAGAAGATGTAAAATCTAAATGTTGACAAACTGACCCTGATGACTGATTTTATGGTCCATGGTTGCTCATGACTAAAATATACTTCAATATATTTTAAATACATCAAATATAAATATATATATATATAGTAAAAATAGTATTTTAGGGACAAAAATAACAAACAAACAAACAAACAATCCAAAAACATTTCTATCCTCAACAATTGCATTGTAAAACAGAGCAAAAACGGAAATTTAGCTTGTCTACAACTTTGTTAAATGTTTGTTATTGGTTTTATACATTTTAGACATCAAATAATTTCTTCAAATATTATATTTAAGTTCTTTCTTAAGCAAATAACCAAGCAAATGCATTATATATGCTCTAAAATGGCACACCAATAGTAATATATTTTATTATATATTTATACACAGTATATGTGTTCAAATGTTTTGGGTATCCTTCCACAAGCTTCTCACAATAGTTTGAAGGAATTTTGGCCCATTCCTCCTCACAGAATTGGTGTAACTGAGTCATTGTGTGATTGATTGATTTGTTGGCTGTCTTGCACGCACAAGCTTTTTCAACTCTGCCCACAAATTATCTACAGGATTGAGTTCAGGGCTTTGTGATGGCCACTCCAAAACATTCACTCTGTTGTCTTTAAAGCACATTTTAACTAATTTGGCAGTATGCTTAGGGTCATGGTCTGTTTGGAAGACTCATTTGTGGCCAAGTTTTATTTTCCTGGTTGATGTCTTGAGATGTTGCTTCAGTATCTCTACATAAAGTCTTTCTTAATGATGCCATCTACGGTGTGAAATGGGCCAGTCCCTCCTGCAGCAAAACAGCTCTACAATATGATGCTGCCGCCCCCATACTTTACAGTTGGGATGGGGTTTCTAGGCTTGTAAGCTTTCCCCCATTGTCTTCCAAATGTAACACTGATCATTATGGCCAAACAGTTCAATCTTAGTCCCATCAGACCACAGGACATGTCTCCATGTATTCTTTTTCCCAGTGTAATTCAGCAATTTGTAATCTGGCTATTCTGTTGATTCTAGCTTGTTAATTTTCCCATGTTGTCACAAAAGGAAGCATTGTATTCGAGGTGAATTTCAACAATTAACTCAAATGTTGTCAATTAGCCAATCAGAAACTTCCAAAACCTTGACACCCCCATCTGAGCTTTTTCAGAGGCATAATAATCTTATTCTATGTAAACTTGACTTTCAAGAAAAAATATAACAATTTCTCAAAAAATATATCTCCCATTATTTTGCTATTAAGTGTAACAGAAACAAATTTGATAATCCTAACTTACCTAAAAGAGAAAAAGTTTAGTCACATTAACATCTGACTTGGGCGAAGCAGTAGCAGAGTAGGTAGTGCTGTCGCCTCACAGCAAGAAGGTCGCTGGGTCGCTGATTCGAGCCTCGGCTCAGTTGGCGTTTCTGTGTGGAGTTTGCATGTTTTCCCTGCGTTCGCATGGGTTTTCTCCGGGTGCTCCGGTTTTCCCCACAGTCCAAAGACATGTGGCACAGGTGAATTGGGTAGGCTAAAATGTCCGTAGTGTATGAATGTGTGTGAATGTGTGTTTGGATGTTTCTCAGAGATGGGTTGCGGCTGGAAGGGCATCCACTGGGTAAAAACTTGCTGGATAAGTTGGTGGTTCATTCTGCTGTGGTGACCCCGGATTAATAAAGGGACTAAGCCAACAAGAAAATGAATGAATGGATAACATCTGACTTTTTTTTAAAAATGGTTACGTGCCTTCTTATACAGTGTATGTAAACTTCTGGTTTCAACTGAATATACTCTATTTATTATTAAGTATTTTCTGATTTTACTATACAAAAAATGCAGAAAATATGTTTGTGTAAATATATTTTGGTCAATTTTGGACATATATTTAAAATGACAACTTGAAAATGGCTACATAGGTAACACATTGATGCAAACTGTGTGTATCCTTTGACATTTATTGAGGCAAAAATTCCTAAAAAGTCCTTCGCTGGGACAGTTGGTACTTATACAATATTAATGGGTTATTTGATAGCGCAGCGGTCTTTCAAAGACACTCAGTTCACTGTTGACCTCGCAACCCATGATGCCCCCTCTGACAAATGCTTCACAGACATCGATATGGTTTCATAAGTGACACTCTTTTAGGTTTGTTTTAATAGACCTGTTAAAACATCACTACTGATTTCGATCATACTTAGGGTTGGTGGATTTTCAAAAGCCAGTTTTGGTCTGGTCCAGCAGAGATCGTTTTGTTTTGTTGTGAATTTTTCTATTATTTGTTTGATTTATTTATTCAGTTTCTGTTGCTGGTTTTGAGATTGTTTCCTCTGTTAAAATGAGTTGATTTTGTTTTATTTAGTTACTCAATTTTTGTTACTGATTTTGAGATTGTGTCCCCTATTAAAACTAGTTGTTTTGTTTAGTTTAGTTTAGTTTAGTTGTTTTGCTTTGTTTCATTTCGTTTGTTTTATTTTGTTTAGCATTGCTTTGCTTTGCTTTGTTTTATTTATTTACTCGATTTTCGTAATTAATTTTGAGATTGTTTAATTTATTTGTCTCAAGTTGTTTTTTTTTCCTTGATTATTTAGTTTATTTATTTATTGAATTTAGTTTGTTTTTGAGATTGTGTCCTCTATTAAAATAATTTCTTGATTTATTAGACTTGAGTTGTTTTTCTTTTGTTTTGTTCATTCATTCATTTTCTTTTCAGCTTAGTCCCTTTATTAATCTGGGGTCGCCACAGCAGAATTACCTGCAAACTTATCCAGCATATGTTTTACGGCTGCCCTTCCAGCCGCAACCCATCACAGGGAAACACCCATACACACTCATTCACACACTCACATGAACTACAGGCAATTTAGCCTACCCAATTCACCTATGCCACATGTCTTTGAACGTGCTACCCACTGCGCCACCACGTCGCCCTCTTTTGTTTTGTGTTTGTTTAAATTATTTAATAATTATTTTATTCATTTTATTTTTGTAGCTGTATGATTTAAGATTGTGTCCTCTGTTGAAATGATTTCTTGATTTATTTGACTCCAGTTGTTTTCTGTTTGGTTATTGCTTTGTTTTGTTTGCTTCATTTAAATTTTCTTGATTATTTATTTTATTTATTTACACAATTTTTGTTGCTGATTTAAAAATTGTGCTTTATTAAAAATTATTTGTTTTTGGTTTTGCTTTGCTTTGTTTACTTGATTTTTGTTGCTGATTTTGTACTCTATTAAAATAATTTCTTGAATCAATTTCTTGATACAAAATTTTTTTTTTCAATTTTCTTTATTATTTCGTTTATTTAATTTTTGTTGCTGCATGATTTCTTTTTTTACTGGACTTGAGTTGTTTTTGTTTCGTTTTGTTTAAAATTTTCTAGATTATATAGTTTGTTTATTTAATCAATTTATGTTTCTAATTTTGCGATTATGTCTTCTATTAAAATGATTTCTTGATTTATTTGTCTCAAGTTGTTTTTTGTTTGTTTTATTTCAGTTGTGATTATTTTGTTTGTTTATTTATTTATTCAATTTTTGTCACTGATTTTTAGATTGTGTCCTCTATTAAAAATAGGATGTGTTTTGTTTTGTTTTGCTTTGCTGTGTTTACTCAATTTTTGTTGCTGATTTTGAGGTTGTGTCCGCTATTAAAATGATTTCTTGAGTTATTAGAGTCAAGTTGTTTTGTTTAATTTTTTAAAAAATATTTGCTTTACCTACTAAATATTTGTTGCTGCATGATTTGAGATTGTGTCCTGTATCAGAATGATTTCTTGATTTACTAAACTCGACTTTTGTTTTGTTTGTTTCGTTTTGATTTTGATTGTTTTGTTTATTTATTTATTTATTCATTTTTTGTTGCTGATTTTGAGATTGTGTCCTCTATTTAAAAGATTTCTTGATTTATTCAACTCAAGTTATTTTTTCTTGTTCTTTGCTTTGTTTGTTTCGTTTCAATTTTGATTCTTTTATTTATTGATTAATTTTCTGTTGTTGATTTTGAGATTGTGTCCTCTATTAAAAAGATTTATTGATTTATTAAACTCGATTTGTTTTTATTTGATTGTATTTTGGTTAAGCATTACTTTCCAGCACATTATTTTGTACAAACACATAGGGCAATACATCTTGAAATTCTTACTCTTTTTTTGTTTTTTCACAGGGAAGCCATCAACAGGTTGTGTGAATCTGTACCTGGAGGAAAAACTGCCTGGAAGAAGAAAGTAAGGGAGCAAATTGTCCAAGTTGTCAGAATCAATTGCTTAACAATGCAAATTACTAATCAAAGATCGAGATTTGACATATTTACAGTAGGAAATATACAGAACATTGCTTTATATTGTGTTGATTTTTAGTATTTAAGTAAAATTTAATAATTTGACTCATACAATGTATTTTTGGCTGGTTTTTGTGGTCCAGGGCCACAAATCTAATAAGCGTACAGTATCGACAATTAAATAGCTTGTTTTACTCCTCAATTTAGACAACAAACAAAACCCTTCAGTCCATCATGGGCAAAAGTAACCTGCGCTTTGCTGGAATGAGCATCGGCGTCAACATCTCCATTGATGGCTTGAGTCTCCTCGTCCCTACAACACGGCAGGTCAGCTGATTCACACAGGAAATCCCATTATATCAGTGCTATTTTAAACGAAACACGCTCAACCAGATCATCTGTCACTTCTGCAATTTGTTTGCATTCGTAAAAAGTATATCTGATGAACCGTTTTTGTGAATAAATGTAAATATTTGGTTTCATGCATGGGAATTTGGCTATGCACGTATACATTGTGGGTATTTTTGTTTGCGTTAATTATTATTAAGACTAATTTAGCTCCATAATTAAGTGGCCATTTAGTGTGTATGAATAGTAAGACTAAAGTTTGCTAAATTTCCAAAACAGAGCATTAAGCTGATATGTATTTCGATTTATTTGAGTTTATTAGTTTAATTTAAAGAGCAAGTCGGGCTTTCAGATAAAAATTGTGACACTGTTTGTAACATAGCTGCAAAAAATAAAGATATTTTCTCTTAAAACAAAGAGTCTGCTCTGAATTTCTTATTTTGTTTCTTCATGCAGACATCACAGCATCTCACTTTCGTCTGTTTTTATCTAGGTTATTGCCCATCATCCCATGCAGTCCATATCTTTCGCCTCAGGTGGAGATTCGGTGAGGCCTCTGAAAAATACTTCATTTTTAACCCTGCTTCTTTCAGCTTTTACAATTTTAACATACAAAATCTGATTTTTAGTCATTTCGTGTTTCAGGATACACCTGATTACGTCGCCTATGTAGCCAAAGACCCCGTCAACCAAAGAGGTATATTTATTATTTATTTGTATATATTTTTAATAAGGTTTATTTGTGTTTTTATATATTATTTAATGTATTTTAATGATTTTTTGTTAAGTTTTTGCACATATTGTATGCATAGTATTCATTGAAATATGCCCTAAAGCATATATAATTGCAGTAGCATGTTGAACTGTGGTGCTTGTTTGGAAAATATGGGTTTGACTCCAGCATTTTTCATTCATTTAATTTTTATGGATTGGTTTCTGACAAAATGACAAATGTTACCTTCTAGCTTGTCACATTTTGGAGTGCTGCGACGGTCTTGCCCAGAATGTGATCAGCACCATTGGCCAGGCCTTCGAACTGCAGTTCAAACAGTACCTACACAGTCCACCCAAAGCCATTCCTGCCATGGATAGGTGAGATTTACATCATTTCCCATAAGCTATGTTAATGTAATACAGCCGAAAGCAGTGGTAGTTCCTTCATTAATTCATTTGCATTCATCTTTTAAAGGTGACCTATAAAGAAAATTGGGATATTACCTAAACTGTAAAAAAAAAAAATCCTGGTAGCCTTCAATTTTTAAGCTGAATCCAATTAACCTTATGAGTCCATTGAACTTATATTCTGTTAAAGTGACTTAAAACAGCTTGCACAACTTATAAAATTAAGTTTGAACAGGATTAACTTAGTTTAATAAGTTACAATGAATTAAAAACATGCTGTCATGACTAATCAACATGGAAATGGCCATACCTGAGTCTCAGACACCACTGTTTTAAAACCATGGTGTACATCAGAACACAAAGCAGACGGTTACGCTACTCACCAGCCATGTCCTCGTCATTTGCATGTACTTTAGATGGTTCATCTGGCTGTGTCATCGGGAGAAAACAGACTTATATGTAGCTCTGGGATCATTAACATGCATGCCTAGGGCATGTGTGCTTTTCCACCCCAAGTTACTTTTAACTCACTATGTTTGTGGGACTTTTATTTTGAAAACAAGAGGCTAAGATACTTTACTATGCGTTACTGAGAAGTAATTGCACAAGACATATTCAAGCTCATGCAAAATTCACAAATTATATTTTTATTCAGCTTTGAAGAGGCATAAGGTATGTTTAATTGTATCTCTCATTAATTTATTTTGTTAATTGTGTAATTTGATGCAAAATTTTGCCTTAAAGGGGGGGTGTAAAGAAGCCTTTAATATCAATAGTTGGGGACAAAATACAATAGAAGTCTCTTTTGTATTCAGCAGCAAAAGAAACTGAATCAGATTTGACGAATGTTATGTTTTTTGGGTGAACTATTCTTTGAATTCATTAAAACGCTTATTGTTTTGTACTATAGTTCATCCAAACAAGAAATATTCATTTATTTATGCAGACTATTGATTTGTTTCAGACATCACGGCATCTCTGATAAGTGAGATTCACATGATTTCCTATAAACCGTATAGTTTGTTGATGTATCGCAGCTTGAAAGCAACGCCTTTCTCATTTCACCTGGAGTCAACATTGAGCTTCAGTTATGAACCTTTTTCAGAAGGTTGAAACAAGATACACACGGCTTGTGTTTCATACAGCCATCCTGTTTTGATGCCCGACAGTTATTTAAAGCTAAATTCATTTAAGGGGCTCTCAGAAACCGCGAGACTGCTCAGTGTCAAATCAGTAATGGATAATTTCTTTTATTTTGTTCTGTTTTATATCATTGCTGGTACGTATGCAATCGCTCCCATTCTCCATCCTTGTCCAAGCTGGATTTCGATTTGCACTGGCAAGGGCACTATAGACCAGGGGTGGCCAACCCTGTTCCTGGAGAGCCACCTTCCTGCAGATTTTAGTTGCTACCCATATCAAACACACCTGAACCAATTAATTAGGACCTGAACACCATGTGATAATTACAGGCAGGTGTGTTTAATATGGGTTGCAACTGAAATCTGCAGGAAGGTGGCTCTCCAGGAACAGGGTTGGCCACCCCTGCTATAGACAGTCGGTTGTGTGCCTCTAGAGTTTAAAGAAGTGAGGTTTACTCGTACTGTTCTAAAAGCTGGCCTCCTTTAAACTCCTTACCATCTAAACAAGTGTTTCCCAACCCTGTTCCTTAAGGCACACCAACAGTACACATGTTCAGAATCTCTCTAATTAAACACACCTGGATCAATTCATCAGAACACTAGAAGAGGCTCCAAAACCTAAAGTTAATGGGTCAGATAAGGGAGACATCCAATATATGTACTGTCGGTGTGCCTCCAGGAACAGGGTTGGGAAACACTGCTCTAAACCACACTCCTATCCACGTCACGGCACCAAACACTACAAGCATTATCCAATCCTCCGTTTTTATTTATTTTATTGGGATGAGACCTAATGATTTGTCATGTTAAATATTGTAAAGTATAACTCCAGCTGTTGTTTAACTGTAGTTTTGGACCAACAAAGCTACTGTAAAATCTGTGTAGAATGACTTTAATTAAAATCACTTGATTTCTATCACAAACTGTGTTATTGTAACCCTGCCGGTCCTACGCCACCCAACCTGTTCCAAGCTGGTTTTGAACTGGCGACCTTCCGCATGGGAGTCCATGGCCACTAGCATCTGTCTAGAGAAGTGAGGGTTACCTGCACAGCACTTACTAGCTGGCCTCCATTACACTCACCCCCCTAAACCTCCCTCCCATCCGGGTCATGGCACCAATGTAACCCCGCCGGTTCTACGCCACTCAACCCGCTCCAAGCTGGTATCAAACAGAGGACCTACCGCATGAGAATCAGTTGCTCTACCAAGGAGGCTAAAGACCATGGCCTCTAGCGTCTGTCGCTAGAGCACCTTCAGAGGTCAGAGGAGTAAGGTTTACCTGCACAGCACTTAATAGCTGGCCTCCGTTACACTATATTGACCAGACATACACAAAAGCAACAAAAAATATTAGGTGTAATGGCTCAACTAAAATAGAAATTCCAAAATTTCCACTTGTTACAAAACTGTTTGAGTTTCTTTATTGTGTTAAACATTAAAAGAAGTTATTCTGAATATTGTTGAAAACCTATTGACTTCCATAGATTTTTTTCCTACTATAGTAATCAATGGTTCTCTTATTTAAAATATATTTTCAAAAACACAAAGAAAGAAACTCATGAATAAAAATAAACTTGGAAGGTGAGTAAATGGTGTTTTTAAAATTATTTTTGGGTGAATTAAATGATATATATCCCTAGACAATAGGCATGGGACGAAAACTGGTTTCAAGGCTTTCCATCGTCTGGAAAAGTCAAGGTTTTAAAACTGCAAAGATTTTCTGTTATATTGTTTCTAAGGTACATGCAAGAGTTTTTAATACTTTTTTATGTATTGTAAATAAATCTGTGTTATTGAAACTAATAAAGACAGCAGAAGTCAGTGATTTATTAAAATTATTTAGTCTGACATATTTACTGTTCCAAAATATTTTGTTTCCTAAAATATATTGTGTTTAATGGGGAAAAGTTGTTTTTTACTGGAACATTAAAAATGATATATTTTAGAGCAGTTATAACAATACCGTCAAGGTTATCATAGGCCTACTGTCAGAAAGTTATACCAGCCCATGTCTAATAGATACACTTTTATTGATATATTTCAGCATTTAGGACACTTTTCAATTGATATGTAATGTGTTTATATGCAGTCATGCTGAATATCCTAATATATTGTCTAGAAATATAAGAACAGAAGAGTCAGCATGGGGTGAAGACGAGGAGTCATCCGAGCACGATTACTACAACAGCATCCCTGGAAAGGAGCCTCCTGTTGGGGGAGTGGTAGACTCGAGGCTCAGGCCTCCTGCGGGCCTACTGGGCCACGTTCACACACACCCACAGAGCAAAACATCACAGGTAAAACTGACTTCAACATGGAGAAACATTATTGATGACGCCTTGTGTTATTAACAATATAAACTTTATAGATTATAGAGAGAATTGGAATTTATAAATGAACTATCGGTGAGTGGTATTAGCATAATGCTAACTAAGACAACCAGATAGCTTTTGGTGAATACAGCACATTCTTTTAAGGAAATGCTTTTTTTTTTTCACAATTTGATCTCTCACATCGTATTAAAATCTCTATAACTAAATTTATCAAAAAAGATCATTTATAAATAAGATAAATGTAAAATTAATATAAATATTATTAATATAAAGCACTGTTCATATATTAAATTCTGTTCCAAAACTTCTGTTTTAGAAAATATATTTTATACATAAATGCATTCATTTTCTTTTCCGCTTAGTCTCTTTATTAATCCGGATGCCCTTCCAGCTGCAACCCATCCATATTGTGTATATATATAGAAACTAGAATAAATAAGAATGAGAAATATCCTTTGACCTTACCTCAGAACTGTGTTTATTATTTTAGATGGGGTCACCGGCTAAAAGAGACGCAAACAGCCTTCCTGCCACCCACTTGTGTTATGAAGTGCACTGGGACACAGAGAATAACAGAAGCTCAAGTGAGACTCCTGCTGGATAAATGACATTATTATATTACTCCTGTTGATTTTTAAGCCACAGAGTCCATCATTCCAGATTTCTCTTCTAAATGCAATGTCATTTAACAAGGTTTTGTATCGGTTCGTTCAGCAGGTTTGACTTCTGATGGTTACTTGCGAGCAGATGGTCATCCTCCAGGCAGTCGTGATTACGAGGAGCATCTGTACGTAAACACTCAAAATCTGGACAACCTGGAGGCCTCAGTGGTTGGGCGCAGACCTGAGAGCCCCAAGAAGGACATTTTTGACATGAGTAAGTCTACTATGAAGTAGACATTTAAATACATCTTTTTTTCCCACAAATGTCACAATTGAATAATTAATGCACACATGAACTGGAAGTATTCAGTATGTTGGTGTATTTGAAGCAGAAGATTGAGTAGGGGACTTGGCTTTCTTTTTGCTCATCATACACTGTCGCAAACTACCGGAAAGAGGGCGCAGTTAAAATTATTGTAGTTGAAGCTGTCTAAATGGTCAGAGTTTGATTGAAGATTACCAAAACAAACTTTTTCCAGTGGATTAACTTCACCTAAATAATAACAATGTGCTCTGCATTGTAAACCTAAATTTCACACAAACTTTAAGCTTATAAAAGGATGAATATTCAAATATTTGTTTCTTTATTCATTATTTAATGATTCCTCGTGGCAGTGCTGTTTATTGATCCTTACTTTGAAGTATATTTGGTTCATTTAATATTAGTGGGGGTATGAGGGTATAGGGGGCGATTACTGCCAAAGTAATTCAAGACAAATCAAACATAATAAACCGATTTCCGTCACACATTCCAATTTAGTTTGTGTCCTAAGTATTTATAATTGATTCACTCCAGTTATGACCAGCAAAGTGACATTTAGCCAGCAGTGTTTGTTATTTAAATATTTATTTGAGATTGAATATTTGACTATACATGCACACTCCAGCTACAAATGGCTGAAATGGATGCATCAAGTTATGCTATAGGGCGGTTGAATTCATGATTCTGATTGGCTGCGTCTGAAACCGCATACTTCCATACTATATAGTACGCTAAAATCAGTATGCAAGCCGAGTAGTATGTCCGAATTCATAGAATTCGAAAATCAGTATGCAAGAAATACCCGGATGACTTACTACTTCGGTGAGATTCTGAAGTGCACATTTCATGCACGCTGCGATATCCCATGATGCCCCACGAGAGAATTCATGAATGGGAGTGAAGCGACACAACTGATGCAGATAAGTCACGTGACCATGACAAAATGGCGGATGTAGTATGTCTGAATTGAATTTATACTTTTCACATTCATACTGGATAGACTGTACTTTTCTAACGGTCGAGTAGTATGTTTAAATTCAAATGCAGTACTTACTGAGTAGTAGGCGGTTTTGGACGCAGCCCTTGGCTGAGGAACATACTAAGGGCTCATTCATACAGAACACGTTTTCCATTGTTTTTTAACATGTGCTTGATGGACTTTTGCTACGCTTGCATCTAGTAATTTTTTGCATGAATGTAACTTTTTTAGACGCCGTGTAAAGTTGAAATAATTTGCATTAAGCGCTGTTCATTAATGACAGTTCTAAAGCTGTGGACTAATTAGAAAAATTCAAAGGCGGGGCAAGTGTTGCAAGCTTCTGTTTAGAGTTGCTGACAACTGTTTTATTTGACGTTAACATGGTGGATGAGGCAGTTTGTTTGTTTTTTTATTTCAAGCACTACACAAGGTATTTTTCAGATAAACAAACAGCTAAAGTATTTCCAGGCAGGTTTTGACCGCATTACAGATACATACCACTACACTGATATGATTTTCACAGCCTACAAATTTCTAAAATCAAATCAAAACGACACAGAAGCCATTAGTTGAGATGCGTAAGAAAAAATCCTACAAACAGGAGTGGTTTGAGGACAAACCTATGACAAATGGTCAGCGAAATCTCATTGGTAAGTGCACCAACATATAGCTCAACAGTGCTTCAAGCATCCTGACTTTGAGTCCCGAACCTTTTGAGATATTGTTCCCCCTGCTCTCTCTTCCTCTTCCTGCCAAAAATGTCCCCAAAAAATTTATATTTAAAAAAAAAAGAAAAGACAAATGTCTTGAAGTGTCAATAGGTGTGGTAACCATAGTATACGCGGAGTAATTGACTCCACTCCATTGAATTATCAGAAAATAATGCACACCCAAGATGTTTTGCATATCTGAGATTTTCTAATCTGCTGTTGTGGACTTGATAGGGCCATTTGAAGATGCCCTGCGCCTCCATGAAGCTAGTGGGGTTTGTGTGCTGGAGGACAAATGGCCGAGTCCCCCACGTCGCAGAGCCCCTGTGGCCCCTACAGAAGACCAGCTAAGACGAGAGATGTGGTACCACGGCCGAATGAGCCGCAGGGATGCTGAGAATCTGCTGGGCCGCGATGGGGATTTCCTGGTACGGGACAGCGCTACTAACCCAGGCCAGTACGTGCTGACGGGGATGCAGTGCGGCCTTCCTAAACATCTGCTGCTGGTGGATCCTGAAGGAGTGGTGAGTGGAGCTTCAGACTTATAATACAGAGCTGGTTTTCTGAGGCTCTTTATGAACTTACAGAGGAAGAAATGAAACGTTCAAGTTCTTCTAAACAGGCTGTGTAATCTAATATGGCTAACTAGCCTATTTTGAGGTTAATTATTAATAATTGCAAAGACAATAATAAAAACATAGCGAGAATTGATTATTAAAATATATATTGTTAAATTTTATTAGAAAAAAGGCTAAGCCCTTTCTGTCAATGATGTCCAGATCTGAACACGTGATGGAAAATCGGGCCTTTTCATACAGTTTCAGACTCAATCGGAATGGGATGTTACCTCCCGATTAGGACTTGAATATATGTATTTAAAAAAATATACTCTCATTATTTTATAAAACATTAATAGTTATGCGGTGGCACAGAGTTACACCTCTTTCTTGACTTCACACAGCAACGCGTGCAGCATGACATCACTTTGTTGCAGAGATGCTATTGGTTAAACGCTGGCAAAGTAGACACGAAGCAGCTTGAAGCGTTAAGCATGAGTATGTCTGTGTCTGGAGGTATTATAAAGTTGATGATGACATTATTGCTATAGCAAACTGTGAGATATGTAAACTTGGGAATGCCTGCCGTCATCCTGGATGTTTCTTTACTCTTCTTTATTCTTTTTTTATATTTAATAGAAGTATTGGATCGGGTTTTGGTATCAGTAGATAATCAAAAACAATTGACTCGGATTCAGACTCGAGGGCAAAAAAACCTGATCGGGACATTCCTCCTTACTGTGGAGTCAGGCCTACAATCACAGAATGCTTAAAAAAGTTATAAATAAACTGTAACAGTCAGTAAACATTATACGATTATAATAGAGATACAGTTTATACTCATATTTATAGTAATGCTGATGATTATTATTAATAATAATAATGACCACAGCTGAATGAACCACCGACTTATCCAGCATATGTTTTACACAGCGGGTTCCCTTCTAGCAGCTATAGCGCATGTCTTTAGACTAAGGGGGAAACCTGACCACCCGGAGGAAACCCACACAAAGACTAAGAGAACATGCAAACTCCACACAGAAATGCCAACTGGCCCAGCCAGGACTCGAACCAGCTACTTTCTTGCTGTGAGGCAACAGTGCTAACCACTGAGCCACCAAGTTGCCTATTATTAAAAATACAACACCTCATTAATCTATAAAAAATACGGCACATTTCACAAAATAAAGTCAGTTACATGTAATAAATACATTTCAACAGAAAAATAAATCACAATTTAATATTGTTATTATTCTTATTAATAATAAATGTCAACTGGATAACAAAATAAAGATGCTGTAAAATGTGAAAATAAACATTTGAGATAATAATATTCATAATAATAATAATAGTAATAATTGTTATTATTATTGTTGTTATTATTATTAATGACACTACAAGTGAGATAACATTTATTACCTAAATAGAAAATTAGGAATCGTCACTATTATTATTAATAAATAAATAATAAAAAATGGCACCTTTCATAAAGTCTTTCTTGATTGATGGCATTCAGGTATCCCCCTCTTCCCAGGTGCACATTCTCGGGGAACTACTGTATTTGACGCTCAGCTCAGTTTTGATACTCACTTCAAGCACTTTACGAACACAGCCTTTTTCCATCCCCGTAATATTGCACGCATCAGACCATTTCTGTCACAGCCAGATGCTGAGAGGCTTGTCCATGCCTTCAAAACATCCTGCTTGATTTTTGCAATTCGCTCTTTGGAGGTTTACCTGCAAATTCTCTTAAAAGGTTACAGTATATTCAAAATTCTGCCGCACGTGTTCTGACTTATAGATCCTCTCGCCGTCACATCACACCTGTTCTCCAGCGGCTTCATTGGCTATCGATTAGGTCACGTATTGATTTTAAGATTCTGATTTTAACTTATAAAGCAGTCCATATGCTAGCTCCTGATTACTTTCTACTCCTGCTCGCAGTCTTCACTCTGCTTCGGGTCTTACCCTGTTCCAGCCACGCTGCAGACTTAACACCATTGGTGGTTGGGCTTTTTCATATCGTGCTCCGAAATTATTGAATGCAATACCTATTACCATTAGAAATGCAGTGTCTCTTGACTGTGTTAAGAAGCTTCTTATGACTCACCTCTTTAGTAGAGTTTTTATTTTGTGATCTATTGTTATCCTACTTATTGTTATATTTTCTTACTTACTGTTTTGCCTTGTAAGGCTTTGAGCTTGAGAAAAGCGCATTACAAATAAAATGTATTATTATTTTTTTTATTTTTGTAAAATATAACGGTAAGTTACACGTTATATCAATCACAATTTCTTCTTCTTACTATTATTTTAACAAACGTCACATTAATAAAGAAAGAGAAAAATCAATATACTGTAAAATGTGCAAATAAAAGTGAGGTGTTGAAGCTTGTATTAAAAAGTTCTAACATCTATGAAATAAGGTAAATCAGTTAAACAAATAATAATAATAATTCCTTATTTCTTCTAGGTCCGAACTAAAGACATGCTTTTCGAGAGCATCAGTCACCTGATCAACTACCATCTGACAAACAAGCTGCCGATTGTAGCGGCGGAGAGCGAACTACACCTCCAGCAGGTCGTCTGCCGAAAAATCTGACCTCATTTGAAGCCCATATTTATGGTGAGAGACAATTCCAGTAAATCAGTGTTTCCCTACTCTGTTCCTGGAGGCGCACCAACAGTACATCATTTGCATGTCTCCCTTATCTGACCCATTAACTTCATTAATTAAGTTTTGGAGTCTTTTCTAAAGTTCTGATGAGTTGATCCAGGTGTTTGATTAGGGAGAGGTTGAAAATGTGTACTGCTGGTGTGTCTTTAGGAACAGGGTTGGGAAAAACTAAATATCAAGTAGTAATTGGTTGAGTAATTCACAGATTTTGCATCATGTTTGTTCAGGGATGAAGATGAAGGTCTCGAGGCCACACACTATTGCCTTAAACACAGACTCTGAGCTTCCACTGGGACTTGTGGGAAATCGCCGTTCCTGACCACAAACAGCTTTCAGCATGCCTCGCTCAATCGATCCCCTTCTTCATCTGAGAAGACCCTGACTGAGAGTTTGGCGTTGGGAAATGAAGTGCTTGTGAACTTTGAGTTTCCCAACAGACTGTTAGAAAAGTTACGACAAACACGAAAACTTCCCTTCCTCTACGAGCGATCGATCATTGAGCTGTCGTTTCTAAACGTGATGTATTCGCTAACTGTGGATCCGATCTTCTCTGATGGACGTCCCTGTGCTGTTGCGCTTTACCATCGGTTTGCTCTCAGGATGCTGTGTTTGTAATGGACGTTATATAAAGCTCATAAGCTCAGTCGCTGTAATGCAGTCGTATTGGACGCACATGTTTCATTTACGAACTCAGGACCAAACGTTTTTGGGTCACGCTCTTGAGATATTACCCCTTTTTTTGAATAACTGTGATCCAGACATGCATTATACGTCATAGTTTTGTGTTGACACAAATGGTCACTCAAAGGTACATCCAGTAGTTTGTTGCGTGAACATGTTAACAAAACTTTCAGAATACATGGTATTTTTGTTTCTTATGATCTCAAGTCTCAGATTATATTGTCAGGGTGTCCGCGGGGTCTTAAAAACTCTTTAAATGTCAAAAACTAAATTTTAGGCCTTAAATAGTCTTAAATCTACTGGAATATTGTGTTGTAAGTCTTAAATCTCTTTTAACAGGCCTTAATTTTCTTTTGTTCATGTTTAGCTAACCAATCTGGCCATTAACGCCTATACAATCACCAACAATTCTTCCATTTTTAACTCTATTTATACCATAATGGTTTAATTATTTTTCTTGCAATAACATTTGTTTGAAAGTCCGCCATGTATTTATTGTTGAGGATACTTTTATTATTACATTATTATTGTACAAGTCTAAAATTTTTTTCATAATAGGTAAAGTCTAGGTCAGATACGCAGACGACTAGAAGTGCGATATGCACATCAATATAACAGCATTTTTTTTATGACACTGTATAACTATAATTCATATTTTTACAGTACTGTGACGGTTGGGGTGGGGGTAGGCATTAAAAATATAATTTATTGGGTAATTTAATAGATAACATAAATAATACTCTGTACAACTACTGTTTTTATGTTACTGTGACAGTTGGGTTTAGGGTGGGGGTAGACAGTAATAAAATACAATAAATGGGAAATTTAATAAATAATCGAAATAATTCTCATTATCATCTGGCTGCAACTGTATCCGAACTAGCAACAACCTTCATTTGGCCTTAAAAATGTTTTAAACTTAACTTGGTGAAACCTGCAGAAACCCTAATTGTTGTCCATGGGTTTGTTTCCGAAAACCGTCGTTAGCTAACTAATGTCGCAAGTTGAGAAGTTGTTGATTTGGCGTTTCCCAAATCCGTCATTTCAACGAACATTTGCAAACTGCATTGCAAACTTGTAAACTTGTAACTACACATCTAGAGCTGTAGTTTGAAGCAGAGTACTTGGCTGTGTTCTATTCCCAGTTATCCCCCCTATGCCCTTTTTGTTTTGAACCTTCTAACATTTAAACTCTGAATGATTTAAAAAAAACAAAACATTAAAGTCATCTTTCTAAGGTGTAATTTGCTTTCAAAGTATTTTTACAGTTCAGATTTAGCGATCTTTATATTGACAATTGCGCTTCCTTCGTAGTGCACTTTGACAAAATTAAAGTGATTCTGAACACAGCCGTGGCTTATGTCGAAAGCTATAGGTGACCTATTATTTAAAAGCAGATTGTAGGCTATGTTACGTCTCCAAAGCTTGTGAAAACAAATATATATAAATATATAAGAATTTAGAGTAGGTTATTTATTATGTATCTGTACTGTATATGACATGAGCCTGTTGATTAGAACATTTCTGCAGTGGTTTGAATGTCAAATTGTAAAAGTAGACCTTTTTTAATTTCTTATTAAATAGTCTACTGTAAATTAGGCCAACAACAATTAATGATTTATATGATTTATATATGTAACCCCACCGGTCCTACGCCACCCAACCCGCTCCCAGCTGGTATCGAACCGGCAACCTTCCGCATGGGCGTCGGGTGCTCTACCAAGGAGGCTAAAGACCATGGCCCCTAGTGTCTGTCGCTAGAGCACCTTTAGAGGTCAGAGGAGTGAGGTTTACCTGCACAGCACACACTAGCTGGCCTCCGTTACACTCACCCCCCTAAACCTCACTCCCATCCGGGTCACGGCACCAATGTAACCCCACCGGTCCTACGCCACACAACCCGCTCCGAGCTGGTATCGAACCGACTCCCATACGTAAGGTCGCCGGTTCGATACCAACTCGGAACGGCTGTGTGGCGTAGGACCGGCGGGGTTACATATAAAAGATTAAAATACGTGTTAGCTTACTGATTTTATATGAAATATTCCCAAAAATATTTGTAAAGGACACATATATAGGTCTTTTATGTGTTGTTTACATATATTTGAATTAATATGGAAAAATGATTGCAACTAACATTGGATTTTATAAAATGCACATGCGTGTAAAACAATAATTTGCACAAAAAAGGAAGTTTTTACTTAAGAAGTAGTTACTGCTCCCTGTTGAGAGCGTCATTATGGGCGATAACTAAATTGGTTCAAATGATGGATCTGCGACAGAGAAACTGCAGGTTTTGGGAAACACTCATCTCTACATCGTTCTTTTCCCAAACGATGCATCATACTATGATAGTTCAGCTGCGAGTTATGTTGTTGTTTGGGAAACGTTCCCCTGCACAAGAAACATGTCAGACAATATTTTGCTTCCAAGACAGTCATCACTTATCCTTTTTAGTTATGTGCATGGTGTCATTAAAATGGAAACAAGCCCGTAACCAAACAATAGCTATTTTTTATTTTTTACATTTTGAAAATTGCCTAATGGAAACGTCAAAAAGCGTGAACATTTTTAAAAATGCTTGAGTAGAATGAGCTTTTTACCTAATAAGAAAAAAATGCACATGAACTAAGATGGAAACTCATTTACAGAATAAACTCCTGCATTCGCATCAACATCATGTGATTTTGTCACATGTGATAACCAAAATGGGCTTAATGGGACAGCATTAATAGAGAGACTGTTTTGGTTATACTTATAGCATCACTGCACAGCAGCGAGCTGCTTGGTTTGTATAATGTGACCAAACATTTTGTTTCCCTCATGCCAAATTCCATTACTTGGATTTTTTCTGTTCATTGAGCAAATGACCATTTTAGGCCTTAAAACGTCTTAAATCTTCTGGAATATTGTGTTGTAGGTCTTAAATCTTTTTTAACAGCTCTTAATTTTCTTTTGTTTATGTTTAGCTACCTAATCTGGCCAACGTCCATATAATCACCAACATTCCATCCATTTTTAACTCTATTTACCATAGTGGTTTAATTATTTAGCACGGCATTGGGAAAGAGGCCAGAAGACCCATGATTTACCCAGAAGTTTTGGGTATTCTAAAATCCCTCAGCCAAAGTCCATCATCAAAGTGGTTTAGTATTAATTCTTCTCAGAACCCTGTTGAGTGGCTGCGATCCCAAAGAGTGTTTCGTGTCTCCAAAAGGATGTTCATTGCATTTTGTCTTGATCTTCTGAGGTCGAGTTATTTATTCTATAAGACTAAAGGCCCACAATGGCTTCTTCTATCATGTCAAATTCAATAGAAAATTACAAAATTACAATAGAAGTATTGGGCCTCTGAAAGGGTGGCATGGACATCTAGAACTTTCCCCTGTTATGGCATCCCTGAACAACCCCAGCAAGCATTTTGCTTTTAAAAGATGTCTAATAGATGTCTAAACATAGTCGTCTTGGTTAAAACAAGGCTAACCTAAAACCTAACCTAACCTAACCTGAAAACCTAATAGACATCTAAGAATAGGCCAAATCAATAGAAATGAATGACTACACATATAAAGTCTGTCTAATCTGTCTATTTGATGACTGGTCTAGTTTTGGGCTATTCTTAGATGTCTATTTTCACTGACAGCCCAAATTTAGCCTTGTTTTAGCCTGTCTGTCTTCGTTTAGATGTCTATTAAACATTTGTTTGCTAGGACAGAGAGTCATTTGGTTTGAAAAATGTGATCAAACCTTCTTGTCTCCCACACGCCAAATTTCAAATTGCTTGGATTTTTTCTGTGCTTTGAGAAAATGGCCATTTGCCCAAGCAGTTTCACAATAGATGTAGATCCACCAGTAACATAGCATAGAGCAGTGTTTCCCAATCCTGTTCCTGAAGGCACACCAACAGTACACTTTTCCCCCCTAATCAAACACACCTGAATCAACGCATCAGAACATTAGAAGAGACTCCAAAACCTAATGGATCAGATGAGGGAGACATCCAAAATATGTACTGTTGGTGTGCCTCCAGGAACAGTGTTGGGAAACTATGGGATATACAGTAGTATTTTCTGATGCAGAGTGAAAATGAGAGAGAAGAAAGCTTCTTGTTGTGTATATAATAATAATAATAATAAATGTGCTGAATTATCAGTTCAGCATATACACAATACACTAAAATGGACAGATTTGATCTCAGCTGAATTCCCTATAGCTGTTTGTTGGACATGTAAGGAATTACATATTGCGTAGACTCCAAAACTCTTTGGTGTCAAGAGGAACTGACACAAAACTCAAGATTATTATGATGGCGATCCGCATTAACTGATGTCAATACACCTCTGTAGACTTGAAGTGAAATAGACTACTGAATGTACCTTTAAATATTCCTTTTCCGTTTCTCTGGAGGCAAAAGTCAACCCCAAACTTTTTTTAATATATTACAATAAATATTTTGTGACACTTTCAACCTAAACGCTGCTTTCTGGAGAAGTCTAGTCAACATAAAACTGACATTTCCCCTATAAAATGTGTTGAAATACTGTGTTCATATATAAAGCGAAGAGTCTGGCTCACTACTGTGCATAAAGAATCACACTGTTTCACTTTTCTTCCCTCGTTTTGAGAAAAAGAACATTCCAGTGCCTTAAACTTAATTATGTTTTGTTACCTACTGTATTTATACTTACTTTCTGCATCCTGGTACTATTTAAAAAGCTCTTGTTTACATTATGTATGAGACAGAATGGCATACTAGCACTCTAGTCGTATTATTTAGCTCAGATGGAGAGATGACAGTAGTCAAAGTGGTATGACTATTACACAGCCTGACAAAAAGTCTTGTCGCCTTGTTTTGAAACAAGTAATAACTTGACTTCTAGTTGATCATTTGGTATCAGAAGTGGCTTATATGAAAGGCAAAGTGCTCTAGATCAGGGGTTCCCAAACTTTTCAGCCCGCGACCCCCAAAATAACAATGCCAGTGACTCGCGACTCCCAACATCCTCTGAGGTGGTTATAAATACAGAAACCTTGCATGCAATATCACACACACACACACACACACGCATGCACACACACCAATAGACCCAAATCTATTCTTCGTTGAATTTTTTTAATGTTTGTCATTGCTGTATATGTGGCAGAAAGTTTAACCTGCTATTATAATTTCAATCTGCTGTGTCTTTAATATAATGTA